GAAAATATAATGAAAGTTTTATTCATATATTTTTATCTATTCTTGCTAGGTGAGAACTGACTTTTAAACGATTTGTAGTTTAACTATCAGCAACATTGTTGCTCATATCAAAACTATGTATTTTTATTGATAATGTTTGTTTACACTGTGTGAACACTTCATGGTGAATGGGCCACCAGAAATGGTCAAAAATGACTTATAAATAAATTTGACATTAACTGTACCTCTTACATTTACAAGTGGTACAAATTAAACGGGACTTCAAACAAACGTGCAAGACCCGGTAAAACTAGCTGTAAAGAAGCCGTTACCAAGAAAAGGAAAAAGACAAAAGAGAAGAAAATTTGCACATCAAACAAAGAAGCTGCTGGTGTTCTCAGAACAATAGACTGACCACCACAGAGTCCAGATCTCAGTGTCATTGAATGTGTTTGGGATTATTTGGAACTTGAGAAGCAGAAAATGCAGCAATCGTCCAAGACTGAACTTTGAAAATGTGGAAGAATAACCCTGCAAATTTCTTTGAAAAACTGAAAAACAAAGAATGAAAGCTGTAATAAAGACAAATGGTGGACACTAAATACTAATAAAAAATATATATATTACCTTTAGTTGTTGAAGCTTTTGTGTAAATTTTTAAATTCTAAAATTATTAAATGGATGCTTTTTTTTCTTTTGGTGCAAAAAAAATAATATATTGGCTGTTTTAAACTGGAAATTACATAAATTAAACGTGGACTTTTGCACAGTACTGTGCATTAAACGTTAAGAACATTTTTTATTTTTCCTAAAAAGTTAGCATTTTAGAGATACAATGTTTTGTTGTAAAAGTGACAGTATGTTATATGCTACTCCACACTTACACCAAGTTGTACACATTTTATACTATAAAGCATCGCTGTATTTTGAGGCAGTGTTTACCATTGCTGTAATATTAAACACTAGATGGCAATGTTTCAGCATCACTGTGGAGGATGTGCAGCCAGGCCTTTGATTGGAGTCTTTTTTGAAAGATGCTGATTGTTTAAATTTGATTACGTATGCTTATATCTTGTAAGTAGTTACCTAATGAGATCCCTTTCAATACGTCAGGATGTGGTATATATTATAACCAGGTTATCTGGCCTAGCAGAGTCTGAAGCTAAAGGCCAGTTGCAGTAACACTGTGGAGCTCTAGCACTAGCAGCGTGGAACTGATATGTTCCAGTTGGTGACAGCACCAAGGTGGATGTGCTGAGACTAAATGCTGCAACTAAGAGTCTTAGCTTTTACAGTGGTCCCAGGAGGGCAACTGAAACCTCTAGGCTATGCCTGAAACCTTAATGTGAGCAGCCCCAGTCAGCGGACTACATCTACATTTGACTTCTTGCCAGAGGTATTGCCTGTCCTCTAGTTTACATTAAGTACCAAATGCACTCATAAGAATTGCAAATGATCAGCAGGACATAATTTCATTTAGTGCTCAGTCCTGAGGCTCATCTTCTGTAACTCAAGAGCTCACAATTGTTCTGCCTGCAAATACAAGTCATGTTTGATGGATTTTTAATTAAACCAAATTCATATCTTGTGCTTTGTGGTTTTCAACACTGATCAAAGCTGATGCCCCTGTTTTGTTTGCGAACTGCTGTACTGCAAAGAAGGGTCTTATATTTGTGTAAACTAGTTTGTGTATCTCTTCTTGATTTAGCTTCAGGGATGGGCACCTTTTTAGACTAATTTGACCTCATCACCTGTTCATTTTGTTGGTTTGTTGTATTCTGCCCAGTAAAAAATTCTATATATACAGAGTGATCGTCAGTGACTGCCCTGCATTCTTAAATTTCTGTCTGAATAGAAATTGTTTTTAATGTTCTAATTCAGATGTAAGAGAAATTTAAGAATATTTATTTCTGCTGTACACAAAATGATGGTTGTTCAAGGGTTCTTTAGTAGAGAAAATGGTTCTGTATAGAACCATGAACACTCAAAGAACCCTATCCATGATTAAAGGGTTCTTTGCATTGTGAAAGTGTTCTTGATGAAGAACAAGCAGTAGGTGATTCAACATAGAACCTTTTGGAAAAGTGTTCTGTATAGCACCACTTGTTACAATAAAAGAACCCCTTTTGCTGCTATATGGAACCATTTTCAAAAAACGTTTTAAATAGAACCATCTACAGCACATTCTCCATCAATCCAGAGAACACTTTCACGATGCAGAGAACCGTTTAATCATGCAGAGGGCTCTTTGAGTGTTCATGGTTCTACACAGAACCGTTTTCTTTACTAAAGAACCCTTACAGAATCATAACTGTAAGCGTGTTTGAGAAGCTGTCAAATCCATTGGCAGTTATGGATTTACTCACAGGTAATGCATGAAAACATGAGTTGTAATCTTGCATATGTATGTTCACAGGGATTATCCCTGTGCATTGTTATCCCTAGCAAGAATTAAAAGATTAGTCATTAGTAGAGATGCCTTGATACCACTTTTACGTTTCTAGTACCAATACCAATATTAAAGTGTTGAGTATCAGCTGATGCTGATACAGATTACATTTTTTTAATAAAAAATTACTAAGCTTTAAAATGAGCTATTTTAAGTTGAACCATTTCACTTAAGATGAGCATCTAACAGTATGGTATCATGCAATTAGCAGAAAATATGTCATGCCAACATGTCTGTCACCATTCTCTTTTCTGCTGTTTACAGTATGAGAAACTTTCAGCTAAGTTGCATTAATGTATCATCATAAGATCAACAAATGCTGCCAGTAACAATGTACAGCAGAGAATTACATTAGATTACATTAGTTTATGTGAGCCTGCCATTTTCCTGGTGGCTTTCCGTATCGAGTCCAAAGTACAAAAGAGTGATTCAAATAAAAATACCTAACTATGCAACACAGTGGGCAAGGGAGAAATGCATTTTTCAGCTAAGTGGATTTGTGCAGGAGGCGCACTGCTAATGTTTTGGAGGCACAAAACACGAGATTAAATTATGTGTAATTCAATAAAATATACTTTTAAAGCAACTCATGCCTCAAAAGTTAAAAAGCCACAATGAATTCTGGGCATGTATCTGTTGGTTTCACAGCAACAGTGTGCAGTGACTCTGCAGCCAAAATGGATTAAGATTTCACTGACATTAAGAGGCTGTCATGAGAAGACAATGAGTGAATGTGCTGCTTAATGGCTTAGTTAGGTTAGAGGCAGGACTGTGGGCTGCTGAGGGGTCTCAGTAAGAGTATCTGGGTAGTAGTGTGGACGGTAAGGCAGCAGGTGGCAGATGCTTACCAATGGCTGTAACATAAATGATTCAGTACTTCGACTTTGGCTTTGTGTGGAATGACCTACAGCACACTCACAGCTCTCTTTTGGCTGATGCCTCCTTTAGTTGCTGCCAATAATGTGTGCTTGAATTATGTAAGAAGTTGTATGAAATTCATGAGCATTTGCTGATATTTTTGGTTTGAAATGTAGGAAGTTTTTGCCATAATCACGATTTACATAATCTTTTGCAGGGTGCTGTTTATTATATCTGCGTAGAGTGTCTGTGTCTGGCAACAGTAAATCAAAAAAACTATCCAAAATGACCAGTGAACGTACACATGCCTTTTAAGTGTTCATATGTAATGTTGACAATGGTAAAATAATGATAAATGTGAAAAAATAAGCATTTTTACCTTACGGTGCCCTGAATATATTTTAAAAAATACATTTTAGACCAAAAGCTAATCTCAAAATGGTTGTAAAACAATGTTTTGGGCATTAAGCATCGTATTCATAACTAGCATTTAGAGGCTTTAACACTTAAGATGTCTGGTCCCTATCACCACCATTGTGAATGATTCTAACTTGGTAAGGTTCTCTAAAATGGAGCATTTCACATCAAACAGCTCTGAATGACTTTGTTTATGTCTAGGCTGTTTGATTATGCACGCTTTTTTATTTTCCTTTGAGATTAAATCAGTCAGTCTACACTGTTTTCTATTTAGTGAATGAGCCTTAAATGATATATGAGAGCCTGAATGAAAGGCTTAGGCCATAATAAGTCTGAGCATAAAGGTATGGAACCAATGCTTCCAGTGTACTTTTATGCTATGCTAAAATAATGTCTTGACATAGCTTGTTGTGATTGGTCCGTTTTAAATAACACTAAGGAGAACATTACACAGTATTGTACACACTAGTCGGACAGAAGCCAGATTTCTAGAAATGAAATGTAATATTTTATTTTTGTTCTGAATTTCAAACTGTTCTTTCAAAATAATTTGATACACCTAAAATGACATAAATTGCAGTTAATTTTTTGCTTTTGATCAATACAGCTACAAGAAAGTGGTTCTATATAGAACCATGAACACTCAAAGAACCCTTTGCATGATTAAAAGATTATTTTTATTGCAAAATGGTACTTCAGATTAATCATGCAGAGGGTTCTTTGAGTGTTCATGTTTCTGTATGGAACCATTATCTTTACTAAAGAACCCTTGAGCAACGTTTTTAAGAGTGTAGGGAAAGTAAATATATTTGCAAAGCCACTTTGTGTATGGGGGTTCTGCCTTTATTATTTTGGTGGCATGTCAGATGGTAAGCTGTGTAGCACTGGATCTGACCCCACCCCCCGTGCATAAACCTGGATAATACAGACCACCCTGTGACATCACAGCTGCCTGCGTGCTGATTGGAGGAGAGACGCCATAGATGTTGAGATGCTGTGGATGGTGCTGGAGGCTGAGCGAGCGGAGCGGAGCTGGGCAGCGGGGGTTGTGCACATCCACTGTTCCACTCCAGCATGGCTCCGTCGCCGCCGACAACAGGAAGCCGCCTGCCGCACATAAACTGCCCTCCATTAGGGGCCTCGCCACAGCCGAGGGGCGTGCATGTGTGAAAGAGAGGGAGGGAGGGCACTCCTGTGTTTTTTTTACTGGGACAGCACTGACTGCCTGATCTGCTTCGCTTCCTGAAGGGAAAAAAAGATAGCTGATTTTTTCCCCACTCTGCTTTTCCTCTTTGGATGACATCTTCAGACGCGCACACGTACATGCACTGACCGCCTCTGAGAAAGCGAGGGAGTGTGGGTGCACTACAATGGCTCAGTTTAAGGACGTAGCCGTGAAAAAGACCACCTCTCTCAATCTGGTGACTGGGTTCTTTCAGTATTTGCGCGGTAAGTAGACCAGTGGACATGTCACGTCATCCTGCAGGACATGTGTGTGCGAGCGAGTCCAGCAGAGCGGATTTATATGTAGTTTATATGTACTGTGCCATATGTAGGGTGAAGCAGATGCATGAGCGAGGTATGCAGTGGCACAGCACTGGGTCATATGCCTCACTAGACATTACTGGCCAGCTGAGATCCTCCTCCACAGAGAGGTAATTACCGTCCGGTGTCACGGCGCGCCTCTCGCTCCCGGGGCCGAGCCAGCATCTCTGCTGCACGTGTGCGCTGACGGCAGCTGCATATGAAGTGCGCATGTTGGGTTAAAAAAGGCCTCGGCGTGTCAAAGCTGCGCTGGTATACGTTTGCTATAGCAGATCATGTGCTACGCGGATGCTTTTTGAAATGGCGTCCCATACTTTGCAGCAGCTGAATGCATGAAAAAAGAGGACATTGTCTCTTGTGAATGCATTTGATATGAGCTGTCTGAGCCCTTCTTGTATAAATGTGAGTGGTCTGTGGGCGATCTGAATGGCCTGACATGTCATGGGAAGTTTGCGTGAAATGCTGTGTATTCATTCATTATGCAAACATTCTGCTATAAATGTATTCAAGCTTTATGTATGCAAAAAAGTGTGCAATGTATAGCCTGTCCTCAGTGAAGAGCTCAGGTTACTTAGTGTCCAGTAATGATTTGTTTGGTCATTTGAAGTTATCAGTGTACTTGTTCACGTTCAAATGTCAGTGTTGTCATTAATGCTAAATTAGTTAGAGTTTCATTTCTGCTATTATAAATTCATTAACTGAGGCTGAGCACATTGGCTTCTTTACTATGTAAAATATTCACTCTTTCTGGATGCATCTTAGCAATATCAGAAGAAGCCGTGGTGAGTCATGTTTGCTGGTTAGGATGAACACAGGGGTGAGCCTTTAACATCTCCCTGAGGATGTGGCAAAAATAGACACAAGTTGACGTTTATGGCCTGGCTCGTGTGTTTACTCGTTTTCTCTTCTTTTCCAGATGAACAGGAGTCAGTCCAGAAAAGAACTTTCACAAAGTGGATTAATTCACATTTGGCCAAGGTGAGATTGTTTTCTGATTCTTTTTCTTATGGAGGTCATGGCTTTTGTTCCTGCAGTGTTTGATATTTTCTGTATTACACCCAAGGCTAGCTTTGCACAGTGAAACTTTCAGGCAATTTTAGTTGCTTGAAATGTACATGAAACGAAATTTCAGTTAAACTGCATACTTGTTGGAAACGCAGCCACAACAGCTGCAAACATCTCAACTCCATGAAACAAGCCCATCAAGATGCAGATAATGTATCACATGATCATGACATCATTTGAAATCACATAATTTCAAATAGATTTCACTTAATTAATGGTATGGACAAGAATAGTAACAGCTGTTTAAACGGCCGCTGTCATTTATTTTTCTTCAGCCTGCTGTTATTGCAATGTACGTAATGAGAATATTCATTTTCTCCTCTCATGAGACTCTCACACTTTTGCAATATCAAAGTTAGATACTTTGCAAAAGAGGTGAGTGAGATGCAGTCCTTGAAGAACTTCTAGGTGCTTCTAGGACAGGATGTGGCAGACACCAAGTAGAACAGTAATGGCTTCTTAAACATTAATTTTCAAAGGCTTAATGCACACAGAACAGATTAAAGTCACATATACAGTAAAGAAATAGATAGATAGATAGATAGATAGATAGAGAAAAAAGAATGCTGATGACAGCTGAATGATAAAGACAATAAAAATACTGATGAATTTATATAGCAAGAATGGTACGAAATATTAAAAAATATGAGAGGAGTTGTCAAATCCATGCAACTTTGGTAATTTTTTCATTTCTTTTTGTAACTGTCAACTCACATTATGCAGCTAGTTTCTTGAAAGCTTCACTGTGCCATAACATAGTGCTATTATCTGTGGGTCTTGTGTGGGTCAGTTGAACAGGGGCTGCACCTCAGTTGCTCTGTTTATTTATGCGTGGACAGAGAATAGCCCATGTGATCAGCTTTGTGACCTGCCATCTTGGTGACTCTTAGAGGCAAGTGAGCGTGTAATCAAGAGAAGCAGCAATAATGATCGAAGGTCGTATCTTCTGCAGCTCAGTAAATGGTAGTTCAGGGTAGATGGCCAGTGCTTGAGTGTGACATTATAATACAAAGTAGCGTGAAGAGTGGCTGTTCCATGCTTACTGAATGAATAGTGTATTGTGCACACCTCCCACTGCTTTGGCCAGAGTGGTGGTCTCTGCTTGTGCTGTTTATCTGAGCACAGTGACGTTGTGTCTGTTTCCTTAGAGAGCAGTTGGTTTTGAAAGCCAGCATAACAGGTCCATGGGGACAGGCCAAAATTATGCAGACATTTTCTTCAAAACACACAAGTTTCAAACAATGGGGAGACACAGCATGACCCTCCAGGGGACTGTCCTTATTGTTTGTTTGCTAGAGTTCACTTAAATGCATGGAGAACATTTTGCCAAGACATGATACACATGGCTGTTGTGAACAGGTAAATGGTGGTTGACAGGAGAGAGACTCTTTGCTGCACTGCTGGGAATCTCTGTCATTCTGCATGAACATTTTACTCAGGACAGGAAGCAATATATTTTTAATGGCTAGTTTTTGACCTCTGACTAAAATTCATGGACATTTTATGTGCACTTTGCAAAATATACAAAATAACGTTTGAACAAAATTAGAATATGTTAGGTTAAATGATATAAATAAAAATATAAATATGGCAAATAGGTTTCTTTGAAGCAATGCCATAGAAGAGACTTTCAATGGATGGAACTTACTTTGTAAATCAGAGTGTGAAAAACCTTTTTAAAAGTTTTCCCTCTTATACCAGGGTATATTTTCGTTTTCCATCTGAATTTACATGACCAAATCGTAAGGCAGATTATTCAGTAACTGCATGAAATAAATGTAAATTTTATTATTTTTTTTTTATCAGTGATATTTTCTGTATTACACCCAAGGATAGCTTTACACAGTGAAACCGCCATGCAATTTTAGTTGTTTGAAACTTACATGAGACTAAATTTCACTTAAGTTGCGTACTTGTTTGAAACGCAGCCACAACAGCTGCAGACGTCTGAACTTCATGAAACAAGTCCATCAAGATGCAGATAATGTATCACCTGATCATGTCAAATGACATAATTTCAAATAAATTTCACTTAATTAATTGTATGGGCAAGAATTAATTTACCTACATAAGGCAAATTAAAATACAAAAAAATATTTATTTATTTATTTACTTATGTATTTATTTTTAAAAGCTCCCCTCAAATTAACAGAAAATGTGTTTTAAGTCATACACATATTGCTATATGCTTACAATTCACTGCTGAAAGCCAAAAATCTTTGACGCGCTTTGTATTATTTTATAAAAAAAATAATTTTTACAGAGCAGATCTCTGAAGAAACACCGTCTGTTTATAGTTTATGGCTCAGATTTGTGGAAAAATGGGTCGACTTTCAGTAGACAAAAAAATTGTGAGTTCAGCTTCTTCTATTATAAGGGTTTACAATTACATCACCCATCTATTTGACTGGAAAGAAGACAGTTACAGCTCTCATATGACACCCACCTTTTGAATGTAGCTTATGAAATCTGAAAGTTATGAAGAATATGACGAAGTGCGTTTTGGAACCACCGGTGGTCTCAAGGAGTTGAAAAGGTTAAACTTCTTACGCACAATTATTTGAGGATCTGTATTATAGTACCACTGTTTACCTGGTGGGCCTGCAAATGAAGGCTGTAAATCACTTAAGAAACGTAAGAAGAAGAGAAAGTCTGTGAATTGTGGTGGGTAATTTTGAAAGGAACTTATAAATAAGGAAACAAATCTCTATATTGTCCCCACAGCAGTGTTGAAAAAGAGCTATAATGTCTGCTGGAGCAAGAGTGAAAACTAAGTAATATTACAAAGAGAAAAATGTTCATGAAAATCATATTTTCAGTGTAGAAAGGATGGTTTAAAAGTAGATTTCTTCTATGACCAACCTTTAACACTGCTGGTAACTATGTCCTCAAGTAACATAAATGATGTCTTTGAGCAGTCTAGCTAGCATTGTTTTCTGTGAAACTCAGAAGAAATCCACTTGAACCTGCAAGTTGTGCCCTGTTTTCTGATAAAATATTCACTATTATACTAAAGACAAGGCTAAGATAAAAATTAAATAAAACAAAAACTTTTCAGAAAATCAAAATAAAGCTATTAATGCCCACTTAAAATAACTGAAACTGAACTGCAGTTGAAAATTAAAAAACTCAACTCAAAACTCAAAAACAGTAACTCAGAAGAAAATCTCAATACTGTAATGCCCTGGTTTACACTGCCAGGTCACCATTAGGGGGGTAAAACAATGCATAACGTTGTTGTAGATGAAAGCAAATTGTTTGCTATTTTATTTGTACCATAGGAACTTCCGTTCATATTTATAAGTCTGTTTGTATAGATTGTAGGGATGCACTGATATGAGAATTGTGGGCTGATGCCGATATCTTTCATGTACACTTCTGCTGATATATGAACATTTATAAACATTGTGTGAATTGGGGCTACATTTGCCTGGATTAACATTACAGAGAGATGGAACACTTGTTTGTAGAGGGTTACAAACACGTTAATATTATTGCAGATGTTTTTAGCAAAGAAATTTTAGCACAGTAGCTCAGCATAACCTAAACAGCCTGCTGTTCTGAACTGCAGTAAATGCATCGTTAAGTCACAGTTTGAAATAATGAAGTCCATTGATACTGATATCATTCTGATATCATTGTGCAATATTAAATTTATTTACATTTTAAGTGCAGTTTTGCTCACATGCTTGTGTTTTAAGGGACAAAAATGTTGAAGATGAGGGTGTTTTTGCCCTTTGTCTCTGACTATTTTGATGCTGATTTCACTGATGCTCTCAGGTTCCCAGCATCCAGTGGAATGTCTGTGTGTATGTGTTTTGGAAACTGTGCATGTGTGCAGATGGTTGACAAGAAGGGTTGGAACAATTCTCAGCAGGAGAAGGTCTGCTCCCAAGGCCTTTTGGCAAAATGTGTTATGAATTTGCCTGACACAAGCATGAGACAACATTAAGAGATAATGGATGTATGATGATGGTCTTTTAATTTGTGCTAAAATATTCTACCAGCGTACCAGTGAATTTTGTTAAGACATTGAAAATTAATGACGAATTTATTGCTTTGCTGCTTCTCTCTAAGAGTGTCGCCTTATTATTCATGATAGGTTGCTTTGGTGACGAGGCACTTTGCTGCCCACAAAGAGAGGATAATCTCAGACAAATGGGGGGTTTAAGTATTCCGGTCAGCGCAGATTGAGCTGAGGGGTCTTTTTGTTCAGCTGGATCAGACTCAGAGCTGTTCAGTGCATTGAGGGCACTGAAAAGTTTGGAAGACACTCTGTTACGTGGTCAGCTAGAGAAGACACTGCAGTTAAGCGTTATTGATGCTATTCACGTGCTGCTTGCTCCATGCATGCTGATCAAGTTGGGGAATACACTGAGAAAAGGCATTTCTCTTGTCACTTGGTATCCAGCTGTGGTTCTTACAGACTGCTGCTGTCAGGCTCTGTGATCTCTCTCATTCACTCCTTAGCAGTTAATGATGTTTATTTGTGTGTCATTGTCATCTAAAGGAAAGTGTCTCGCATGATTATCTGCAGTCCCCATAAAAAGTTCTAGATGAGCTCTGATTCAGCACCTTTTCTCATTTTTCCCATTTCCTTTAGAATTTTGTGGCTTCAATAAAGAATTTTCACTATGACAGAGAGGCCCTGCCTTAAAAATGACTTATGTTATTTTCCCCACTTTTCTGAAATAATAAAATTTGGTGTAGTTTTTAAACACGAGGAAAAAGAAAAAAAATGGCCACTGAAAATTTTGGCTGAAAAAAGCAAAAGATGAAATAGGTCTACAATGAAAGTTCAAAATTGAGCACTTAACAAATAATTTTTAATGATAATGAAAATGAGAAATAGTGATAAAAAAACACTATCAGACATTTTGAGCAGCAGCAGATCAACAGCAAACAACTCAAACACAGTCCTCTGTATCAGCGTTTAATGAAATGACTTAATGGAAATCACATTACTAATATAAAGTTATTCAGTATCTTTTGATAATACGCTTTTTACCTCTGATTTTGAAAGTTATTACTGAGAGCACTTGTGTTTGTTAGATCCTGCTGAGGTTTATGGCTGTTTATTCCGTAAATGATGAACTCTAAAGCGACTTGATGCTAATAGTGCCCCCTGCTGAAAAAACCTCAGACTGATAGTTGAGAGTTCCAAAGCCATGTCTGCGGGCTTTACATATTGAAAAACAAGGTGTTTTCTTATGGTGTTTCATTATAGCAGAAAAGCTCTTGAATTCATCTTTAGATGCCATAGATGCCTTTTATTATATTTTCATAACTTTACAACTTTTAATATTATTATTTAAAATTACTGTAGTCCTCTAGTTCTCTGTTAGCTCTCTTTCCTAGCGTGGTAATTGTCACGTTTGAAGCATCATCAACAGTTTTACGTTAATTCGAATGCATAATTTGAACAGCAAATCACATATAAAATAATCCTTTATTTTATTTTTTGACTCCTGAATTAGTAAACTCTTAAAATTTTAATTTGTACTGCTTATTCACTCCACAATCCATGCAACTTGAATTCATTTCTTGCTATGGGCTGAGTGTCATTACAAAAACAGTGAATCCGTACAGCTCGAATTCATTGTTTTTGCGTAAGACATATATAAGTCTTAGTAGTGAAGTATCAAAAACAGCACTTGTAATTGTAAGGGATTAATAGAGATTGTAAACTGGTCATCTAAAAATTAAATATGATTGTTTTTGGTACATAAAACCACACAAATGTCATAAGTGGGCCTCAGGGAAATAATAGAATATGGGGACTTTCATTTAAGCCTTCCTTTTTCTTGCTACTAATGTGGTCTTAATATAGGAGCATGCAATATTGCATAAGTGTGGTCATACGTTGATAAAGGACAAGGACCACAGCAAGAAAACATGCACAACTAATGCCCTAATGAATATGTATTGTTATTACAGTTATATATAAATGAAGAAATGTATGGGGGGGTACCAGTTACATTAGACCCAATAGCGATGTGACTAATTCACCTAGTTTTCTCACGCTTTTGGTTCTGTATCTGTACTGTAGTCTCCTGCTTTGTTTCAGCATCAGTGTGAAATTAACAGCTCTCCTATGTGTGTGTGCACGTGCATGGGTGTGTGCCATGACACAGCAGGATCTTGGTTGAAAAAAAAAAAACCTTGATGCTGTGACGGGCGCCCAGCTTTCAGCGTGAAAAATTCATTTGAAAAGCCTCTTTAAAGAGACTTAGCTGCTTTTTGTCCATTTCTCTTTGTACCACAGATGCCGCTTTGTTTGCATTCTGAAAACACTCAAAAACCTCCTTTTTCCTTTTTTTACATGCAGACGGTTAAGCTGTACTGCATGGTTGGACTGGAGGCTCATTTGTAATGCATCACTCAAAGATCTTAAAGACTTTCTCGAAAGTGAAAGCATTCATCGTTCCTATCGCTTATGGCTTCAAGTTAACCATCATAATATCCACAAGGAATAGACAGGCACCTGAATAACTTCTGTCATTATAGTCACTGCAACCAAAGAAACAAGACTGTGGATGTGGGATTAATCTAAAAATATTTTAAATAGCTTTTCTGCAGGTGTTGGCATCATGCCATTGTTAGGCTTTGTCCTCAGCTTTCCAGGAGCTTGTTGTATACTTTGGCCAGTTCAGCCTGTAACAGCATGAACAGCATGGCTTTGTAATTATAGTGTAGAAAGCAAAGAGGCTGTTTAGGTGCTCCCGTTCCTAACATGGGTGCCAAGACGGTGAAATCTTCTGAATGCATTTCTAGTTAAACACATCACACTAATAATTACTTTATGTTATTTATTCTCCTTCTATTTTTGTGTTCTTCCCTGCAGCGTAACCCTCCTTTAGAAATCAATGACCTTTTTGAGGACATCAAGGATGGGGTGAAACTGCTGGCTCTGTTGGAGGTGCTGTCTGGGCAGAGATTAGTAAGTGCTACTGTGATGCATTATCTGATGTTGTCTCACCAAATCTACAGATTATCCCTCTGAATAACATCCTGCATCTGACGATGTGAGCAGAGCTGCAATTTAGTGTATCTTGAGGGCACTGTCAGCCATTTAAGCCTGTTCGATTCAGTGGTGATTTAAATTTGGTTTAAACAAATCCATCTGTTCCTTCACAGCCATGTGAACAGGGACGGCAGCTGAAGAGAATCCACTGGGTGTCTAACATCGGCACTGCGCTGAAGTTTTTGGAAGGCCGAAGGGTAAGAGATCTTTCCTCAGGTTTAAGCCTTGTTCTGTCTCTGTCTGGCCTCTCTGTCTTAATCTCTTCTCACCAGAAAAGAAGATACAGTACCAGACAAACGTTTAGAATATAATAGTTTGGCAAAAAATCTAATTTACAGTATTCTTCACTTACTGCAGATTTATGCAATCAGCCAAAACACATTTTCCGTCTAAATTTTTTACTGGAGGTAAAAGTAACAAGTCAATAGTCACCCAAATCTTTCACCCAAAACTTCTCTCAACCTGATCATACCACATCCAGGTCTTCATTAAGGTAGTGCAAACTTGTTGATGTGGTTTAAGACAGCATGAATTATAAAAATGATAAACTTAGTTATTTTTCTTAAATAAATAACTGTTCTTAAATCTTGAATTTTCAGACTGGAGACATGTGTTAATAAACAGAAGCGACAGGAACCACAAACCTAACTTAGCGTCCATTTGCACATAAAGAGAAGTTGGATTCTGAAAGGCAGTCGGAATTAGGCACTGCACCTTTTGTCTAACATGGCTGCTCGCAGTGCGCAGCTACACAGTCTACTTTTGCTCATTTTTACAGTTCACAGTAAGCCATACCGTCCCTCTAAACCAGACTGTCTCTGCGACCTTAATTAAGACCTGGATGTGGCTGTTACAGACTGAAGTTTTGGTAATGTATTAATGGAAAATATTTGGGTGACTATTCACTTCTAGTGGTTGTTAACGACTTTAGCCTTGTAGCTCCGGTGCTAAACTATAGAAGCATGTCTTGGCTGATCAACTACGTGTGTAAATTCGATTTTTTGACAAAGGATTCCTTTTTTCATGCTTTAAAATTGTTAAGTTAATTAAAATTAATTATGTTTATGCGTATGTAAGTTTATGCATAATTAAGTTTATGCTTATTTACATTTTTGAATGGCCCCAACCAGTAGTTTTCAGCAACCAACAAGGTTTCGGCATATTGCTGTTTTTGGAGCAAAACCTCGTATCTCCATTTTTGTCATTTTTTTAGTTTTTGATGTAATTTGAAAATGCCTGTTGCCCTTTACATTGTTTGTAAATCTCATGATGAATTGACTTAGAGAAGTGGCCCGAAATTACTTGGACAAAAGTCTGGTTACATTGACTTACATTCAAATTTAAGTATGTTTTTTCCTTCTCCTCTAAAGTTATCGTATTGGAGATAAGAGGTTTTGTTTCGACAGCAGTGATATGTAGAACTTCTTCAAGCATGTGGAAAAGCATCCCGGGTGGCTCCTCATGAAGCTGCTTGAGAGAATGCTGAGAGTAAAGCTGGATAAATGCAAAGGGTGGCTACTTTGACAAATCTAAATTAGAATATAGTTTTGATTCATTTAACACTTTTTGGTCACAGCTCCATTCCATATGTGTTACTTTATAGTTTTGATATCTTCACTGTTTTTATAAAATGTGACAGTAGTAACAATAAAGAACATCTTTCAGTGAGTAGCTGTGTCCAGACTTTGACTGGTGCTGTGTAGTTAGCTTTATGCCCGTCCCCAGCTGCATTCTGATTGCACTAATGCTCAATCATAAGGAGATATGGAGAAAGTAGGTAAGGTGCAAGAAATCTCTCTCTTGTAAAGCCTGTTTTTTACTGTGCCCTCTCTCCTGGCATGCCTTCTCTCAGTCTGTGTACAGGGGATCTCCGGTCAGTACACTCAGGAGCTGTACCTCACTTTTTTGCTCATAGTCGTTTGTTCACGCTTAGCTGATTTTTTTCTCTAATGTATCTATTCTCTGCTTCAGTCTCATCAGTTTGCTGCAGTGCATTAAATATGCCATTACAGAAAATAGTCTGCCTTTATAGTCTTACCACAACAAGCACTTGAGAAATTGACTGTATATAAAACATATTCGTATTTCCTGTTATATTTTATTCCAAATAATGAAGAAGAAGAACCAAAAGACAAATGTGCTTGTCTGAGTGAGAGTTTGCTTGTTTGGTATCTGGCTCAATGGGGCATATGAAAAACAATGAATGAGCTTTGCTTTTTTTGCCTGGCTTGCTTTTATTGTCACTGATGGCCGGTGATGACAAAGGTGTTGCTCAGACTTGTGTTTTTTATGCGTGAAAAGGGAAACAACCCTTTCGTATGTTCATTATTCAGTGTGCTGAAAAAATTCAGTGTGTTTTTTTTTTTTTGTTTTTTTTTTGCAGATCAAACTGGTCAATATAAATGCCACTGATATTGCTGATGGAAGGCCTTCCATAGTCTTGGGGTTAATGTGGACCATTATCCTCTATTTTCAGGTAATCTAGCAAAGTATATACATATAAAATCATAACTTTATTGTATTTGTTCAGTTTCTTCCACCAGTGACTGTTCCCTCGTTTTCTGGTACCTGTTGCAGATTGAGGAGTTGACAAGTAACCTCCCAGCCCTGCAGGCTCTATCCAATAGTGCATCTTCTGTTGACAGCATGGCCAGTTCTGAGACAGGCAGCCCACCTATGAAGAGAAAAGTTGTCCCCAAGGTCCAGGGTGGTGCTAAGAGAGCTTTGCTCAGATGGGTGCAATCCACAGCAGCTAAGTATGTCATACTTTTACTAAACTGCAATACATGTTGATGTAAAAACTGGAGAGGCATACAGTATCTAACTGCACCTCTTAACCTGCAAATGTGTGACTATTCAGCAAATGTGTGACTATTCAGAGTGAAAAGTCTGGTGAAAACTTTTGCACAGTTTCCTCCTGACCCCAAATGTTGTTAATCAAACAAGACATTTGTTGTCTGAAGTTTGCTGTTTTAGTTTTTGACTGGCGCTGTGAGGCTAAGATATCTAACAAGTAATGGAAGCTTATACCCCAGCAATGCAGATCATGTAAACTACATGCCTAAAACAAGTTGTTAAGTATTCTCAAATAATAGACTTATCAGTACCAACTGTAACAAAATTTAATATATAGATTAAAGTGAATGGACCAATAGAAATTGCCCAGAATTACTTGGAATAAGTTATTGTTATATTAACTTTCTATAAAAGTTAAGAATGATATGAAGTTTTGTTCCGACACTGACATTTTGTGGTTTCTGACACTGTATAACATGCTGTTATCTACTGATTCAATGCCATTTGAAGCAAGTGATCATTTTAGTCCCAGTCACACTTACGCTTGCATTTGCCAATGCATTTTCGTAAGTGGAATTACGATACTTTTAATAGAATTCGCTGCATTGGACAATTTTGGGGCAAAAAAAAGTTCGCATCAGGTTCAGCTGCGCAATATTAGCTCCTCCTGTAGCTGGACATATGTCACTCCACTGCCACCAACTATACCAGTTATCTAACTATATGTCTAGTTATCTTTTTTGGTACGAGTCAGTGTGTAGCATTTTAGTCCTACACGTAAATAATCGTATGACATAACTGTGTTCACTTTTGTGTTGTTACTGTTTATAGTTAGTGATTTAGCTAGTTTGCTAACTGCTCCAACATAGTAAGACCAGATATTTTTTGTCACCAATTCTGCATACCAACCTTGGTCATGGACATTTTGCAAGCAGCTTTAGGTAATGATTTTGGCAGGAGCTGTGCTAATTAGTGGGGTATAAGCTTCCTTACTTGTTAGCTAAACTAGCCTCATGGCCTCAGTGCAAAATTAAAGAAGCAGTCTTTGGACACCAAACTGATTGACTGCGTTTGATATAAGGGAAAAAAAAATGAATAAATGATAATACATGTTTTTTTTGCTGAACAAATGCTTTAAGGCTGCACCTAAAGAGTGATGGTGTGATGTATTGACAGACGCATAGGGATTGAGGTGAAAGACTTTGGTCCCAGCTGGCGGAGTGGGGTGGCCTTCCATTCTGTCATATATGCCATTCGCCCAGACCTGGTGGACATGGAGCTTGTGAAGAGAAGAAGCAACCGTGAGAATCTGGAGGAAGCCTTCACAGTGGCAGAGAACGAGCTGGGCATTCCACGCCTTCTAGATCCTGAAGGTGCTTCTACTTTATTAACCCTTATTCCTTATTTATAATATTTATTTACAGATATACAGTAACACAACAGATTTGCTAGGTTTTGTATATAGTTTAGATGCATGCTGACTTTTGAAGTGTCTATACACAGTGAAGATAATACAAGCAGACATGGTATTATGACTGAACATCATAGGCCTCATTACAAGCAGAAGCGACCACAAATATAGGCCATGCCGCTGTGAGAGCACGACACGGATGGAGATCAGATAGAGGCTGACATAATTACTGGAGCTGCCATTGGCTCTGGGGACAGGCTAAATATACTGTAATTCTTTAGGGGCAGAGGTTTTTACGCCTACTACACTGCATTTTCTGCATAAATGAATCTACCGTCTCTTTCTTTAGATCATGTGGCTTGATCTTTATCAATTCAGAGTCATTTTGTGCTCTTCTATCTATATAATCAGCACACACCTTAGAGGTTTTTCCTTCTCTGTGTTTCTGCAGATGTGGATGTGGATAAACCTGATGAGAAGTCCATAATGACCTATGTGGCTCAGTTCCTTAAACACTACCCCGACCCCCACCAATCAGAGACAGATGGACAGCAAGAGGAGGTTTGCCTCAGAGTCCCTTACCAAATGTCACCTCATATCTGCATGCTCGCATACTAGCTAAAAATGTGGAAGTACTTGCTGTTACTTAATCATTTGCTGCAGTGCCTGTTCACCATGTAGTGCAAGCTAGTCTCAGTGAAAAATCTAGCCAAAGAAAAAGCTATTCATTCTTCAATTCCACGCTCCATAATGTGCTTCACATGCTCACTCTGTCTTTCTGTTACCTGTCACGTGCATCTGTTAACCTGTCATGTGCATTTGTAGCTGCTTCTTCGTTCCATTCCAACTTTTGCCCTCTCTGTCCCCACGTTGCAGGTAAGTGCTGACGTCACCTCATGTTCGCATGCGTAGTGGCTGTTTGTGGTGGACTCTCTCTGCATTTTCTCTCTTTTCTCTCTCTCTGTCTCTCTTTCTCGCTTTCTGCTAACATCTTGATTGTGTTGTGTTTGCATCTCTCTGTGTGCTTTGCTCCCCTGGACAGTATGATCCTCAAGATATTGAGCTAATGCTTGAGGTATGTGTATGTTCTTGAATAACGTTCATACACTGTGTTTTGCAGATGTCTAATGAATTGACAGGTTGCCTTTTTGTTCTAGGAATAAGAATACTGTTTTCAGCCTTTCCAGATCTTTTGACCTGTTGTCAGTGTGCTGTGGGTTTTGATGGTGTTTTAGTTTAGCTGATATAAAGAGGGCGCTAAGGTGCCACTTAATGGGCTTGGTATGAATGTAAGTGTAAATGTGTATGTGTCCAGAGGGAAGAGCGGAAGGTTTTGCGGGAGCTGAAGGCCTGGCTGGATCAGCTAGAAAGAGATATACTTCGCGCACAGGGAGCAGAGGGCAACCTCACTGACAAGTATCAGGTAACACAGCAAACAACAGACCGCTGGGCCACATAGTGTTTCTGCTGCTCTCGTTTAATTACTCACAGTCGATTCTGGTATACTGATATTGATATTCCGCTACAATATAGATTTCCAGCTTTAGGGGTATGGACAAAAACATTGGGACACCTACCAAAAAAGTTGGGACAGGGACCTGTTTACCACTGTAAATATATATACAGTACTGTGCAAAAGTTAGAGACCCTTCAGTTATTTAATTTAGAATCAATAAGGCCATTAAAAACAAGTTATTAAAATTTCCTGTGATATTTCTAGAGGAATAGATATTTAGATTATCCTCTTGTTTAAGGAAATAATGGGAAGGTCAAATGACAAGGAAAAAGGGGAAAGTCAAAGGATAATAAGTGTAAAACTGGAGTTTTTGTCACTGAGTTGTTGAGCATCTGTATGGCATATTTAAATTATTAAAAATATAGAGAAAACTCGCAACAACATTGTAAGACCTGGTAGACCACCAAAGCTATCACCATTAGGTGAACAGCACTTAAAGCTTTCATCTTTGAGAGAGAGGAGAAAATCAAGCTCCACTCTTACTTTAAATCTGAAAAAATCCAGTTGTTTCTTTCTATCCAGTATAAGAAGACAACTCAGTGTAGTGGGTCTGAAATGATGTGTAGCTGTCAAGAAGCCATTACTGACAAAAAGAAGCAAAAAAGAAGTACATTTTCAAACAAGGAAGCTGCTGGTGGTCTGTGAACAATTGGCCTCATTCACCAACATGTTTCATAATTTTTCTTAAAGTAGTTCTTGAGAAATTCCTAAGAAAAAGTCTTTTTTAAATCTCACAGTTGTTTGCACCTTTGTTCTCTTGAGTGTGCGTAGATTCTGTTCTTACCTAAGAACAAATCCCAAATAAGAAAACATTGGTAAATGTCAGAGTCTTGCAGAAAACTGTGTAAGTGGGTTTTAAGAAAAAATTTCTTCTTAAGAACGGTTAGCGAATAAGACCCAGTGGACTGACCACATCAAATTCCAGACCTCAACATCATTGAATGTGTTTGAATATACTTGATTTGTGAGAAGAAGGAAATACAACCAACATCTAAGACTGAGGTGTGGAAAAATATTCCTGCAGATTTTGTTGAAAAACTCAAAGTAAGTGTCCCAGATAGAATGGAAGGATAAAGGCAAAGGGTTTACACAGTGAAATGATATTTGAAATGAAATTTTAATGTTGAGGCTTCTATTAATGTTTCTGTTAATTATATTGTCTGGTTTTATTCTGACACTAAAAATGAAAAATTTAATGGCCTTTATGGATATTAAGTAAAATAGTCTCTGACTTTTGTATGTAGAGAGAGAGAGAGAGAGAGTTTTATCAGGGCTGTCCAGCACTAGTTACAGTGTAAAAATCTACAGCATGCTTATTTCTTTTACTTTGTTTCGCAGGGCTTTAAGAGCTTCCGTGTGCAGTATGAGATGAGGAAGAAGCAGGTGGAGTCACTGCTGCAGCCTGTGCACAAGGATGGTAAACTGTCTGTGGATCAGGCGGTGGTGAAGCAGGCCTGGGACCATGTGTCTGTCAGGGTACGCATCTACCATGATATGATCATAGCTCATCTGTTTAAGGGCACACAAACACTCTTTGAAGTGGCGTGGGAAGAGCCTGAGGATTCTTTTTCTCCTTCTGTTTGTGTATCTTTCTGATCAAATGATCCAGTAGCCAGTGGCTATTTTTTCTGTCCATATAATTTGTGAATGGTTTTGTTGGTTGTTGCTGAGTGGGTGAGCCGTCATCGCCTGTTACGAGGTGAAGTGTGAAGTGGAGCGGAGGCCATTCACTCTGAGTTCATTAATGGGGAAGGAGAGCAGACACAGAGGGGGTTTTGTCTAGAGGAACACAGTGCTCCACTGAACTCACCCTATCAACCAGCCAGCAGAGCACAATCATGTGGAGAAGGCACTTGTCAAATAGAAGAGGGCCTTTTGGACGCTTTATTAAAAACAGACTTGTTCTTATTTTGTAGCTTTTGGACTGGCACATCCATCTGGATAAGTCATTACCAGGTCCACTAGGAGTGATTGGAGCCTGGCTGCATCGTGCAGAGCTTGCTCTCAGAGAAGACATCCCAATTCAGCAGGCCCACGAGGAGACGGCCAACATCATCCACAGAAAGCTGGAGCAGCACAAGGTATTTTATTCTGGAAATGTCACTTGTTTTATCTACTGTTTTCCTCTTTGATTCAGCCTCACAGGTTAACATTCATAAATTTACACTCAAATTTATGCTGAAAGTTTACAGGGTTGAATAAGTGCTGATGTGATCTTTCTCACTTCTGCAGGAGGTGCTAACAAATTTGGAAGGGCACAGACAAACATTCCAGCAGATTCACAGAGACAGATCAGTAAACGGTGTCCCTGTCCCAGCTGAACAACTCCAAGACATGGCAGAAAGGTCAGTTTTAATCTTCTGCAGCCAGAGCAGAAGTAAATCATAACAATTTGATTAGATTATAATTGATTTTTTTAGAAAGCACTTCAATGCACCATGAAATCTTTTAAATGAAATTTCATCATGGTTTAATTTGGTATGATATGGTGCAATAATTATTTTGAATACACAAATGTAACTAGTTACAGATTTTTACATTTGAAAACGCCCAAGAATTTTATTTTGGCCAAAAATAATGGCACACTAGAGCATGACCAGTATGCTTGTCAGACGATACTGAGGATTTTGTCGGTTTTATCTAAACCTTTTTATGGAGAGTGAACTGATTTAAAAAATATAATAAGAGAATCAACAGAAACCAAAGAATTCTGGGTAATTCGACTCCCAGTGCTATAATACTGAAACTGTTTAGGACTGTTTTATAAATTTTTGCTGTTAATTCAAGAAATGTGGTGATCGACAACTGCCAGTCATATGTTAGTAAATCACTTCTAACTAAAGCTATTCAAGTATATATATATATAAAAAAAAACTAGTAAATAGTAAACCAGTATGCAATAGTATACAAAAGTATACCAGCTGATATTGTTGGTTATCATAATTTTTAGCCACTTTAAAACAGTATTGTATTGGCCAAAGAATTTTCGTATTTCATGTTTTCCACTGGGCACGAATGTTTGAAGGCCCCTACCTGGCTATCTTTTTTGGTGGTCAGAGAATTTTTTTATGAAATCACAGCAAGTTGTGCAGCATCACGATGGTAGCATAGTAACCACAGTGTTGGACACACATCACCACTATAAACAAGTTTCTAAGTGATTCTAGAAACAAACTAAACTAATTAAATATTTCTGATGTTAGACAGTCTAACTTTTTACTTTAGCTCAGACTGACATCATATATGTTTGGCTTTGGAAAATGGGCATCCTCTGCTCTGTCAGGATCGCAGGTCTCAGATCCCTTATGGGTTGGAGCTTCAAATTTATAGTACTTTTACAGGAACGCAAGGTTGCTGAAAGAAAAAAAAAAACTAGGCTTGACCGAGGTAATGGCAGACAGTTGACAGTTGCTAGGCAGTGACTCAAGGAACAATGAAGCAAATGTTCAGAAATGATGTGAAGAGTGTCAGGATGACAGTTGACTGCAGCACAATTACAGGTTTGAAATTAGTTCTTTTTTTTTACGGTGCCGCTAGCAAAAAAATCCACCAAGTCAAGACAGCTGTTTAAATTTTTGTCATTTTTTTAGATTTTGGATTGTTTTAGATTTTTAACATTGCAGAATCAATGTAGTTGAATTCAGCCTACAGATGCATTCGTACATCCCTACTGTGAGCACTATTAAGCCATGCAATAAAAGCTACAGTTCAGTGGCATCTAATTAAACTATTATATTCTGCAGATTCAATTTTGTGTGCACTTCGTCTCATGTTCACCTAATTAAACTGGAATTCTGGGAAATGAAGTATCGTCTCATGGCGTTTCTTATCCTGGCTGAGTCCAAGCTCAAGTCCTGGATCATCAAATATGGCCGGCGGGACTCTGTGGAGCTGCTTCTGCAGAACTACATTGTGAGTCAATTTTGTGCCTTTAGAATGAGACTGATTGAGTCCACATACCATATCACATATCAATAACACATCATTACTGTACCTCTTTTCTCTACAGGCATTCATTGAAGGTCACAAGTTCTTTGAGCAGTATGAGACCACATTTCAGACCCTTAAACAAGCTGCAGACATCTATATTAAGTCTGATGGCTCAGGTAAAGCCCATCTCGCTTTTATTTTCCCTTACTGCAGGAGAGTTATGCTTCTTTTCATAATCACAGGGTGATTCTAGAGGTGCTATTTTTTTCCTTCTTGTGGTGGACAGCGTGACAGCCTCATTCTGTCAGCTTTTTTTTCCTAGTCGTGACTCTATTAAAGGAGACTGACTTACTGCAGGAATTATTTTTTGACCCACCAGGTCTTTTAACTGCATCCACAAATGTCTACTGTAGTAGTTAACCATTTCATTGATGTTCAGCCATTTAGCCTAATAAGAAGATGGTTTTTATTTGTGAGGGCCTAATTGTTCATCTCATATTCTAGGCTGTAAGATCTCCAGGAGAGGTATGTTTAGAAGCACTTAGGCACTTGCTACTAGACCCTTAGGCACTGTGGTCAGTGTGCACTGTTCTGTGATTGACTGTGCACTAATGTTTAATCTCACAGCTCAGTGGTACTGATACGCTCTTCCTTTGATTCTCCATATCTGACAATCACACATGCTCACAACTACTGTTAACTGACTATGATATAACTCTAATCCCCTATTGCTGTAACTCTCTTATGCTCTATTACAGTTTTTGCATGTCTCTTCACTTTATTTATTCCCTTACTCTGGGAAGAATATTCTCCTTTATTGTGTAAATGTGCTCATAAGGTGGCCTGTGCTTTCAGCTGAGGAGCGTGAGGGGGTGAATAAGTTTCTAAGTGATGCGACGGCGCAGTGGAAGAACCTGTCAGTGGAGGTGCGCAGCGTTCGCAGCATGCTAGAGGAGGTCATTTCCAACTGGGAGAAGTACAGTAGCACGGTGGCCAGCCTGCAGGCCTGGCTGGAGGATGCCGAGCAGATGCTCAACCACTCAGAGAGCGACAAACGTGTGAGTGCAACAAGAGCACAGGCTCAGATATACTCTGTACATTAGATTCAAACAGTCTGTTGTCAATTCAACAAGGCTTATTCATTTGCAGATTTCTGCTATTGTCAGTGGAAAATTTTGTGACCACAGTCGTATTTATGCTGCTATCATATTTAAATGTTAAACTGCAAACTGATGCATGGTCTAGCATTTATACATTTTTCTGGCCAGTGCCTGAATCTCACATAATTTTAGATTAACCTTGGTCATGTAGATTTGTAATGTTTACAAAAATCCTGGTTAACTTTTATCAAACCTTTATAGAAAACATTCTCAGTGGGCACATTTTGGTGCCATTCAACCTGAGTGCCCAAGAGCACTAGCAATTGAAAGGACTGGCATCAAAAATTATACAGCACTGCCACAGCTACTAGACATTTACTCTACCTGCTGTAGGAGGAAAGTCCAAAGTTTTATTTTTAAGTCCATCCATCCAGCAAATTAGTGCTTTCTCTCAGGCAGTTAGAGTAATAAACAGTAGCATAAGTACACACATGGACACATTAACTGCAGATACACGTTTGGTTGTTTAAATGTCATGTTATAGTATTTATGAGCATATATTAGCTATTTCCATGTTTATTGTGTTTTTTTATAGTCTATTATACACAAAATACAAGAAAGAAATTGTTTTTTTTTTGTATATGTTTTATTCATTTTACAAGGATGACTTGGAGTGCAAATGGCAATAATTATAATAATAAACTTATTAAACACTGTGGGAATCTTGTAAGGAATTAGATTTTGCCGTTTTGTGTCTCTTGCAGGAATTCTTTCGAAACCTTCCACATTGGATACAGCAGCACATGGACATGAACGATGCAGGGAACTTCCTGATCGAGACTTGTGATGAGACTGTGTCCAGAGACCTGAAGCAACAGCTGCTCCTTCTCAACGGCAGATGGAGGGAGCTTTTTGTCAAAGTTAAACATGTGTGTGATATTCAACTTTGTTGTTGTCATTTTGCTATCCGCTCAATTTACGTAATGCATTTATTTAAATGTAATTGCAAAATTCTGTAATTAATTGCGTAGTGAGTTATGCTGTGTTTGGAATGGTTCACATGTTAACACATTCACTGTTCACTACATAGCACGTACTATATAGTGAACTGTCTGGTCAGTGAGTGCGTTTACACGCACTTAATAATCCAATAATAACTGCAGAAAATCTGATTTTGTCAGTAATCCGATCAACGCTTTTACATGCTCTTGAGTAGTCAGATAATGAAAAACTCTGGGTCTACATGAGTCAGGCAGTAATCAGATTTCTGCTTTGCAACCAACCAATAAACTCACAGCAGAAGACCTGACGTAAACATTATTTAAAACTCAAACTTCATGCCGTGGCTTTTTTTCAAGAACATTGCGCTACTTCACCTGAAAATATGAGCGTACATCATCTAGAAGATGAAGAATATTTAAATACTTTATTTCGTGTTTGGTTTCAGCGCCTCTCCAAAAGTGTTTTGCTGCCATTTTGCGATATCCACCATCTGTTCTCGCGCAGATGCAGACTGAGAAATCCGATAGAAATCGAAGTACGAGTATACATTCACTGAGAAATCTGAATACTGAGCTAAAATCTAGCTCTCTTTATTGGATTTCTTAATCGGATTTCTAGATTGGAGTACGGTGTTTACATGACCATTTAAATAATCAGATAGCTGCAGAAATCTAAATATGATCCGATTATTGAGTTCATGTATACGCACTCAGTGAGCACAGAATGACACAAGGATTTATCACTGAAAATTTAAACAACACTATAACATGGTCGACACACTATATAGTGCACTATTTTTGTAAAGGGTGCGATTTTAAAAGCAACTTCACATAGTCAATTACATTTGCATTGGATTTACATTGTCGCCTGGCACCTCTGACTTTTTTTCCCAAAATATGGCAAATATGTAAAGGTTATTTTTTTTGCTTTACATAACACAAGATGGTAATGGCAATGATAGCTTTTTACCAAATTCAAATTAGAAAAAAAATCTGCTAACACTTTACTTGAACACTGCATGACATTGACATAACCACATCATTGCATACATAATATGCTGTCATGACTCGTCAAGATGGATTTTGTTCAGTAATATAACAGTGTCATGTTACCATTACCTGTGTTTGTCATTATGTATAATGTTTGATGTCATGGTGGTTAACTGGAGTAAAATTAGCAGGTGGCATAAGCTGTCATGACGTCAAATTTGATGGCATCTGTCAGGACAATTACTGGTAATGGTAGCAGGACACTGTTATATTAGTCTGTTATCATTACTTATGACAGCATATGAGTTTCTCATCTTGTTTCACTGAGCTACGATTGGGAAATAATTAATGTAAATTGCAAAATGCTGTTCATATTGCTGTCTATAAATGTGACTTTTAAAGTTTAAATCTTCTCATTTATTTCGCTAAAAGGATCAGTGGAAATAACACACTGTCTCTCCACATGCAGTATGCAAGAGCAGATGAGGTGGACAAGCTGAGGAAAGACTATGAGGATGGTATCTTAGCTTTAAAGATATTTTTGGACACATCCAATGAGAGGATGAATACGCCAGTTCAAGTGTCCTTCTTGAACATAAGGACATTTCTTCAAGATATTGAGGTAAAAAATATAACGCAAGAGTTGTTCATACAGTTTTTAAAGCGGTTCTAAAAATAAACATTTAATGTGAATTTCAATTCTACCTTTCTTGAAATCATCATCAGGACATCAAGCACAAAGTACCTGCAATGGAGGCAGTATATAAGACAGCGACACGCAACGCCCAGCAGCTGACCAAAGACACTCCTCAGGAGGAGATCACACAGATGCTGGCTGCCATGGCAACCATCAAAGAGGAGCTTAGCAAGGTGCCTGTCTCTGTCTGTGTCTAACCTGCTCTGCCACATCAAAGAGACGAGTGTCACTTTTCATTCTTTTGATTAACATGACTTGAATGACCTCAATCTGTGTTAGATAAGGGAGAAGGCCTTGCCTCTGCTGAGGGATTCCCAGGCCTTGCTGCCTCCTTTAGAAGAGATGGAGAAGCACATCACTGGGTTCTATCAGTCTCTGGAGAAGGCCAGCCGCATCACCAGCGCACGAGACTCTGAGACTCCAGGAGACTTCAAGCAGAAGTGTCAGGTGACTGAGGTCATGAGTTAGAACCGTTAATAGTATAAAAAGCATGAAAATACAGATGTTATCTTAGATTATGTTGATATTACAAGCCATATTGCTCAATTCTGAGTTTGTGCTCAAATCTAAGCTTACTTTCCTAACAGTTTACGTTTGTTTCGTAGGTGACAAATCTGTTGTTAGTGTGAATACACCTCTGTTCTGAAAAGACCCACATGCTCATATATTATTAAACCTATTAAATAAACCACTGCTAATACAGCACATATAAAAAAAAACTCATGAATTCTGATCTGACCTCTCTGCACTTAATGTACTTGAACATTTAGGTCTGGTTTCCTGGACAAGGATTAACAAGTCCGTAGCGAGTCTCCATTCAAATTCCTGTGTGCTCTAAGACTAGACGTAATGCCTGTCTGGGAAACTTGCCCTTAAATGTGTGTTGAAAAGGGTTAAGACAAGTCAGCTTCACTTGTTTTGGTTAGGTAGAGCCATATTTAACAGTAGATTCGTCTCATGTTGGATATGTGTTTCATCTAAGATCACATATGAAAGTGGCTCAAATCTAAAAGGAAAAGGTCAGATTGTGATTTCTTAAAAGAAATCAGATCTGTTTTACATTCAGGCAAAAATCTGATTTGAATCACATCAGTGCTGTTATGTGAATATTGTCATAGTTACAGGAAAATTCAGCGATATATGTACTTGTATGCAAAAGTTTGAACACCACTAGTCAAATGTTTGTTCATTGTCTATGTAAAAATAAGTTAAAACATCCTCCAGGGAATCTGTTCATTTGCTCAGTATAACATATTGGAATTGTGCATTAAAATATGCGGAAATGTCTTTTTTGTAGATGTCATGTGTTTATTGTCACTTAGAAAATCACTGTGTAGTTTTCAAACTTTTGCATATGATTGTATGGATTATACAAAAAGGTTTACACTGTCATATTTATGTCTGGAAATGACTTTTGTCACCAGTGTTCTCTCTCTCTCTTTCTCTCTCTGTTTCTGTGTATAGGAGCTTGTGACATACCAGCAAAGCTGTAAAAAGTGTCTTACAGTGATTGACAAAAACCATCAGATCATAACGAAGGCCCTGGAGAGCAGTAAAACCTTGAGACACCTGGACACAGCTCTACTGGAGAAGAGAGTGGCAGAACTTCAGGCTTCCTCGCAAGTGAGCTAATCTTTCTAAGGACAAAGGGCTGAGGGTAGCCGTTGTCATTAATAAAACATATGGACCATGTATATTGCTTATTATATATTCCAAGCTAATACAGCACTTGTGTGACTGTGCATGCATAATTTATGTACTGTATGTAATTATATGTATTCATGTGCCTAAAGGCTATGGTAAAAGAGACCACTGATTGGAAGAAGCATGTAGAGGCCAACAGCAGCCTGCTGAAGCGGTTTGAGGAGTCTCGTGCAGAGCTGGAGAAAGTTCTTAAAATAGCCCGAAGCTCTATGACAGAGAGAGGAAACCCAGAGGACCTGCTCAAAAAGCACACCGTAAGATGAAACCTTCAACAATCTATTCTAATACACTTAAAGTAGGCTAAGAACTGTGTTCATTCTCCAATACATGCAGTAGTTCCCTATGGATAAACATGTTGTACATGGGGTCTTTTTTGTTTGTTTACATTTCTGCAGGAGTTCTTTGGGCAGCTTGATCAGCGAGTCCTTAATGCATTTCTGAAGGCCTGTGATGAGCTCACTGACATCTTGCCTGAGCAGGAACAGCAGAATCTACAGGAAACAGTCAGGAAACTGCACAAACAGTGGAAGGTCAGGTGACTCTTTCAACATGCAAGCCCTGTAACATTTCTCACCGTTCAAAAGAATTAGCCTATTTGCTGAAATGTTTTTAGGTATTTTGTCCCCCACTTCTACATACATACATACATCATCTAAACCGCTTATCCTTCTGGGTCGCGGTGGGGTGCTGGAGCCTATCCCAGCTGTCATTGGGCAAAAGGCAGGATACATCCTGGACAGGATCGCCAGTCCATCGCAGGGCAGACAGGCAGACAGACAGACATACACAAACACACACACATTCACACCTAGGGGCAATTTTTAGCACGTCCAGTTGGCCTGACTGCATGTCTTTGGACCGTGGGAGGAAACCGGAGTACCCGGAGGAAACCCACACAGACACGGGGAGAACAGGCAAACTCCACACAGAAATGACCCCGGTCAACTGGCCGGGAATCGAACTCAGGCCATTCTTGCTGTGAGGCGACAGCGCTACCCACTGCGCCACCATGCCGCCCCCCACCCACTTCTAATGTTGTGTAAATAGGTCTATATTTTTTCCACTAGACATATTTGTAGAGGTCAAGCAATTTAGAGTAATTTTTGGACTTTCATTGATATGTGGACGCCATACAGATTATCTTTAGACAAACTCCATTAGTAAACCACCTCTTGGTAGCCTAAAATTGCGCCTCTCAGAAATTAAAAACCGGATGAGACACAGCTCACTGGTGCTAACAGTGATAAGACTGAACTCATCCTCATTGGTTCTAAATCTACTCTCAATAAAACTCTTTCTCTTCCTCTTTCAGTTATTCTGTTATTTTGTCTCTTGTTTAAAATCTGGGTGTCATCTTTGATTTTACACTTAGGCACAGTCGCATTTCTGCTTTTTACCCCTACCCCTTGTTTTCGAGTGTCACTCTAACCCCTTGGAACTGAGTTACAAGGGGTAGTCATTGAAATCTTGCCCTATGAAATGGGACAACCCTAAAAAAAAACAAACAAAAAAAAAAACATTGCTTCATTAACAGGCTACTAGCGGTGCTCTGGTGACCCGGCCCGTCTTCAGTGATAGCAGAGAAGGGAAAAGTTCATCGACCTCACTGCTGGGCTTTAGTTACATTTAGAGAATCATATGCCTTCAAAGAGGGGGTATAAAATGATTAATTATTATCGCCCACAACTAATTCTTTGGTGATACGAAGCTGAAGTCAGCTATTCACCAGCTTCTTGTCAGATTTTCCCATTCCACCTTAAATGGTGCAGCAGTTGCATTCAGGCGTCAATACTGCTGGACTATTTAAGGTGGAACGAGGAAGTTAGCTAGCTAGCTACTGAGACATCAGCATGCTATTAGCGATTTTTTAATGGTTGTTTTGAAGAAAACACCCATAATACATTGAAACAACATTAAACTAAGATAATACAATGGTTACTGTAATTTTTTAGCGGAGAAAATACTTACATTCATGGGTTTTTTGGTCGCTCGAGCAGCCATCTTGCCGTTTTTTCGTTTTTTCTCATGACACTCTGTTTGGAGTGTGCCTCTGAAAAGCCTCCGTTTGGAGGGCCATATAGCCCTAACACTTCGCCCTACCCCTCTATCTCAGCAAAAAATTGGGACACCCTAACCCTAGACTTGAACGTGCAAAACAGAGGTGGTAAGTGGTAGGGGCAAGGGGTGAAATGGGATTGGGCCTTAAACTCACATTCTCACATCAGCTCCCTTGTTAAAACCTCTTTCTTTCATCTGTGCAAAATTGCTAAAATTCAACCATCTCTTTCCCAGTCTGCTGCTGAAACTGCTGAAAAATGTGCTCATTTATAGCCCCTTAGATTGCTGCTCTCAGGCATCCAAACTGTAATCTGTAAGCGTCTTTGGGTGAAAAGCTCTGTATAATTGTCATGAATTATTAGAATAGAATCTATCAGGAAAGTATGCAAATGGAAATGTACTATGAAATGGTCAAGATGGGCTCTCGTCTAATGACCATTATTTCTCTCCTCAGGATGTACAGACAGAGATTCCTTACCATCTACTGAATCTGAAGGTGGAGGTGGAGCGCAGTCGTCTGATGACATCTCTGCAGGAGTGCCAGGCTGAATTGGCTCGAGAGAATCGCAGCCTGCCAGGCATGGGTAGCGAGAGACTGGTCAAAGAGCACAGGGTGAGAGTCACTCTTTAAAATCATATACACTGCAATATGATTGATTAACTTCTGTGCACAGCACATGGGTACCTTATTTAATCTGCGTTTTTGGTGCAGCTTCAATATTCAGTGGTGGTTTGGTTAATTCTGATGTCTGTGTGTAGGCCTTTTTCAGAGAGAAAGGCCCTCAGATGCTGTGTGAGAAGAGGCTGCAGCACATGGAGGAGCTCTGTCTGAAGCTGCCAGAGGGTGAGCAGGCCCACCAAACCCTGGAAAATGCCAGAGCTGCCTTTGCTGAGGTTAAAGATGACATAGAGAGCACTCACCAGAAACTCATGCAGCACCCAGACAAGTGGAAAGAGTTTAACACCAGGTAATTATTTTCTTCACATCTGCTACATGAAATAAGTCTTTGAATTGAGTTTTACTTTTTGATGCATCACCTTGTAGTTTGTCATGTAGTCTTTGCAAGACATGCAGTTATGAGTACTAATATTAAGTGTAAAATAAGCTAACCAAATGTTTTATGTTTTATTGCTGTTGAATGATGTGTTTTGGTTCTAATATTGCTTTTCCTGTGTTATTGTGACAGATTCTCTGAGCTGTATGCCTGGTTAACTTCAAAGGAAAGCCAACTCAGGCTTTTGCGAAACCGAGCCGGTGACCCCAGCAAATTTAGCCAGGTCAAATCCACCATAGAGGTAAGAAAAAAAAAAGAGAGCAGGATGTGAAGACTGTAGATGTGTAAGTACGGAAGATCTCTATAGCCCTCTACTATTGATGTACAGAGCCTGAGGAATGATGCTGAGTTGCAGGAAGGGAACATGGGCTGGCTGAAGTCTCGCCTGGCTGTGCTGATAGAGATCTGCACTGAGAGTGATGCTCAAAGGCAGGCAGCTGCCCTCAGCAAACTCTCGACTGACTTCAAAAGCTTGCTTACCTCCCTCTCTGAGGTAAGACCCAGCAAGAGAGATGAGTTCTTGCTATTAGAGTAAAGTAGTTCCTTCAAACGCTTAATAAATTATTTATCAGTTCTGTGAATGTTTCCTGTCAGTAAATGAGGCTGAAAATTCACAGCTTTTCCAGATGACTGCACAAATGTTTTGAATTTTTTTTAATCAGGATTTTTATTAAAAATATTTTGAGGTATTTATTTCATTGATTCGATAAATATTCAGTAATAATTGTGCATGTATGTGTTTGTGTGTGTGTGTGTGTGTATACATATAGTCTGAGAAAGTGGTACTGGCAGTTGGAGACTGTGTTCAGTTCCAGGAAGAGGTGAGGAGCACTCTGGATGAGCTAATGCTGGGGCAGCAGGAGTTGCAGGCAGAAGTAACAAAAATTCTCAACTCTGAGTCTGCAAGAGAAGCCCAGCAACTGCTGCTCATTCACCAGGTACCACCACCTGGAATCTGATGTGTAGAATCATGGGGATACTTGTATTTGCCTCCCTTAGATCTGAGGGTATTTGATTTGTGTTTTATGTTTCCCATCTCCCATCACGCAGCAACAGCTCAAGCGTCTGCGGCTGAAGAGGAAGGACATGCAGCAGCAGCTCAGCCGAGGCCAGCAGCTCCAGAGTGAGGAGGGCCTTGGGGAGAGTCTACAAGAGGATCTGCAGAAACTGGAGACCACCCTGAGCAAGATGGACCAAAGCATGGAGACACAGGAGCAGAGTCTGGAGGTCAGTTAGTGCATCCTGTCTGTTTTGCATTGTGATGAGCCCTCTCTCATTTCTCTGTTACCATGGCAGTTTATGTGTAAAAACACATATTTTTAACACACAAATTTTTCACACAGTTAAAGCAGTTTGACAAAAAATTAGTTTTCTTCTTACTACCAGTGTAGTCGTTGTAAAAGAAAGGTTTAACATTACATAACAAACATTAAGTTGTTGAGTGACTCATTTGCTAATGTGGTTTCTGACACTGAATGTGATACTGTCGCTTTAATAAATTAAAGAGAAATAGAAATAGTCTTACCACAGCTGCTCTTTCTCTCTGTGTTGGCAGGCAACGCTGGCTGCATGGCAGGAGTTTGATAGCCAGCACGCAGCAGTAGGGGAGTTTGTGAACCGAGCGCGCTCATTTACTGAGAGAGAGATGACTTTCAGTAGCCCAGAGAGCCTGACTGCAGAGCTTGAGCAAGCAAAGGTGACAGCAAAATTATGTCCTCCAAAAAGCATTTATATTTGTCAGTTTTCGTTGAATAATAAAGTTTTTTTAGTCAGTGATACCTTATATTGAAATAGGTATGTTTCATTCATGTATACAGTTTTTACCCATATTTTGATGTGCCATATGTGATATTACTGTTTCAGGAGCTGCTGAAACAAAGTGAGACTGAGGCCAAACTGGTGAACACCCTCCTGAAGAGGGCAGCAGAGATCCAGCTCGGTCCTAAGAATCAGTCTCTGCTCCAGAGTCAAGCTCGCTCTCTTAGTGAACAAATGGACAAAGTTGAGGCTGGCCTCAAGAAAGAGTAACATACCACTTTTCTACATCTATGTTATTATAACTCCATTTGGAGACTGCAGCTCTTGGATATCTGTATTAGGTGTTTTTAGATCCAGAATTCAGCAAAAAAGCTGTCATACACAATATTTTTAAGTGCTGTGTTAAAGACCTCTGCCCTGTCAGGATTTATATTATTACTCTCTGTTATCTGTAAATGAGTAAACAGTTTTTCATGTTTCTCATATTTTCATAACTGTCTCATTCTTAGTGTAAAGACTCTGAAAGGAATGAAAGCTGAGTGGGACTCATTTGGGAGTGAGTTTGAGGAGTTTTCCACATGGATCACTGAGAAGGAGAAGGAAGTAGAGGTTATAAAAAGCTCTAATGCACCACTGGAGCAGCAGATAAGCTCTATGAAGGTACATTTTGTGGATTTAAGTGTATCATACTGAAACAAGCACCATATGTTTGCGTGTAGATCCACATATCTCAGTAAACTGATACACATAATTTTTTTCCTAATATCATCAGATAATACAGTCTTCCCTTGTGTTTTCTTTGATGGCCAGGCTGTGAAAATTGAGCTGCAAGAGCAAGCAGAGACCCTGTCCCATCTGGAAGAGAGGGCTCAGGCAGTGGCCCAGTTTGTGTCATCAGGAGAGTCTGCACGAATCAAAGCTCGTCTGACACAGATTGGCAGGTACTGGGAGGAGCTTAGGGAGAGCGTGGAGCATCTGAATGGACAGTTGGAAGAGAGCTCCTCACACCAGCAAAAGTTCAATGCAAACCTTCAACAAGTAGGTCTACTTTTATTGTCGCTGTCATATCTAAATGTTCTATATGTTAAACTCCTTTTTTTATTTCTTTTTTTCACCATTTGAAAACTGCAGCTTTCCTTTATGTTGTGTGAGGATTTCATGGTTAATGAATAGAATAGAAAGGAACATTAAATGGTCCAAAATTACGTAAAAAAATCTTTTTACATTGGCATACATTTATTTTAAGATTTTTTCCCCTCTCCTATAAACTAACCATTTTGGAGACTTTTTTTTCTGTAAAAATCCTATGGACAGAGACGTAGCTACTGATATATTTTGGAATTCAGGATTGTTAAGGTCTCAATACAAAATGCTGTTTCATTTGCTTGGTGCTTTGCTGTGATTCTTCCTTTTAGGTACAATCAGAGATTGATGACATGCAGAAAAAACTGGACACACCTGTTACATCCTGTATATCCTCATCTGCGACCTACAAAGCTCTACAGGACCACTTGGTATTTTCCCTGTGACTCACGTGTTTCGACAAAGTATTTGAGTTTGTCGACATGTTCAATGGAGGTACATTTAACTGAACATGCATATGCTTCTGTTCTTTTTGATGATGTCATTTTTTTGTTTTCAGGATATATTCCAGTCCCTGGAGAAGCTGAAGGCCACCCTGCTGTCTCTATGTGCTGGGGCCCGCAGGCTAAGTGAGAGGGAGAAGGCAGAGAAAGAAGTAACAGCTCTACAGCACAGCTATGAACAGAGCCTAAAGCAGGCCAAAGACAAGCAGGGCCAAATGGAGAATCTGCTGTCACTCTGGCAGAAGTATGTTATCTTTCACTTTGTGTTCATTTCAGACATCTATCCTCAAATCCACCCTATTATTAATATACATCTGCCCTATTATGAGAAAAAACTAAGCTGCACAATTTTCAGTCAAGACGTGTTTTGCTCTGTTGCAAAACTAAAGAAGCAAATGTCAGATACCAAACATGTCTCTGCTGATCAGCTGCATTTGGGATAAAGAGAAAATTGTGTACATTTGTGACACCATTTGCAACACTATACCCTTAAAAGATGCAGGATATTAGGATATCTCAGTCTTTTGTTGATTTTTTTTTTGTCTCAGGTATGAAAAAGACTGGTTGTCTTTGCAATCCTGCCTGGAGAGATGCGAGTCCATGTCTGTCTCTGCTAACCAGTATCTCAGTGTTGACAAATCAAAGTTGGATGGAGAGCTGATGGAACTGAATGTAAGTCAGAAAAGGGAATGCTTAAGTTTTGATATAAAAAATATGGGCACCTGGCACTTTACCCATAATTAATGAAATTAAATGAAATTATTTTTCTGTTTACTAGCACCTACAATCTGAGCTGCAGTCCTTGGGGTCAGTGTATAAGGGACTGCTGACCCAAGCTCCAGTCCTGTACCCCACGGCATCAAATGAACGAGTGGAGGCACTTGAAGAAGATCAAGAGCAGCTGAAGAAAAGATGGAATTCACAAAGCACAGCGATACCCCACAGGTCAGACACTTATAGTGACTCAAAAATATAGAGCCCATTGTTTAGTAGGATTAAGTTTTTGTCTTTCTGTAGTGGAGAAATTGGCCCTTATTTGTCTTCTCATCACAGAATTCAGGTGCTTCGAGATCACCTGTCTCAGGTGGAAGATTTTGACCAAGCTCTGCAGAAGTTCTTTAAGTGGGGAGAATCTTTCCTCTCATCTCTTCACCCATTCTCCCAAGTGAATTTCACAGACTTACAGCCAATTGCTGTGGAAATAAAGGTGCGTCCTGTCATCGGTATAGGATGTGTGCAAAAACCTCATATCAGTCATGCAGTATCATTCAAGATTTTGCTGTCACTTGTTGTATTAATGACTTTTGTTATTTTAGGTATAATAATAATTTAAACAATGTGTGATTTCAATATTATAAACATTATAAATATTGTTAAATATTTTTAGATGTTTTATTCAATATTTCATGTATTTTGAGAACATGAAGAAGATGAATAGCATACTGTAATCATCTATTCCCGATTATGTTTTGTCATAGCTGTTGATATACATTATACACATTTTGAAGCACAATTATTGGTTTATTTGCTTGGTTTAACATAATGGAAAATTGTGGCCAGTATGAAAATTGTCACTTATTTTATAGTTTATGTTTTATTTTCTCCAATATGTTCAATTCGGCAGTCATTCTGATCTTATCACTATCATTATGAGTCAAAGCTTGCATGTTAGAATAATTTTACACATTTTCATGCCAAGAAATTATTTTTATAATAATGAAAAAGTTGATTTCAAACCTTCGATCAGTGATTCCATACTAACTGAAGTTATTTTTGCATTGTTTAATTAACTGAGAGTCAGCTGGGTTTTGTCTTCGGCAGGAGAAGGCAGAGGTTCTCCAGAGCCAAAATAAAGAGAAAGAGAATCTACAGCAGCAGACTGATGCCCTCTGTGCCACCTGTGAGCCTGTGGAGCAGCAGCTCCTGCAGAGCAGGCTGGAGAACAGCCTGCAACCCTACTTAGAAGCCCAGCAGCTGGTGATGCTGCGAGGTGAGAGTGTAGAGAAGCTGGAGGCTTTTCTGCAGACGCACAGCGTGGCGGCAGGTGTCCTACGGGGCCTCAGACACACGGTAGAGAGTGCAGGCAGCTGGGACAAGAGCCGGGTAGACGAACTGCAGAGAGACCTAGAGGGCATCGTCCCTGACATCAGCCGCCTTGAGACGCTGGCCATCAGCCTAGACAGCAGCCTATGCAAGGCTCACCTTCACCTAACTGATGGCAAGGAGGCTCGCACCTCGTGCCGCTCACTGGCTGACTCTCTGAGTGCGGAGCTGGACGGGGTAAGGACCCTGTTAGGCTCCAAACAGAGCGAGGCTGAGGCTCTGGGGGCACTGTGGAGCTCATTCAGACAACGCAAAGAGCAGCTGCTCAAGAGTGTGGAGGATATTGAGGAAAAGGCTGACCAGCAGAGCCTCAAAGAGCCCAACCTGCTCACATTACAACAGAGGTACTGTAATACTGAAACGTAGGAAATATAACAACTTGCTAAAATCAACACTTAAAATCAACTATGACAAAATCCTGTCATAATTCTATATTAATTATCTATTACTTATAACTCATTGAAACAGAAGTTCTATGGAAAGTGAGGATTTTAAATATTTGCTTAGAAATAAAAGTTTGTTAGATATTTTATTATGATTTGTATTTGCTTAAAGAAAATTGTTTTTCATACAGTCTTCATCAAAATAAATCAACCTGTCAATATACAGTGTAAATTGAATGTTAAATTAAGTAATTGTGTGAGTCAATAAGAGCGTTTCTGCGCTCACTTTAAGTACACCGAAAATACTGGAATACTTGGCACTAGAAAACTGAAACTGTGCTTTTTCCATTTGCCTTTAGTCCAGTAATCAGCCAATGACAATTTAGCCAAATTTTTACTCTTCAAGTTGGAGATAAAGCCACCAAGCACTATTACTTCACTAATAAGTGCACCAGAATAATCATATATCAGATCAGATTTACTGTGTAACACTGTATTGTGTATTAAATACTTTATTGTAAAATGCTGCGTTTTTATGATGTACAGGCTTCGGTGCTTTAACCAGCTGGAGGATGAGCTTCAGTCCCACCAGCATGAGGAGCAGTGGCTGAGGGATAAAGGCCAGCAGCTGGCCCAGCGAGATGCAGAGCTTGCTGGAGAGGTGCTGAGGGAGATCAACCTCCTTAAAACCACCTGGGAGGACACCAAGAAACTCATCACAGAAAGGTGGCCTGCTCTTTCTGTCCACATTCATCTGAACATGATACGTATCTCTCTTTACATTGAAAGTCAACTGTACATTTTTGTTGTGCTGTAGGCAGGAGCAGTGCAGTGCACTGATAGAACTCATGAGGGACTACCAGAGTATGAAATCTTCTATTACTGCAGTAGTGGAGAGTGCAGAGGCTGTGGCTGACATTAAATTTGTTATAAAGGATCAGGAAGACACCAAGAGATCACTATCTAAGGTAAGACACATTCCTCATAACAAAACCTGTCCTTGCAAAATGCATTTCCTCTGTGCTCTACTGCAATAAGGAAAATAATGTAGGCATAATTTTACTGAGGCACATACATTTGCTACATGTTTCTGAAATTTGCACTTTTTAAAATGTGAACTGATGGGTTTCTTTCTTTCATTTTTTTCAGCATGAATCAGTTAAGGCTGAACTCACAAGTAATCAGGTGGAACTGGATCGCTTCTCAAGTAAAGGAAAGCAGCTGTTGAGTGAACTAAACAGGATTCCAGACTGTCAAACTCAAGTGATAAAGACGGAAAGTGGATTCTGTAGTGGACCAGTGGCTAGATGTGAGTGAGACACACACATTCATGATCCCCATATGAAATTAACTAAGGTCTGAGAATGTGTAATTTAGCACAATCTTAGATAATTCCTTTCCACTTACAGGTATCTGAGAGAATCGAGGACAACCTTGAGAATCTAAAAAAGAGTTCGTCCATATGGGACAATATTTACAGTATCAGTGAGGAGATTGAGAGCTGGTCCAATAGCTCTGTAATGGAACTCACAGACAGCCTCAACAACTTCAATGACAGCCAGAAGACTGAAAACCGCCTTGCTGAAGTCAAGGCATGTGATGGATGCATACAGTACTTAATTCATACTGTATTTAAACTATTGGTGTCTGATCTAGTCTCTGTTTATCTGTATAGGTTGAGGTAGAACAAAAGGAAAAGAGGTTAGACAGTCTACAGGGAAAAATGTCAGAGCTGAAACAGCTTAGTGGTTCCCAAGACATTCCCCCGGCGTTGCAGGTATGGTTTCCAATTCAAAGTCAAGAACAGTATTAAAGTTTGGTCATCATCATGGTTACCTATAAACCTTAACCATTAAAATTTCTGCCAGGTCATGGAGGCTGATCTGAGGAAGAAGATAAGCAATGTGCAGGAGTTGTGTGAACAATCCAAGAACAATCTGAAAGATTTCTGCTCTCAGAAAAAACAACTGGAAGACTTCCTCTCTCAGATGACTGAATGGCTAAAAAAGGTGGAGGGATCTCTGCTGGATACACAGTGTGCATCACCTCCAGAGGAGATCTGCAGAGTGAAGGTACAGAAAAGCAGAACCGTAATTAAAAGCATATATTAGTCCAGTATGTTTTTACATACAAAGAATTTGTTACATATGTTCTTAATGACAAATAATAAGAGAACATAAAAGAAAATACACATAATGTAATAAAAATAAAAATACCTATCTAAAAATAAAGAACACACAGTGTTACTGATGCAAAGCAGCATGAAGCAACAAAGGCTATTTGAGTGCTAATAACACCCTCTTGTGGAGAGTATTCAGCCTGCTAAACACTGAGTGAGGTTCATGAGTTGCTTCACAACTAATAACAAACTGTAGCACTGTACAGGTTCAGGTGGAATAGACAACTGAAGTTGGGCTTTGTAGCAAGTAAGAGACAGTATAAATAGCACAGCAATCATCTGCAGATTCATATTTTATGCTCTTTAGTGGGGTGTATTTAGCAGCTGAAGTTGTTCATATGAGCCTAATATCACTGTTTAATTGTGCTTTTTGGGTTTCATTATAGCTTAATCTCTAACTATATATGTACTGTTTTGCAGGATATCCAGAAAGAACTGCAAAACCAGCAGGCCAGCATAGACTCGGCACGAGAGAGCCTGAACACCCTTTGTAGGAAGTACCCCTCAGAAGAACTGACTAGCCTTGGTTCTGCTTTAACTGATCTCATCAAAAAATATGAAACTGTCAGTCAGATTTGTGTTAAAAGACTTGGGTCAATGCAGCATGGGCTACAGCAGCTCTTCAATGGTGAGAGTTAGCATAAAATGACTTGCTCGTCTTTGATATATGCATTACCATGCAGTAAGTAGATATTGTCCAGTTTCACACCCCTCTTTCTTCATGTCATGCTTTTTTTAGATCTTGTGAAGCAGTTTCACACATGGCTCGCTGGACAAAAGGACATAGTGAGAGAATGCTCTGACCATTCTGGGGACACCAGTGTTGTAGAACGTAAATTGCAGAAGCTGAAGGTATTGTTAAGTGAAAGGATAATTGGCCTAAACCAGCCTACAGTACATGTTTGTATAACAATGGATTTTGCCTTAGAAATCAACTCAAATGTAGTGACATTATACTGACTTCTGAACATTTGAACATTTTCCATTGCCTTATTGTAAGAAAACTCCTGTGTCTTGCAGGGGGCTCTGGAGCGGGTTGAGGATGGAGAAAGTCGTCTGATGCAGGTGTGTCAGGAGGGAGAGAAGCTGCTGCTTCACCTTCCCAAAGCTTCTGCTGGCCAGGTCCAACAGAACCTCTCAGCCATCCAGCAGGACTGGGACAGTTATGTGGAGCAGTGTAGGCTGAACCAGCAGAGCCTGGAAGAGAGTGCAGCTCTGCTCAGTGGGTGAGGACACAACCTTACTTACATCACACTGAATATTCTCAGCTTTCTCACCTGCATAACATGGGTGTTGTTCCTAGTTAAAGGGGAATTCCACTGATTTCTATCTGTCATTCAGAGTGGTTTAATGTGAAGAAACCTACAGAGTTAATTGTTCACAGTGCTGGTGATCAGACAACTAAAGCTTTTAATGCCTTTTAATGCTAACTCACAAAAAGTTGTTAGATTAAATGGTTATGATCACTCTAGCTGATGCCTGAGACATTGCTTTACAGTAGTTTTGACATAAGATTTTAGCCTACAATGTGTTTTTTTTTAAAACAAATTCATGGCAGAGAGACAGATGCAAATCCAAAAAAACTTGTTTTTTCAGCTTTACAGTAATTTTACCATTAGCAATATTACATATAAGAACTCAGAAAACACATACATGTAGGGTCACCGAAGGTTTTGGATAGTAACTAAAATGGTAGATTTGCATCGTAGAAATTGTGACCCATGGTTCCTATTACCATCACTGTAAAGAATATCTGTGTCAACAAGTCTTTAAAATGCATCATTTTCACATCCAACCACACTGAAATACATTGTTTACCTCTCAGCGATTGAAATGTGCAGAAATATTGAAAAATCAGTGGAATTCGTTTTTAACAGTAGTTGATCTTAGTGTTTCTTTAATTACACATGGTGTTTTGCTGCCCATTATCTCATCATGAAAATTATGCATGTGTGTGTAGTATAGCACATATGTCAAACACAAGGCAGGCGGGCTAGATTAGGCCCTTGACACATTCATATCTGGCCTGCGGTATTATTTAAATTTTCTATTAATATTAGTTGTTTCACACTGCACTGCACTACAATCCCCAGCGTGCACTGCAAAACAATGTGTGTTCCCACCCCCCCTCCTCTAACAACAATCTATGGGACAGCGGTTACACCTCAATTCTACCACACTTGTCATACCACCAAGCATACTAGCTGCGTTTCAGTTGCAGTTCAACCAATATAAACCCTATAAACACCCAACTGAGCAGCTCAGCTCACAATGAATAAACTTGACAGGTATGTAGATCAAGCAAATAGCTTAGGGGGAGTTTTTTTTTTTAAATGTATTAAGTTTTCATTAAATATTTCAAGATCTACTACAAGTGCCTAAATTTTGCTGTTGACAGTTTGCTGTATTTTGAATAAACATGAAATAGAAATATAGGTGATTTCTGGCCCATGGATTTGTTGAGATTTTTAAAATGGCCCTTTTAGTGATTAAGTTTAACATTTATGTAGTATAGTATTAGGATAGTACAGTGCTTACTTTTTAAGTACTCAGTTTACATGTAAATATGCAAATCAGCTATAGCACACATTTGTACATCAATGGTATTATGTGTCTAGTAAGCATCTTGTCTGTTCTTTATTTTATAGTTGATGGCTAATATTTTCCTATCTACTGTCTGTCTAATATCTATCTGCTGTCGGTCTGTCTGTCTATGTAATTAACAGCATTGGATGATTTCTATAGAGATAATGCATGGTGGGCCTGGAGAGAGAATGTACAGGTTGTTGCTTAAGCCATCCTGGGTTGGAATTAGCACATGTGCATGTTCTTGTCTGTGCAGCTTTGAGAACAGTCTGCAGAGGCTGAGCCGCTGGTTAGAGCGTATGGAAGTGAGACTGAGCACAGAGTTTCCAGAGGGCAAACACGGCGACCAGGAGAAAGCAACACTAGAGCGTGTAGAAGAGTTCTACCAGGAAGCTCTAAAAGAGAGGTCAGACACTGTTAATGTGAACAGATATCTGTTGTCTGCTTATATATAATAAGCACTGAGTATATTGAAAGATGAACACATGCAGAAATATATAGAGGCTGTGTAACTGTTGATGTTATTGATTTTGTATTCCTCTTTTCCTGCAGGGACTCCTTTGAGAATCTGTGTCAGGAGGCTCAGGCTCTGAGTGATGGAGGTCATGGCAGTGGGTCAGAGCTGCGGGTTTCTACACAGCTGCAGATGCAGCAGCAGAGTCTTCTGAAGGCGGTGAGGGAACGCCTGCGCAGCTGGCAGCAGAGCCTGCAGGAGCAGCAGGCCTTCGAGGAGACACTGCAGAGCACCTGGGCCTGGCTCAACAGCATCCAAGAACGACTCACAGCACTCAATAGCACCACAGGCAACAAAGAAACTTTGGAGAAGAGGCTGGGGCTAGTACAGGTTGGTAAACCATCTAATATCACTCAGTTCTAAGCCATTAGCTCTCAAAACAGAAGGATTAGTGGAATTAATGATATCGTTGATCAGTTATTCCATTACTGGATGCTGTAGCATTGTAAAATTTGATTGTCATGTTGCAGGATATCCTGTTGATGAAAGGTGAAGGAGAGGTCAAGCTGAATATGACAGTAGGGAAGGGAGAACAGATTGTGAAGAACTGCAGTAAGGACAAACAGAAGGCCATCCGCTCTCAGCTCCAGAGTTTGAAAGATTCCTGGGCCAACATGCTCATGACTGCCATGAGCTGTCACAGGTAGGGTTAATCTGCTTCAGCACATGTAATAACATAATTCAAGTTTATTGCTTAGATTCAATTTAATTTGATTATTTTTGGACAATTCCAAATGATTTTTACATTTTTATTTTGACATTTTTTTATTATCATATGAAATGATCATATATACATTTCTATGATCATTTTATATCAGTATTTAAGTTTGTTAGAGGATTTGTTAACTTGTTTTCTAACGTGATTTGGGGGTGTTCATAAATCTCTCATAAGTCAGTGCACTTGTCTTGCCTCATTTAGCATTTTTAGAGTCTGTGTAGTAATTGATAATAAATAATACAAAATGACCTCATGGTTAATCATTACTAATGTTTGTTTCTACCCTGTGTATGGATACTGCTCAGTCGTCTGGAGTGGACGGTGTCTCAGTGGAGCAGCTATCAGGAGGGGAAAGGCCAGCTTCAGCAGTGGATGGAGTCGGTGGAGCAGGAGGTTGGAGTGGCTCTGCCTCAGCAGCCTGGCCTGAAAGAGAAAGTCTCTCTGCTGGAACGCCTGCGGGCCATACAGGCTGATGTGGAAGGCCACTCAGCAGCGCTCAGTCGCCTGAATGAAAAAGCTGCAGAGCTTCATGAGAAGACCGGAGACCAGACCTTTGCTGAAGAGCCCAGAGAAGAACTTAACAGCCAGTTCTCTGACATCACAACAGTCATCAAAGTAAAGATGATGGCTTTCCTTTCTCTTGCATGCATTACATTACATTTGATATGATCATTTTTTAATTATAGTCTTGGTACAAACCAAATATGCATGATCTTATGGATGCTGAGCCTGATAAAATGAATGCAAATGAATACCTTCATATTGTTGTGGTTTTCCAACAAATGTTTTTCCTGCTTATTGTGCATCAAAACCTGCTTAAACAGGGAGAGAAGCAGTGTTGATGGGTTCCCATTTTGTTTAATGTGCTATAGAGTAAGGTGCAGCAGATGGAGGAGATAGTGAAAGAACATGAACAGTATGTGGAAGCTGTGCGGGAGCTGAATGATTGGCTGACCTCTGCTAAAGAGGAACTCCAGCGCTGGTCTGACATGTCTGGGGATGCCGCCTCTATTCAGAAGAAGCTTTCCAAAGTGCGGGTAAGAATACTTATGTAGAATTGTTCTCACAGAGGTAGTGCATTGTATATGCTTAACAGCCAGTTCATATTGCATGCTATAGTCTCATTGCTTAAATATGATCTGTGTAATATGGATGTCATCGCTGTCAGATCAAAACCTTGTATCACCATTTAATTTTAATTTTTTATTAAAATTTTTTGCAGCCTTTGGAAATGGGAAGTGTCTTCACATTCTGTAAAATGACAAATGGACATTAGAAATGGTGCGATATTACTAATTACGAATTAGTAATTAGTACATTAAAGGGCCCATATCTTACATTTTTCTCGTATTTTTTTATATGTTTTTCCTTGAGGTTCATTATTAACATTTGTGTGGTTTTAAATGCCAGTAATTAATATGTAGTTCACTACTTTTCAACCCCTCTTTATTTTGAATTAAGACAGATATATGTAAATGATCTCTGTTCTTAAAGGCTTATTGTGCCTTGTTTAAAAAACAATCTGGGATGAAACATGCCTTGTTACTTCAGTGTGAATGGGCAGAGGTAAACTGCTGCAGGCTGAATGTTTGAAAATCTCTAAGTGTGCTGGTTTTTGTCACATCACAAAAGCAATGAATTAAGAACAGGCTGTTTTTGCAGTTTAGTTCCCATGTATGAACTATATGAACAGGGGAACAAATTATCTATTTTGAAACTTTAACAGTGTGTGCATACTACATCAAATCATTTCAAAAAGGTGAGAAAAAATTGGTTTTATGTGAGATGGGCCCTCAAAAATTTAAGAATATTTTTCCTTCTCATAAAAAAGTTACTATTTTGGAGACAAGATGTTTATGTTTTATTATCTGCACATGTCTGTTTTATACACCTTTATGTTTATTAATTTGTCCTGGAATACTTGACTCTAAAGGTTTTTTATAGAGTATATTAAAAGCAGACAAAAAAGGGGTGCTACTTGCAGAATTCTGTATTAGTATAAGAAGTGAACGTCTTAGAAATCTGCTCACTGTAATTCTGTGATATCTCACTGCCTGTTTCATGGCAGGAGCTGCTGGACTCCAGGAAGCAGGGCAGCGAGCGGTTGTCACGTGTGCAACGTTGTGGGTCTGCAGCGCGGGACCATACCTCCACTGTGGGCTGTGAGGTGTTAGAGAGAGAGGAGGCTGGCCTGCTGTCTGCCTGGGAGCAGTGGGAGCGCGGGGCCCAGCACGTGCGCTCGGGCCTGGAGGCCACGCTGTCTCAGATGGCCAGCTCAGAGCAGGAGTTCAACAGTTTGGCATTGCAGCTGGAGCAGGACCTGCAGGACTTCAGCAGCCGGCTGAATGAGTGCCGTGACACACTGCAGCAGGTGGAGGCCATGAACACCAGTGAGGAGGCTGTGCAGGGCTGGCAGATTGCCAAGGTAATGTGCACAATACAGAATTTCTAACAAGATCACGATGTCAACACATTCATGACGCATTGCTAAGATAACAGGTTTGGAACACCAAAATCACCACTATACTTACAAAATAAGAGTCATGAGCACCTCAGTGTTCATGTGTGCCCAGTGTCGCATCTGACCAAAATTCTCTTATGTGAATTAGGACACCCTGGAAGCATTACTCAACGTGGAGCCCATGTCAGACAGTCTGAAGTCGCAGCTGAATGACCTGTGTCGTTTCTCTAGAGACATAGGAACACAGTCTGCGAGGGTGTCTGGCCTCATCAAGGAGTATAACAGGTGGGTACAGCAAAGCTTTTTGAAGGTTTAATTTGTATGAGACAAAGGCTGATGATGAGTTCAGTTGTATCCAAACGTTTCGGCACCCCCAGTCAAATTACGTACTTTGTTGATTTTCTAAGTGAAAAGCAGTTAACATATCCTCTGCCAGGGACAAACTTAAATATGGCATTTTTTGGCAAATTTTAGTGCACAATTTCTCATTTTTATTCTGAGTTTAACATATTGGAACATAAAGACGTAAATATAACATGTGCCATTACTTTTGCACCATATTTGTGCCATAGTTAGATTTTTTTCAATGTGTTAAATTCAACAATAAACAGTAATTGTGCATTAAAATATGAAGTATGAGAAGTATCAGACGTGTGTTCTCTAGAGTGAATGTGTACTTATTTTCACCTCCAAAAAAACAAAACCCAAAATGTCATTTGACCAGCATGCCCAAACTTTTGCTTATGACTGTCAAATAGATTGTGTGCCTGCATAAATATTTGTATTGTTTTGCATAGTAGTTAGAACTGGCTCTTTCCTGCTGCAGTCTCAGTCTACAGGCCTCCCGGGAATGCCAGGGAAAAGAGAAGCTTCTGGAGCAGAAGTTCCGGACAGCTTTTCGAGATTTTCAGCAGTGGCTGGTTAATGCTAAAATTAACACAGCCAAGTGTTTTGATGTCCCTCAAAACCTCACTGAGGCTTCATCTAGTCTGCAGAAGATACAGGTACTGTTTACCAGCAAAATCTATTTTTATTTAAATGCCTTTACCTCTTATATCTAAAAGAAGTGATTATAAGTTTCAATAAAGTGTTGCAGTTGGTTGAGAATGACCTGTAGCGAATTGTTCAAGTTTAACTATGTTGTATTGATGTGAAGGAGTTCCTGAGTGACCGTGAACAAGGGCATGGTAAACTAAATGCAGTAGCAGTGAGTGGAGATCTGTTGATCAGCATCGCTGCTAAAGACCGAGTAGAAGCAGTCCGAACTAAAGTGAGCAGTACCAGAGAGGACTGGAAGACACTAATGACAAACCTGCATCAGAGAGAGACTGCTTTACAAGTATGCTTCTCAAATGTTGTAATTGTCTATGAATAATCCTGTTCCAAAAGCTAGTAATGTGTTGATTATGCATTGACTTTACATAAAATGTGACCACCTGTCGATTACTCAAGTAAATGTAAATAAATAAGAGCTGCGTTTTGACAGAACCTGCAGGCTCAGATGAGGGATTTCGAGGCCAGTGTGGAGCCTCTCCAGGACTGGTTGAATGAGACAGAGGCAGCAGTGCAAGACAGCAGCAGTCGTCTGCATGACCTCCCAGCCAAGAAACATGAGCTTCAGAGGCTCCAGGTATGGCCTTATGTGAAGCTGTCATGACCGTTCACAAACGCAGACAAAGCCATATGTCTGTCACAGCTAAGCATAATCATCGCGTTGTCATTTTTATTACTTATTTGTTGATTTTTTGTTTTGAAACCATTTCAACATTTCCCATATGTCTTCTCCCACATACACGTGTCAGTCAGATACATAGGTTTTTACATCTATAACTTATACTTTAAAGTATTCAACCCATACACATACCTAACCATTTATTCATCCTTTCATCCATCATTCATCCTTTTTGCTCCAAACTCATTTTTGCCCAGCACCCCTGACACAGACTTGTGGCATAGACACTGGTTTATGCTGGTTTATATAACTGTAATCAATGAATTTGATAAATGCGCTGTAAATGTAATAATGGTAATCATTACTTATGTTTAATAAAGTCCATAGTGTATAGACGCCACCTACTTTTGCATCATGCATTAATCTGCGCTGCTGCAAGCTGCATGTCATTTTGCTGCAGTGTGTCTGTAGCACTAACCGCATCAGTCTCTTCTGCTTGCTTTCATGTAGCCATGCTAACCCTTCAGTCTTACTAATGGAGGTGAAGAGTCCTTGTGTTGTGTCTTAAGCTGCATGCTTGTGCTAACCTGCCTGTGCATTTACAGTCAGTGCTTGAAGAGTTAGCCTCTCAGGAGGTTCAGCTGAGCAGGCTGAGAGAAAAGGCCCAGCAGCTGTGGGACGGACACACGGCCGGAAAGGGCTTTGTGCACCGCGTCTCGCAGCTCTCCGCTCACTACCTAGCTTTAAGCAACCTGACCAAGGTAATGTCAGCCTGCTTGCTGCCAGGCTGACCCTACTGCTGCCTGAAGGCTAGACTGTTATACTGTAACATAAACAGGTCTCTAACTGACATTTCATAGTCAATACGTCAGCATCCATAAACTGTGTATTTTGGATACAGATTTACAGTACTGTGCAAAAGTAAATTTATTTTAATTAATATAATTTAATTTATGTAATTCACAGTCAGTGCAGCCTTTACCTACAAGTTATTCACTTTCAGGAGCTTAAGAATAAGTGAAAAAACAAGGGTATTCACACCTGGAGTTCAAATAACTATTAAAAGGTATTTAGAAAATGGGACTCCTAACAATTGTTCAAGACCCTGGTAGACCACCAAAACTGTCACATCAGATAAAGAGTGCTTAAAGCTTTCATCTTTGAGAAAGAGGAGAAAATCAAGCTCCACTCTTGCTTCAGATCTGAGATTTTTGTCCATGTTTCAACTGTAGGAAGACAGCTTAGTGCTGTTGGGTTTAAAAGGATGTGTAGCTGTCAAGAAGCCCTTACTGAAAAAAGGGTTTCAACAAAAAAAGCAAAAAATTTGCAGATAAACAAATAAGCTGCTAGTGTTCTCAGATTAAAGGACTAGCCACCCCAGACATTATAGAATGTGTTGGGAATTACTTGGATTGTGAGAAGCACAAAATGAAACTTAACTTGTAAGACTGAACTTTGGAGGTGGGGAAAAATGCACATTTGCAGATTTCTTTGAAAAAACTGAAAGCAAGTCTTCCAAAAAGAATGCAAAATTTGGTACCAGAAAATTGATTGATTTAGATGTTGAGGCTTCTGTGTAATTTTTGCTGACATCGAAAAAACTTGTACTTAATGGCTGTTTAGACTGGATTTTAAATAAATGAAGGGTGGTTACTGAATATTGCGCAGTTCTGTGTATAGTGTATCTATAATGTTTATTCTGTTTGTTATATTTTCCTCAAAACCAATGTGACATTAAGGCTTTTCTTTCTCACACAGTCTGTTGTGCATGAGTAGGGCAATGTAAGTGTGGATTTGTCACAGGCTCGACCACTAATTAAGAAGGACAACTCACAATGATTAACTATAAAGATCTATCTGAGAATAAACAGAATGATTTTGTCTGTTTAACAGTTTTAACATTTTAGTTAAGTTATTCTTTGGCAAATTATTAACTATTAAACTAAATATAATTCTATACTGTGATTCATTTTTTACAGGCAATATGTCAGGTGTGATTTGTAATATGCTATACTTGTCCAACAGGAAAAAACCTCAAGAATTGAACGGATTGTGTCAGAGCACCAGCTTTTCTCTCAGGGTCTGAAGGAGCTACAGAACTGGGTGGCAGACACCAGTCATATGCTGCAGACTTACTGCACTCCAACAGCAGATAAGAATGTTCTGGACAGCAGGATGATCAAACTTGAGGTATACCAACGGAGAGTGCCTTATATGATTTCCGCTCTAGATTTGCTTATATCTGAACTCTGCTAACTTTGGTTACTCTGGTGTTGTTTTAGGCCCTGCTAACAGCTCGCCAGGAGAAGGAGATCCAACTGAAGATGCTGGTCACTAGGGGTGAGTCTGTGCAGAGGAACACATCTGCTGAGGGAGTTCCTCTGGTCCGTAAACAGATCCAGGACTTGAAAGACTCCTGGGATGCCCTGCTGTCTGCATCCATTCAGTGCAAAAGGTCAGTGTACTGCTATTAAAATCTCTAATCAGTTCCACCTGATTAAAGATTAAAAGATGCATTTCCCTCCTTTTGCAAAAAGCTATTATATATCTTCACAACATAAGAGGAGCAACTCATGACACTCAAACCTTTAGGAGAATGTGTGTGAATATGGTTCTGGGGCTACTGTATGTAAAGTTGTTGCATTTGTGATCTCACAGCCAGCTGGAGGGAGCTCTGTCTCAGTGGACAAGTTATCAGGAGGATGTGCGGCAATTTGTGAGCTGGATTGAGCGGGTGGAAGAGAGTCTGAACTCCACAGACAAGCAGTGCTCTGAGATGAGAGATAAAACTGCCAACCTAAGCAAGGCCAAGGTACTGTCAATGTGTCAATGCTTTGTCAGCAACACCACAATGAAACCATCATACCATGTACAGTATTGTACACAATACAGTTACCATAGCATATACCATATTTCCTTACCTACTTGCAGCAGTCGATTGCAAACAACAAAGGACCTGCTGCCATGAGTCTTGAGTCTGATTTTGTCTTAAAAGAGAATCTTGTGGAATGATAGGTGGCAGTATGCATTCTGAACAGAGCATCTAATGTAAACTAATGTTTATTTATTTTAGTTGTTGTATGAGGAGGTGCTGAGTCATAGCTCTGTCCTGGACACCATCTCCATGAAAGGTTCCAACATGGCTGAGCACTATGTGACCCAGTTGGAGATTCAAGACTTGCAGGAGCGGTACAACACTGTTAAAGAGAGGGCCCAGGTACAGTCACACGTACAGTTTAAGTTGCAAGTTACAGTCTTATGATCAGAGCGTGTTACAATATTAATGAATCAAGTCTGTTTTTTTCTTTACTTAGCTGGCAGTAGGAAAAGCAGAGGAGCTGGTGCTGGCTCATCAGGAGTACCAGCACTGTTTGCATGAGTTCAAGGACTGGCTGGAGCAGCAGCAGGAGAAACTCAGCTGCTACACACAGTTGGAGGGAGATGTTGACACCCTGGAAGAAACTCTACAAAAACTTCAGGTCAGAACACAAAGCATATCATTGCTCATTAGCTGCATACAGATTGAGATTCCAGTGTAGTAGAGGTTTTATTATAGGCCTTTGTAGTAGGGGTGTACAACAATATTTGCCTAAAAATATTTGCTTTAAAATTTCAGCATTGGGCAGATGCTTAGATTTATCCAGTATTTAAAACCGATATTTGATGATGTGATCATTGTACTGCGGAAGAGCAACAAGTTTATGTAATGATAGGCTACTCCACTAACCTGTCTGCATTTATTGATTTTACTCCATTTGTAGCCCTGTAGAAATAAATGTTTTAGTTCTCTGTAATTGTACTCCAGTTGGATCTAGTAACAAATTGTGCATTTTATAAATGTTTATTTATCGGCATTCGTATCAGGCACTGGCCCACAGTTCCTATATCTGTGCATCCCTGCTTTGTAGTTTTGTTGCCATCATTTTTCCTTCAGGATAGGAAGCATGTTATTGTGATGCATTAAGTTTGTGGTATAATCTGTATTTGACAATCTATAGGAGCTTCAGGTACACTGCACAGAGGGACAGGCTCTGCTCAACACGCTGGTAGTGAGTCGTGAGCAGGTTATCCCATGGGGAGCACCTCAGTTGGAGGATCGCACTTTGGAGACAGTGCAGCAGGAGTGGGGCAGTTACCAGGCCCGGCTTAGTGAGACCAGATCTCAGCTGAACAGCGCTCTAGCCAAGCTCCGGCAGATTGAACAGAAGTTCCAGCGGCTTGATAACTGGCTAAAGGGAATGGAGAGTAAAGGCCAGCTACGCAGCTGTAGGCGCTCTGATAGAGCCACCAAGGAGGCCCAGCTACAGCTGCTGAAGGTGCGTTGCAATTTATCTCATGCAGATGCTAACTCTTTGGGATGTTACGTTTCTGATTTAGAAGACAAATATGTGAATTTTAGACTTGAGTAGAATATGGTGTAGTATGTGCACTGTGCCTGTATTTAAAGTGGAGTGATGTTCATTGTTTTATGTAGGGATGGCATGAGGAGGTACTGGTCTATCAGGACGAGATAGAGGGTTTAAGTGATCTTGCCCAGCAAGTCCTAGAGGAGACTCACATCAGCAGTCGAGTCAGCACAAGAGCTACACAGCTTACCTCACGCTATCATGCCCTGCTACTGCACCTCATGGTATGATCCATGTACACACACACACACACACACACACACGTGCATGTGAATATGCATATGGTACACACAAACACAATACAGACTTTTCCGTTGTTCCATGGTTTAGGAGACAATCAAACAGCTGAAGGAGGAAGTGTCTGGTATCGAAGAAGCTCACAGCGTCTTCAGCACCTTCTCTGACTGGCTGAGCACCGCCCAGAAGAACTTCAGCAGTGTGGCCATCAGTATTGATGTTGTAGATCGTGTTGCTATGGAGAAGAAAATGAAAAAACTAGAGGTACAGAAAGAATGGTGTCATGTCCCCTAGCAGTTTGAACAGTGTCCCTAAAGCTTTCTCAGTTTGCTTTTCACCCACAGAGCTTTTAAAAAACTTATCAGCTGCAAGTATCTGTACATATTCATATTTATCTCTGCTCTCTTCAATCTGATGACTCAGGCTCTACAAGGTGATATGGAGCTGGGTCACACTTTCCTGAAGACCATGCGGGAGAAAACAGAACGGGCCATGGCCTTTCTGGAGGAGTCAGAAGCTGAGCAGCTGAAAGAGGAGATTAACACCCGTCTCTCTCAGTTGGAGGAGCTAATGGGAGCCCTGCGGGCTGAACTCAGTGCTCAGGAGAAATGCATTCAGCTGTCTAAAGACTTTCTAGACAAGTATAAGGCTCAGAGCCAGTGGCTTACAGAGACCAAATCTCTGCTGGCCTCACCTGTGGAACTTAAAGCTGAACTCTACCAAAAAAAGGCCCAATTAGCCAAATACAAGGTGAGTCACATAGAATAGAGTCGTCTCACTGGCTGATCTAATTCCGCGTCCCAAAGCTATACTTCGCCTACTACACTAATGAGGGCACTTCTAATGGTAGTGTACTATTTTTACATACTATTTAGTGTGCTAGTATGCAGTTTGGGACGCAGCATAAATAACTCTTCAAAACTCTTCTAAAGCTTCATTTGTGATGACTACAGCAACAAATCAAATAAAATCAACTTTTAAAATTAGTTTTAAACTGAGTTTTCCAAAATTGTGTTTTACTGCTTTTGCTGGATTGATTGTGACATTGTTGTCTCAAACCACCACTGCACTGCCAAATGAACTTAAAGCTGTGGTGGCCGTGCAATTACATGATGCCTTTGGAATGCTATGAATATAAGGGGTGTAACAAAGGATATTAGAATATGTAATATCACAATGATATGTGATATCTCCATGCAAAAATGTGACAGTGTGCCTGGGAAAATGGACATGCTATTAATGCAACTGCATCAGCACCAATCAGCATGTCAATTCAGCATTCCTCCTGCTTAGCAGATCTAGTACTCGGTATCGTGAATCAAATCATTGCACCCCAAGACATATATTGCATAATTTATGTATACATTCATTGTGTCTTTGTCTGAAGCATAATTTACATTTAATTAGCTTAGTCTCCTCATGACATTTCCTGGTGCATAGTACAGCTGATTCATCTAACAAGCTAACTATCACACCATTCTTTAGTTTAATAAGTTGCATTAGAGCAGGAAACTGAACAGTAAGCTGTGTAATGCAAGGCTACCACAGGACTAATATTGGGAACCATACGTGTACCTTACTAATGAACAGCAACTTCATTCTAGTATTCTCTTGTCTTTCCACAGACAATCCAACAAACTGTGCAGTCTCATGAGCCTGCTGTAAAGTCTGTCATTGAGAAAGGAGAAGCTCTGCTGGAAACCGTGCGTGACCCCACTATCAGTGAGAACATGACCAAGCTGCAGACTGATTATCATGATCTATGCAACACGGCCAAGGTATTCTCCTGAGCATGTACTGAATCCTTGTTTACATCATAATTTGGCATAAAACACTTAGAATGTGAGAGAGCTTACTAATGCACTTGGAGCTTAGCAGTTGTCTTTTGATGTTGCCCTTCCCAAGAAGGTGGCCAGTTTTGCCCCATAGGATTTTTGCAGGCTGAAGATCTTATCTAAAGCGCCTGTAATGTTACACATTGCACCAATGTAAAAGGCCAGTGTTCTTCAGCCTGTACTTCCAGACAAGTTTAAAAAGACGCTTATTTTGACATGCCTACTGCCCCAAGTTCCTTTGGTTTGCTTTCTACTGTGGGGCACATCAGTTTAAAGTTCTGCCTTTCTGGCTGTCATTAGCTCCAAGGATTCATACTGCATTAGAGCTACTGAGAGCAACAGGCCTCATTCTCTCCTATTTGGTGCACTGGTTTGTACATTCCTCCTTAAAGAGCCAAGTTGTGTCAGACACATTGGCTTTCCTGCAGCCTGAGTAAAGCTGTTACTCAGAATTTGTGAGAATATTCCTGTATCTTTCACGTGAGCGTAGCGTTTGTATTATTAGCTGTATCATGTTATGTCACTGTGTATCTTTGTTGGTGTCCCACTGTGCACAGTTACTGTTCATAACTAGCATTCATAGAAGTGAGCTGAATATCAGAAAGTGCAAAAAGAGTTGTATTGCTTACAGGCCCATGTACAGAAGTTGGTGGAGGGGGTGAAAGAGCATGAGGACTACAACAGTGAACTACAAGAGGTGGAGAAATGGCTGCTGCAGATGTCTAGCAGACTGGTCACCTCTGACTCAATGCAAAGTGGCAATCTAGAGATGGCCACACAGCAGCTAGCAAGACACAAAGTATGTATTCTGTCAATCATATGCGTGTGACCACATAATAATGATTATTTGTTACTTTTTTATTTGTTTTCTGAGCAAAACTTAAATGATCTCAAGTTACCTTGCTAACATAATACAATTTGTCACTCTTTTTCAGGCAATAATGGAAGAGATAGCTGGCTTTGAAGAGCGTTTGACAAGTCTGAAAGAGAAAGGAGATGGTCTTGTCAGTTCCTGTTCAGAGCAAGTTCAGGCTAAGATCAGCCAGCAGATTCAGGCTCACCAGCAAGGAACCAAAGACAGCTATTCTGCTATCTGCAGCACAGCTCAGCGGGTCAGCATCCTACCCATTCTACTGTTCAAACCCTATTCTAAGTATTATAAGTACTATTATAAGAAACCTTAGTTGAACACTGAATCTGTACCTCATCAGGTGTATCAGAGTCTTGACCGGGAACTACAGAAGCATGTCAGTCACCAGGACACTCTGCAGCAGTGTGAGACCTGGCTCTCCACTGTTCAAGAGGAGATACAACAACATTCACAGACCCCCTTTGGCCTTCAGGAAGCACTAAAACAGGTTCGTGAAAGACCACATAGACGTTCCACAACCTATAGTCTAAAAAGTAATTCTAATATTTATTTTGTGCTGATATTTATCTGTGTGTCTTTTTGATATTCCAAACAATGAGGTCTTGAAGACTTAATGCTCTATGTATTTAAAATATGTGTCATTTTTTAGTGAATATTATTAATAATATATATTTTTTGCAGATGAAGCACTTCAGGGCTCTGCAGGAGCAGGCCAGTACCTATCTTGATCTGGTTTGCTCAGTGTGTGACTTATCAGATGAATCTGTGAGAGCCACTGCTGCTAAAATTCAGCAGATCAAAACTATGGTGAGTTTGGTAACTTGGACTAATACATTCAATAACTTAAACTAAACCAAGTTTTATTGTTATTTCATAGCTTTAACACCTCTTGATGTCTCTTGTGATGCCACAGATTGAAGAGAGAATGGCCAGAGCACAGCAACTGTCAGATAGCTGGAGAGAGATTAAGGAACAAAAGCAGGAGCTGTCTACACTATTCCAAGATTTGGAACAGCAATTACAAAGCCTTTCCAGGAGACCTGCTGAACTGGAGCCTAAGATTGCCCAGAACATGCTGGATCAAGCAAAAGTAAGACCACTTGTGCCATACATGTTGTAACATACAGTGTAATTTATTAAGTATTAGGACAGTGACGTTTGGCAGCAAACAGTTTTGGCTTTTCGGCACAGTGGGTTTGAAATAAAGCAATGATTACAGGTTAAGGTGGAGAATGTCAACTTTATTTCAAGGGTAAATCTACACACACACACACATTTTCTAAGCCGCAGGGGAGAGATCTATATTAAATTATTTAGGTATCGGAGCCTTTTTTATACATTGAATAGATGACTGCTAAGTTGTTTTTGTCCAGAACTATTGCACCATTAGCTAATGCACAAGAGAGATAATAAAATGTCTAGAGTTTATTGTAGATGGGATTGTATTTGTAGTGGGATTCGCATTTGGAGTCTGTGGCTGTGGATCTTTAGATCATTTTAAATACAATATACCAATCCTATCAATTAGGATGCCCTCAAATTAAAGCTGACATTCTGTAGTTTAAACTCAGTTATTGCTTCAGTTGTTTCAAATCCAACAACAAAAACTGTCAATATATTAATGGATTGTATGTGCTTGGAAAAGATAGCAGCCTATTCACACGACACTATGAACATTTTTTAAGTATCGTTCTTCCTATGCATTGTATACTGATCTAAGATTTTTTACTGATCGGATGCGCTTGTTCAACAGGAATTTGGCCAGCAGCTGCAAAGCAGGCAAAGTACTTTGACTAAGATGACAGAGAGTGTGAGTAAGCTTACAGAAGGCATGGACTCTCCAGAACATGCAGAGATTAATCGTCTGAGTCATGCATGGCTAGAGCTGTGCCATCAGGCTAACAAGTTACAAGCCCAGAGGGAAGAGGATCTGCTGAGGACAAGGGAGTACCATGACTGCATTAGTGCCATGGAAGCTCTGTTTGAACAGATTTCCAAGGAGTGGGACAATCTAGCAAGGTAGGCTCTTAATCCAGAGTTAAAAACATGTCTTTGCTTCGTGAGAAGTAATGTGAAATTACAGTTCAACTTTAATTGTTACAGAACCGATGCTGAAAGCTCATCTGAGCATCTAGAGGCTCTCCGGAAACTGTCAATTACCCTCAAAGAAAAGAAGAGCACTCTTGATGACCTTAAAGACCAGAAGCAGAAAGTGATGTACTACTTAAATCTGGATGACAAAGAGCTGGTGAAGGAACAGATCAGTCACTTTGAGCAGCGATGGGCCCATCTAGAGAGCCTCATTGAGAGAAAGATCCAGGACTCTATCCTAACACTTGAGGACATGAGCCAAGTTGAGGCTCGGCTTAAAGAGGCAAGAGAATGGGCTGAGGAGCAGAAGCCTGCTCTATCTGAGGCTATGAAAATGAGTCCGCCCCCAGAGTTGGCACAGAGCTTCCTCTTTGACCACCTCAGCATTTGCAGTGAGCTTGAAGCAAAGCAGCTGCTGCTTTCCCAGGCTATGAGTGATGCAGACAGAGTTTTAGCGCACCTAGGCCTCAGTGAAAGGCAGCGGCTGCAGCAGCTTATCTCAGAGACCCAGGCTGAGGTAGAGTCACTGAGTATCAAAGTGGCCCAGCGAAGGAAACATCTTAGTAAGGCTTTCACAGAAAGGACCCAGTTCCTGCTTGCCGTGAGCCAGGCTATCACCTGGGTACAACAGAACGAGAAAAAAGCACAGGCCGAAGACTACATAGCCCTTTTACCAGATGACTTGGCGAAGCAGGTGAGGACCTGCAGGAACATCCAGAGCAGCCTGAGAGCTTATCAGAGTGAGCTAACTTCACTGTGGTCCCAAGGAAGAGATCTGATGAAAGATGCTACTGAGGACGAGAAAGCTGAAATGCTAACCAAGTTACAGGAATTGCAAAATATCTTTGAAGTAGCTTTGCAAAAGTGCAGCCAAAGGCTTCAGGAGCTGGAGAAAGTACTGGTAACTAGAAAATACTTTAAGGCAGATCTAGAGAAAATATGTCAGTGGTTGAAACAAGCAGATATTGTGACATTTCCAGAAATAAATCTCATGAATGGAGATGTAGAACTTAGTGCACAGCTTACAAAATACCAACAAATATTGGATCAAGCAATGGAGTATGAGAATCTCCTGCTGATTGTCCAAAGAGCAGGTCAAGACATATTGCCTACTCTTAATGAGATTGACCATTGCTACTTAGATGAGAAACTTAATGCTCTTCCAATGCAATATAACAACGTCCTGGCACTAGCTAAAGAAAAACAGGAGAAAATACATCAAGCCATTCTTGCACGTCAGGAATATGCCTCGTTCATTGATGTAACCCACAAAGCATTGAAAGAACTTGAAGAACAGTTCCACAACCTTGGTACTCAGCCTGTTGGCCTACAGACAGAGGAAGTCATCAGTTTGCAGCGTGATTATAAAGAACTGCTTGAGGAGTTGACAAATCTTGGCCAGGCAGTTAGTGAGCTCAACCAGAAAAAAGAGGGCTTTCGCAGTACTGGTCAACCCTGGCAACCTGAGGAAATGACTCAGCTAGTCAGCCTCTATAATGGTCTAAAGAGGCTGATAGAACAGCGAGTTGAACACCTTGATGACACTTTGGAGTCATTTGAGGACCACCAAGCAATGGCCATGCAAGTTGACTCTGAGTTGAAAGCCACTAAAGAACAACTCGTCAAAGTCAATGCTGAGACTCAGTCAGCTGAAGAGAGACTGAAGAATTACCATGCCCTCGCTGCCAGTCTTCAGGGAGCAAGCGCTCACCTCTCCAGGCTCATGGAGCAGATAGGCAACCTTGCTACCCACATGGACCCAGCTGCCCATGAGGCTTCTAGGCAGCGGGTGATATCCTGGCAGGAGGAACTCCAGTCCCTACAGTCAGCTGTTGGAGAGTTGATAGTGGAGTGTGAAAACAGGTTTGTGCAGAGTAAGGACTTTGAAACTGAAGTAAAGCGCACTTTGACTTGGCTACAGCAGATCAGAGATGAGCTGGGCTGTGCTGTGGTCGTAGATGTAAAAGTGGAGAAGGTTCAGGAAGAGATCAGGAAACAGCAGATCATGCAGGAGGAAGTGCAGTCTCGACTTAGGATCGTGGCTGCTCTGAGTACCATGGAGAAGCAGAAGTATACTAGTGCTAATGAACTTGTCCCAGCTCACGTGGACTCTAGTCTGCAAGAAATGGCAAAACTGGAAGCTGATGTACAACAGGCCCTCAGCTCTAAGCAGGTAAGTATAAGAGCATTCTGACTGTTTAGAATCTATGCGTAATCATACTGTACTTTCTACTTTGAAGTTTAGTGTTTTTCAAAGTGGTCATCTTATTTCTCTGCTTGTTTTTTAGATCACACTAGAGCAAGCACTGGCGTTGTGTCAGAAGTACCATTCACGAATGCAGGCAGCATGTGAGTGGCTTGAAGATGCTGTAGGTTTTTTGCAGCAGGCCAGTCTGGGGGTGGATGTGGAGAACTATGAAGAATGCCTGCGGCAACAGGAGGACATCATGGCCACTGAGCAGGATTTCCTATGTGTTTTGCAAGAGCTTGAGGCACTTCCACCCCAGTTGGAGAGCCTAGTGAACCCTACAGCCAAAGAACAGCTGAGGCTGAGTGTGGAGTCTGCTCAGCAAAGAGGAGTAGAAGTTAGAGACCAGCTTCAGTGTCACCAGGATGTCTTGAACAGGTACAGGGCATTAAAAGTCTACAAAAATGCTTTTTCCTACATTGTGTACCTCGGCTGGGCTTCTTGACATGATTAAATCTTAAAGATTAACAAAGCCTAAGCATTTTATGAGAGAAGAACATAAGCATCTTAAGTGCCACTTTACTGTAGGGCAGTGTTCATAAGGCTACTTGACACCTGCATAGGCTCATTAAGACGTACCTGGCAAAAACCTACATAAAACATTTACAAAGGCTTATTCCAATATACATCATTTTTGTCATAAAGGCTGATTTTGTTTGATCAAATGGTGAAAATGTACGTGTCAGAACAATCTACCCACACACAATGAAACGTGCAGGTTGCATGATTATCCAGTAAGTATTCTTCATATTTTTGTTGCCAGCTGTGTAGTACAATGGAAAACCTATCAAGAGGCCAGACAGACAGTCATTGAGCTTATGAATGAGGTAGAGAAAAAACTGACTGAGTTCTCTACAGCCAAGGCTGCAACTAGTCAGGAGGCAGAGGAGAAACTCAAGAGTCATAAGGTAAAGAGAACATGTACAACTAAATCTGGACTTAATGAAATAATCTTTATATTTGCTATAAATAAAAAGATTTGACCATTGGCAATTCCTTCTTTGTCCTGCAGTCGTTGGTGTCCATGGTGAATGGATTCCAGGAGAAGCTGACTGGTCTGGAAGAGCAAGCATCTCAGCTGGAGCTGATAGGCAGTGATGCCAGCAAAGCCACCATTAGTCGATCAATGACCACAGTATGGCAGCGCTGGACTAGACTGCGTAGTGTGGCTCGAGGCCAAGAGAGGGTGCTGGAGGATACAGCTCATGAGTGGAGAACTTTCAGAGAAAAGGTACCCTCTTATATGTAGGACAGGCATAGAGCATATTGCTGCTGTCGGAAGAAAACCTTGTATCTCCAATTGTGACGTTTTTCGGTTTTTGACATAGTTTAAAAATACCTGCTACCCTTTACATGGTATATGAATTTCATGATGAATGGGCTAATAGAAATGAACCAAAATGACTTGGAAAAACATCTGGTTCCATTAACTTACATTAAAGGTAAAGTAGGTTTTTTCCTTCTCCTGTAAAGTTACCATTTTGGAGATAGAGAGGTTTTCTTCCGACAACAGCGATATGTAAGCTACCAGTGTTGCATTTGCTTACTGTGCTGAAGTCTTATTAATTTTTTTGTTTTTTCAGATGATGAAAGTAAGGGCTGTGGCAGAAGATCTAAGGAGTCGTGTTCCTGAATGTGCTGTAGAAAAAGCATCTAAAGCCACACTGCAGTCACATCTGGAGCAGCATGAAATGGTCACTCAGGACCTGGAGAGGGAACTGTCCTCACTCACACTCCTGCGGCAGTATGCCCTCAGCCTGTTACACGATGTTGAGGTGGCAGTGCCAACTGCTGACCTTGATCAACTGCCCAGTCTGAAGGAGATCAAAGCTGTGCAAGATCAGTTTGAGAGGTAAAGATCAAAACAGTGTAAGATTTTCCATATTGGGCTGTTCTTAACCAGTTGAAGATTCTGATCTACAGTTGATATGCATCAGTTAGATACTTCATAAATTGGTTTGTTTTGTGTCTGTCCTAGCCTTTTGCAGAAGTCCAGGGCAGGTAGAGCACGTGTTTATCAGGAACTGAAAGACAGAGAAGATGTGGAGAGAAGCCTAAGCCTGGTGAAAAGCTGGATCCAGAATTCCAGAGAGCTGTTGCTCAACCCTACTGCTGATATGGACATTCTCACACAAGAGCTGGAGGTGACTAATTTTTTAGTTTGAGTCTTAGACATTCATAATTGTAGGCATAGTTTTTTTGTTTGACAAACACCCTAACAAACGTTTCTATTTGAGATCATGAAGTGTAGGTGGAATGGAATATTTTCTTTGTGCGTAGGTAATGCATGGAGAACTCATCATCCACCGGCAGAATGTCGATAAGATTGCAGAGCAGCAGCAGAGCAAGTATCTGGACTTGTACACGATCCTGCCGTCAGAAATCTCCATGCAGCTGGCTGAGGTTGCCTTGGCACTAGGCTCAATTGAAGATCAGGTAGGTCATCAGTCCCAGGTCTCTCACAATAGCTTGAATTGCTTGTGTTGTTTTTTTTGTTTATTCTGCCATGATTTAGTACACCAAGGCATGTGGACTTGTTGCATAACCTTGAGGATTAATATTCAGTAATATTTACGATCAAACCAGTTGTTTTGATTTGTTTATTATTCGACTGTTGAATGACCTGGATAACTAAAAAAAACCTTCAGACTTCAATGGTGTGATTTTATGGTTGAATTCTTTCACTTTCCTGTTCAAGGTCCAAGCCAAGGAAAGAGATATTCAGAAGACCAGAGTTATAAAGGAAGAGTTTAATTCCAGAATCCATGATGTGTCTGAGAAAATGAAAAACATTTCTGCAACACTGAAAGAAAAGGCCACTGACATTAATCAAGCCAAAGAAGAAACACGAGTATATTGTTTTCTTGTTGTGTATTATCTATATTTAAATACATATACATATATAAGTCCTGTTTGGTACTAATGTCATGTGTTCCTCCCTACCATTGTTTTTATATAGGGTTTCTGTGATGAACTAGAGAGCTGTGGGAGGACACTTGCAGAACTAGACGCTGCTGTGCAGGACTTTGGTCGGCGTAATCCACTTCTGGCCAAACAACTTGGTGATGCTATTGCTAAGTTAGGAGAGATCCACCACCACACCCTCCGCCTTGCTGAGTATAGGACAGTTTGGCTGAAGAAGGTAAGGACTAGCATTAAACAGACCTTTTTTTATATATTATATAGTGATTGTTTTTGCTTTTAAACTAAAAATAACGTCTATTCAAGCTAAAAGAAGCTCTTATGAGACAGTTTTGCGTACTAGTATGATTTATGTTTTTAAACTAAAAAAAGGATTGACTGAAATTATATTGTTTGTTCACCAGGCTGATGCACATCTGGATGAGTACAATGAGATGCTGGAGTTTATAGTAAAGTGGACAGAACGAGCCAGAAGCCTTGTTAAGGCCAACATCATCTGGAACTCCTCCTCTCACTTGCAGGAGCAGATCAGAATGTATCAGGTCAGTCACATTGCACACTCATTTTGCACAAAAGGATCATTTTACTGTGACAGTGACAGTGATTTTAATGCAGCAATGTAATGTGATCTCTTGGCCCTGTTCTGCAGTCTGTGTTGCGTGAATCGAAGGAGCTTCATGGTGATCTGGAAGCCATGCAGGAGAAGGTGGAGCTGTTGTCGGAGTCTCTGCAGGTGGAAGCTATGGGCCAGCAGGTGGCTGAGCTGAGCCGACACACAGAGGAGCTGGAGGAGGCCATCAGGTCACGTCTGCAGAGCCTACAGGATGCTGCTAAGGTGCTGTGGCTTCAGCTTTCTACTTTTGCCCCTGCAGTTATACGTTGCACTGCTGCTCAAAAATGTGTAATAAGCATTCCAAAACCAATTTTGCTGTGCAGATTGTAAGTTTCAAGTAATTTTAAAAGAGCTATAAAAATGTAGGTGTATGTTGGTGATATTTTATCGATAAATGTCATCACAATATGCTTTTCTGAAAATATCATCACTTAAAGAACACTAACTTACTACATTTCGTTATTGAAAGCACTATTGGTCCTTTTTAATTAGATTTAGTGCTGTGCACTGAAATGCTGAATAAAAACCCCCATACTCAGTTTTCAGTAGTATCTTTTACAGCTTATGTTTATCATTTATATGTTTTTGCCATATCGCCTACCCCTATTTTTTGGTGTTTCTGTCAATTTTTTTCCTTTGCATACATTGTGGGTTTACTGAAGGCCTGTTAAAGAAAAAAAGTAGATAGTAAAACTAGGTAGTAGTGAGACAGCATAGTGATCACATATTGAATTCTGTTCTTCAGGACATGGAGAAGTTTGAGACTGAAGTAAAAACCCTGCATGTAGCTCTGGATCAGGTACAGGCCACCCTAACCTCGCCTGAACTGGCCCGCCTGAGCCTCAAAGAACAGCTAGCCCAGAGACAGGTAACATTTCTCTCCAGTAAGCTCTGTGAATCCAGCCCTTTTACATAAATGACTGAAAAAACAGTTGGCGCTTATTGACAGAGGAACTTCTGTCTTGCAGCGTCTGTTGTCGGACATGGAGAGCTTCAAGCAGCAGGTGCAGGCAGTGCAAGCGTGTCAGAGTGCTCTTCGTGTGCCAGTGGAGGTGATGATGAGCCTGTCTATCTGCCGCACCGCCCATAGCCTCCAGCAGGAGGCCAGCCAGCTGCAGCACACTGCCATTCAACAATGCAACATCCTACAGGTAGGGGCCACTGCAGGGGAAGTTTATAAATGCTCAGCTCTTTATCAGACTGCACATTGTGTCTTCTATTCTGTCATGCATCCCTAAAAGCATCTCTCAAATTTCACAAAAGCATCTCTCAAATTTCACAAAAGCATCTCTCAAATTTCGCAAAAGCATTCTCTCAAATTTAGTTGGCATTAAAGATTCATAAGATTTAAAAGGGCCAAGTACATGTAGTTACTGTGACACACACTGATAGTTTAGCAAGCATGTTGTTAGCTAAGCATTGTACTTGTACAGGTTCAAACTCACAGCTATTTCACGTGAAAACACATTTGTAAATTTTTTGTCTTTTAAGTGTTTATTATTAATTCATCTAACAGTTGCACCAGTGGCAAAGTGTCGCTGTTAGAAGTAGATCTTTAGTCTGAGACATAAATGTCAAATCTTGGTCAACAGAAACAAGAAAAAATAAAAACACCTGTCCAAAAACGCTAATTTCTGCTGTGGGATTTCTTATAGTATCATGGTGCTAAGCTAATGCTAGTGCACCTTAACCTTTTTGGCTGTTTTATATTAAACATGGACATTTGAAGTTTATAAAAGACATTTAATATGTTATATCTGAAGCTTGTAACAGACATTAGCATATATTGTACCTTGTATGTATGTATATATTGTGTGTCCTGGTATAGAGCTGTAGCAGCTGTTTTAAAGTCTTACAACCTACTGAAACCTGTTTAGACTACCGCTTATCTAGGGCTTTTAGAATGTATCTAAGGCGTATTTATGATTTTGAGATTGCAGAATGATGTTTTTTTCTCACAAAATTACTCCCACCAATGTTGATTGGTGATTGGTTGATTCCTAAATTATTAAGTATTAATAAAACATGGATTTCCAGTACAGCAAGCACAAAAATTCTGTTAAATAAAATGAACTAAAAATTACAGACAATTTTTAGTTTCCAGAAATTATTAGGCCAAATTATTAGGCTTTCTCTGGAGGCCCTGACGGTTGCCCTCTGAGCAGTCAGCTCATAACGGCTTTGTTTCATTTAGCACTCTGGCTCTCCATTCATACATCTATAGACAGACCATGCTGAGAATGTTAGCTCAATTATAGCTGAGGAAAAATCACATTGTAAGGATTATAAAGCTCACTTATAATACCACTGTCTTGCCATAGTTTGTTGTCTGTGAAGATATTAGGAAGCAGTTTTAACAGTTACAGAAATATGCAAAGTACTATATTTATGATATACCTGCGTGATATTTCAAAAAAAGTAAAAAAAAAAAACTGTTTGTTCACTGTCAGGAGGCGGTGGTCCAGTATGAGCAGTATGAGCAGGAGGTGAGGCATTTGCAGGGCCTGATCGAGGATGCTCACCGGGTCATCCAGGACAGACCTGTTCCCACCAGCAATATCCAGGAGCTACAAACACAGATACGCCACCATGAGGTAAGCACACACTAGCACAGAATAAGAAATTGCACACTTGCTTATGCTGTGATTTCTTACCATTCTGTAATTCACCTCAGCTTTTTTCCATATGAAGAGGTTTTTGTGTGAACATTTTAGGTCCATTGAAATAACTAATTGGTTTCCTAAACAGGATCTGGCACAGAAAATCAAAGGCTATCAGGAGCAGATTGCATCTCTCAACTCTAAGTGTAAAATGTTGACAGTCAAAGCCAAACATGCCACCATGCTGCTGACTGTGAGTGATGCAGAGGACCTGACTGATGTGCAAGAAGGGGACAGAGCTGCACAAGCTAAGCCCTCTACGGTCATGGTGAGCAGCAGTCCATTTGTCTTGCGTTGTGGGAAAGGTACATACCGCAGAGCACCAAACTGACGTGTGCACGGTCTGCACTGACAGTTACTGAGAAATTCCAGATTCACACGTTTCTGAACTGTGCCTGATTTTCCAATCACAGGACCCTTTTTAACTGACCAGGCCAAAATATCTGAATGGAATATTAACATTTTTCTGCTTCTTTCCTCTGTCGTCTTTCAACCTTGCTCTGTGTGGTGTCAGATGACAGCTGGTCGCAGTCACACCCTCCTGTCTCCTGTTACGGAGGAGTCTGGAGAAGAGGGCACCAACAGCGAGATCTCTTCTCCTCCTTTCTGTCGCTCTCCTTCTCCTATCACTAACACTGAGGCCTCGCTTAGCAAGGTACTCTTGCTAATGGCAGAGCACTTGTTGCATGCACTTTGTTTTCTTTAATAACGGTTGGTTACTTACAGCTTTATTTAATTAATATTTTCCTTCTGAGCTCAGTAGATCTCTGCTTCAATTAAATTGTATAATATTTAACTGAAATTCTTGAGCATGACTTGATTCTTCATCTCAATCAGGCATGTCAAATTAGATTCTTTTCAGGCTTCAGCTCCGCAGAGAATAGCGTTATCCTTCATTTACTTTTCTGAATTCAATTCATGAATGTCTTGCTAATTAGCTGATGAGTTAAATAAAGGTGTGTGTAATGAGGCAGAACACTAAGATCCACGGTACTGTGAGCGCATGGACAGAAGTCTGACATATGTAACACATTCAGCTTCTGACACAGTAGTCCCATCTGCTAATTACAAAGGCCGTTGTAAGTTAACTTCAGAGTGTAAGAAGATTGTAAGAGGAAGGAAGAGAACACTAATCTCTGCAGAGCTGTGGCCCACCAGGATCTGAGTTTGACATCTGTTTTTTACACCTTTACATTGCTGTAAAGTTGAAGTAATTTTATATTTTAATGAACAGTGGTTGGTGTAGTGAAAGTGGGTGAGACAGCTGCCCTTCACATGGCATTCAGTGGCTCAGTGATTCTTTGCCTGGGCAAGCACACCATGCTATACCAATAAGAGTCCTTGGGCAAGACTATTAACACTACATCTGTAGCATGAGCGTCTGCGAAATGCATACATGTAAATGTTAATGAGAGCTTTTTTATTGCATGTACTGGGTGTTCACTGGTTTTGGGTACTTTCTTGTTTTAGTCATCCATGGGTCGAGCTACTCTCACCAGAGCTCCTGTACAGGAGCTGTATGATCCTACCCTGGAGTCCGTTGCTAACCTAGAAGACCTTCAGCGTTCATGGGAGACCTTGAAAAATGTGGTATGTGATATAAATGCTGAGAGTAAAGATTGCTTTTTAATATTGAACTAGATATTGCAATTTAGATTGCACCTCATCCATGTCACAGATCAGTGAAAAGCAAAGAACACTTTATGAGGCCCTGGAGAGACAGCAGCGATACCAAGGCTCTCTGCAGTCCATTTCCACAAAGATGGAGTCTATAGAGGCCAAACTGAGTGAGCCACCTCTGCCTGACCTTAGTCCAGACAGACAGATGATCCTGCATCAGGTGAGAGATTCATATCGCAGACGTGTTCTGTGCTTCTCCATTTCAAATAATTGACTTGTTCATATTCTACATATGATGTGTTTTGAAAAAGTTCATATCATTGGTTTCTACAAGCCAAGTTGCTACTGGATTCTCTATGAAGTGTTCATTTTGTCATCTTGATCCTTCCAGAGTATGATGGAGGACATTTTCCAGCTGCAGAAAGAAATAGATGATCTCCAGTCCAGCTTTGCAGAGGAGCTCATTTCTGATGCACTGGACTCTGACACAGCTGAGCAGCTAGCCATGCAGTCTACCCTCACAGTGCTGTCTGAGCGTATGGCCACCATCCAAATGAAAGCCTCTGGAAAACAACAGCTTCTAGAGGTACACTATTACCATATTTAGTGCAGAATCGTAGCCAATTCAGTTTCCTTTCTCCACCATTTATTGCAGTCTGTGACACTTTTCTTAATTAGGCAATCACCCTTTGCGTTAGTTAGAAAAAGTAGTAAACATTTAGTAATATTCTCAAAGTGTGTAATAAGAGGTGATTTGTGGTGTGGCTTGTGCAGGAGCGTCTGAGTGATCGTCTGGAGAAGCAGCAGCAGGAACAGGCCTTACAGCACTACCTCAGTCAGGTGGACGAGCTTGACCAATGGCTCCTGAGTACACGTAGTACGCTCAGCTCCACCCCTCAGGACTCAGACATGGACGAGCAGCTCTCAGACTGTCAGGTAAGAGCGTTCTCTACTGGCCACATTTAGGACAGACGTGCTTATGGACAAAAATGTCCACTGTGCAGCACAATTAATTGCTTGACCTTATTTTTTTATTTCACACACAATTCTACAGACCCAGTAAAAATAATACAGCATACTGTGGTGTACAGTGCATATTATTTCCTCAGTTCTTTGCAGAAAAGGAGAACTAAAGAAATAGTAGTGGTATTAGAAGACCTCAGAGCACTCAGATGGTTAGGTTCCTAAGCTGCTGTAGCATGAGCTTTAAGCAGATTATGCATATGTCTCAGTGAAATGGTCACTGGTGGTTGTGGTGGCTTTCAGGTGATTAGCGGATTCCTCTGACTGGATTGGTGCTGGCAGCAAAGTTGGCCAGCCCTGCTTTCATATTCATGTATCATGTTGCTGCTCATTGGCTAGAAGAAAGTGTGGGAGTGTCAGTACCTACCTTGTAGGGAGTGGCTGAAGGTTACAAACTGATAGGATCCTACTCATTTGGGCAACACTGCTGGTTCTTGGCTACCTTTGCAATTTGTAAACACTAAACAAAACATTTAAAAATAGTGAAAGGAGCACCACATTAGAACACTGGACCGTCACTCTATAGAATGGATGTGTATTGGGAGCATGGCACGTGAAGGATTAAGATTAATGTATTGTGCTCAAGGTGTGGTGGATAGGGGCCTAGGATGAGAGCAGTCCGTGCAGAACTACAGACACCACTAGCTGTAGCTCTCAGCTCTTGCTCTCAGCCATGTTTGAACTGGCGTCTCTCCTGTTGCTGCTGCAGAACATGCTGTTGGAGATTGAAGAGAAGGTACTGGCACTTTCTGAGCTGTCCATGCACAGTGAGGCTCTGTTGCTGGAGGGCCGGCCTGAGACCAGGGACGAGGCTGAGCAGCTAGCCAGGAAGCTGCGCACCTTAAAGGGAAGCTTGCTGGAGCTGCAGCGGATGCTCCAGGACAAACAGATCAACATCCAGGTACGGTTTCCATGCAGCCACAGTCGTATTGGGCCTTTCATGGAAGCAAAATTAATTAGCACCTGGTAGAAGAATATCTTAAGATGTTGTCATGAACACTGTAAGTTAGTCACTTTTAGCAAAATGCATAATGATGCCTAGTGATTGTTCAAAGTGAAAACCCTTTATTTCTCTTAAATGTCTTGCAAATGGCCAATGTTATTATTCATAATCCATGATAATGCAACTGTTTTGAAACGGCCACCTTTCACAAAACCTTACCCTTGTGTGTCCTGCAGGCTACATTAGCATGGGAAGAGCTGAAATGGCAGATACTGAATGTAATGAATGTAATAATTTCTGCTCCATTCAGAATCACTGCTCTTGTGGCATTTCTCTCTGTACAAATAAAATTGAATGTCATTGTGTTTTCTTTAGTGAATGGGACAAGGAATTGCATCTTTTCATGCATGACATTTCATTTTCTCTATTCTGCTCATTTTAAGACCAGCAATGAACAAAATGATCATTGCTTTATGATCTTACAGTTGCTGTGAAAGCTTAGAGCTCTCTCTAATTCATAATATAGGTGATTTTTTTAATGATCTGCCCAGTTTTTTTTTTGCATTTAGTCTGAGCAATTAATCACCTTCTACACTCATCTTTTGGCCAGCTGTTTACTTTGGTGAAAGTAATTATGATGTACTTATTAAACCTGATACTGAATAAAAAGTGATTTCAGGTTTTACATTTTGACTGCAGGGCTTGCAACAGGAGCAGTCTGACAGTGAGTCGGACTCCAGTCTCTCTCAAAGTCCTAATGTACAGGAGTGGCTGGCCCAGGCCCGCTCTACACGGAGCCTGCAACACCAGGACACCCTCCAGAGACAAAAGGTTTAGTAGACTTCGTGTTGTGGCTCTATCTACTTGTTTGAAATCCCATAAATAGCTAATATTTGAGTTTGTAATTAATTTATTTTAATTAATCACCTCAATTTGAGAATTTTAGGATAAAAATATCCAATTCTTTGTGTAATAAGGAACTTGAGGAGCAGCTGGCTGAGCAGAAGAAGCTACTGAAATCTGTGGCTAGCCGTGGAGAAGAGATCCTCACCCAGCAGGCTTCACCCATCAGTGCCAGGTTTTGAGCCATTTATCATTTCTGGACAATAATTCTATCTCTGTCAAATGATGGGTTCCAGATTTGTGACCTTTGAGTTTGGGTTTACTACAGTTAACTGGCATTTAAAGGGGAATTCCACCAATTTAAAAAAATGTCTGCATTATTCAGTTGTTGAAAGTGGTTTCAGAGTGGTTTGATATGAAATGGGGCACCATACAGAAACTTATCGACTCAGATTTCTTTACAGTGGTGGTGATGGGAACCAGGGTTTGTGTTGTCCACAGCACAAACTTGTAGCCATTTTATTTATTACCCAAATGGACAGTGAATTTTCACATTTTGTCTTCTGAGTTTAATATCTAATGCTGATAATGGTAATACAGTGATAATTCTGAAAGAAAAAAACATTTTCCTTGAGTGCTGTTTTATGTTAGAATGCCCTGTATGGGTCCTGTGGTTCCTATGACCACGGATGGAAGAAATTCAGGGAAAAAAAGCCAAATAAGTCTAGCATGAAGCATTTCATCACTCTGAAGGACTTTGTTTGCATCTTAACCATTCAAAAAAGCATGGAATTCCACTTTAACTTAATGATTGAGTCTGCAGTGACTGACAAATGCGATGTAGCTTATGTAGCAGTGTAGCCATATTTAGATTTCAGTCACTAAGAAGCAACTAAATTTGCCGTAAGTTTACACCCTTCGTTTAAGCCTTGAGACTGACCTTTATGTTTCTCTAGTGTGTTATGACCATAATTCTCCCTATCTTTAACACCCCTTACACATTCTCTGCAGTGTGAATGAGGCGGTCACTCCAGAGCCAGAGCAAGAGAGCCAGGCTACACTGGGGCAGAGGAGGCAGAGATGGGAAAGCCTGAGAAAAGACATGGCCACCAAACTGCAGCTTCTGCAGAGCACCCTAGAGCAAGACACAAAGCAACCAGTACTGTTATCCCACTGCCTCTCTAATCATACATGAAAATCTGTATAAAGACTAGTTTCTTTGCTTTTCTGTCACACCTACAGTATTGATTGGTTTGTAGTGATAGTGGCTGTTTTTACCAGGTTTACTCCAGAACTGCTCGAGTAAATGCCTCTGCTGCTCCAATCTACAAAGGAGATGAGCAGGTCCAGGACAAGTCCACACTGAAGTCATTATACAGTGGGTTCAGTCAGGCTGTGGAAGATGCTACTGATCAGGTAATACCACTCACAGTGGCCATCTTCATATCTTGATCTGTGGTCCTGGTACAACCTCTGTGTGTTTAAGAATGCAGAAATACTGTTACAGTTATTCTTACTGTTGGGCATGCAGGCTGCAAGTTCAGCAGAAAGGCCAGGCATTCAGATGGAGCAGCAGCTGTATTCAGCGGTCACAGCCACCTCATCTTGGCTGGACAATGTGGAGAACACCTTGTTCTCTGGACCAGTGCTTCTGACAGAGAATGCAGAGACACAGCTCTTCAACCATGAGGTCAGTGACTTTTTGTTTTGAGGTATGTTAAAATTGTTATTTATGGGTCTGTTTTTGTTAGATTATTCAAATATAATTATTTAATGAATTGGATTTTATAACTGTTATTTTATGTAGAAATTGTGTAATTAATTGCATTCAATTTAGACGTCTTTCGATTTGTTCTGAAGCCAATGACAAAAACACAGCAAAGTCATCGTTTTTACATGAAACAAGTCCGTAGGAACAAGTTATAATATAACAACTCCTCCAAATATGATATTGTTTTGAAAAGTCTGAATTTGCACTTTCAACAGAATCTCTGCTTGTTTAACCTGTTTTCACAGTAGCCATAAAATGCAATTTAGCCTGTGTTGAAGGTCCCTTAGTTCATCCTTGAATTTTAATATTTTTAAATAAATATTTTTAGACATACATATTTTATACTTTAATCCCATTTTAATTATATTTTGAGTTAAAACTATTTCATTTGATTATATTAATGAAGGATCTGATTTCTAGAATGGCCACTAGGATGCCTGCAGAAAGGGGATATATGAGTTAAGAACGATAGAATTAAAGTCAAGTTACACCATCTTTCTGCTAGTGATAACTTTTAATGGAAACATGGTGTACTCTTCTTTTTCAATTAAACATAGTTCCCTCTGCTCTTTGAGGAACTGTAAAGAGTATGAAATGTATAAAATCTTAATTCAGTCTTTGTGTGGTGTTTTACCCTGTCTCTTAGTCTTCTGTGAACACATTTTTTGGGTGTTGATTTTGTGCTAAACGTTGCTCTTGCTGGCTGTCTTAACAGAAGACGTGTGAAGAGAGTATAGTGAGACAATACATGTTCAACTTTTATTGCTTGCTTAAGCTGGAAGCCAGATATAGTCAAAAATTATGAGCATATGCCAGACAAGCATGTCATTCCAGTGTTTAATGCAGAAATGTGTAATTTGCTTTGTAAGTAGCTGTTTTGCGACCGTTAAGATAATGCTAACTCTTGATAGCCTGCTAATTGGCTCTTCAATGTTATGTTAGCACCAGGCAGTTTTGATGTTGACTCCTTCAATAGAGAGCCTGTGTCTGGGTATTATTGGAGCCTGTTAACTGGCCCAGCTTATTCTAGTAAGGGAAAAAGATAATCCGATTTTCCCACAAAAATTAACTAAAAGAATGTCACCAACAGAAATGTCATGTTTGCTGTATGTGACATTACATCAATGTTTTACAGTGTCCTGTCCATCCGAGACATCTGTTTGTGAAACGGAAGTTGCAACAGAGAAAATGTGAAGGATGGCTGAGTGGCCACTTAGAAGGGACACTTGCTCAGTGTGACACAGCATCAATCAACAAATCCTAACAGCTTGTATAATTATATGCTTTCTCTAAAAGGGAAATGCATTAAAATGGCAGACACTTCACATTTCACAGTTTCTCCAATGACAAGTATCGTATATGTAAATTGGCAAGGAAAATGCAGTTTTGTTCACTATCCTTTAAAGGATTAACATGACTGAATTTCGTGAAAAAAAGGAACCTGAAAGCATTTCAAATGTTTGTTTCATTTGACAAATTTTACTCTGTGTGCATGTCTCACAGGCCTTAGGGAAAGATATGGCTGAGGTGACAGAAGTGGTGAGCCACAGCCGGGGGCTGCTAGACAGCACTACAGGGCTGCAGGGACAAGAGCAGGTCCTGATGGAGGACACGCTTGATTGCCTGTCTCGGCGACTAGGAGCCCTTGATTCAGCAGTGGAGCGCCGCTGTGACTCCATGAGAAGCAAGATGCAGGAGCTCACTAGCTTCCAGGTAATGCAAGGCCAGTCTGAGGTACCAGTGAATATTGAGCTTCTCTGCTCATAAGAGCAAAAGTGCTTCTTTTCATGCATTACTGTCTGTTTTGTTCTTCACAGAATGAGTTGCAGCTGCTCTTCACTGCTCTCACTGAGAGCAAGTTCCAGATTCTGCAGAAGCTAGCAGGAATCCTTGATCAGCCAGCAGCAAAACAGCTGGAGGTGGAGGGAAAGCGTCACTATTCATTTACATGGATACAGGGGGATATCATTTAAAATTGCTTACCTGATCTGTGCTGTTTTTCACAGACAATTGCTGAAGCAGAGGAAACCCTGAGAGAATTTGAGCAGAAAATCACAGATCTGAAATCCAGAGGAGCAGAATTGCAGCTAGATCAGATTTCTACCAATGAACTGCTGAAGCTCCAGGTACGTATTCACTCATTTATAAACCCCTTAAACTCTAGGCTTTCAGTTATTAATCGTAAGGATTATTTTCCAGAACTGTGAAGTATATAGTAACCATATAGTTACATATAGTAACTATATGGTTACCATATAGTTATGTGAAATAAATACGTAAGCTATGTTATGAGAATGTGAGAAGTGTGCAGCCTCCAGTGGGTACTTAGAGTTTAAGTGGTTATTGTGTTTTTGTGCAGAAAGATGTTATAGCATTTTCCTTGTATGGCGTATTGTATAGGACACTTATGAGGAGCTAGTGATGACAGTGGGCTCACGGCGCAGTGGGCTGAACCAGAACATGGCTCTGAAGAGCCAGTATGAGCGAGCACTACAAGACCTTGTGGATCTGGTAGATACTGCTCAAGATAAGATGGCCGCTGACCAAAAGATGATTGCTGGCTCAGTAGAAGAAGTCCAGGCTCTGTTAGACAAGCACAAAGTAAGCTAAGTGTTAAGACACTTTATTGTTTAAATGCTGTAGCACATACAGTCTAAGTGCAACAGTTTTTTGTAGCCCATTATAAAGGGTCTGGGTTGTGTTTCAGTAGCTTTCACTTCATTTTCCAGGAATTCTTTCAAGGGTTGGAATGGCATATGGTCCTGACTGAGACTTTCTATAAGAAAATCAGTGCCTTTGTTGTGCCACGAGAGAGCCAAGCTCTAGAGGAGACTCTTGCCCAAGCACAGAGTGTTCTAAAGCAGGCTCACAAGAGAGGGGTAGAACTGGAATACATCCTGGAGGTCAGTAACAAGTTGTATAAACATACTGAGTAATGTAATTTAATACTTGCAAATGTTAATCTCTCTGCTTTTCTCTGCATCCTTGTATGTATGTGTTTGGTGTATGTGTTTATTTACTAGACATGGAGCCGCCTAGTGCTGGACTACCAATGTCTGTACAGGCATTTGGAGGCAGTGGAGGGCAGTATGCCTGCTGTCCCCCTGCTAGAAGAGACAGTGGAGAGGCTGACAGAAAGAATAGAACTTTATCAGGTACTGTCCTCGTCCCACTGTACGTACCAAAGTGTTGTCTGTGCTCATGCGGCCATTATTAATCTTGTCTCACCTAATGTGTTATCAGCAACACTGGCTGTATCTCCTTTAACTAATTAAAATCTGCTGTCAGAGTAGTTGGGCTGTGTGCATGTCCACATTTGGCATGCTATAATGTATCACCTTGTGGTATTGGAGTTTTCTGTGTGCTACCATGTTTTCAGTCACTATATAACAGAAGCACAGTGCTTCCTTTGTTGTTGGATGCACCAATAAGGGCTTATTATTTACTGGTTTCATAAGAGTAACAACAAAATGCAACTGAATTCTAAAGTATATTCCTACTAATTTTACAAGTAATAGAAATGTAACTGCATTAAGAAATTGTTTTTAAAGATGAATAGTAGAAATAACCACTTTTGTCTCTGAATTAAAGGATTAAATATGAGGCAGAATCGATATAAGTGTTAGGAAGTGTATCATTTGGTCTGATAATCTCACCTGATCTTCACCTAGGGTCTGAAGTCCATTCTGACTGAACACCAGCACAAGCTGTATCAGGTGCTGGAGGAGGGCAAGCGCCTGCTGCTCTCTGTGGCCTGCCACAGTCTGGAAAACCAACTCACTCTGCTGGGGGAGCACTGGCTCAACAACACCACCAAGGTCAGCAAGGAGCTGCAGCGGCTGGAGTCCATCCTCAAACACTGGACCAGGTCAGGACCTGACGTGATTGTCTTATTCTGAGTTTAATGAAAAACTATGGCCCTTAGAGATCAAGTTACATAATGGATAATGATGTGTGGTAACAGGTATCAGAGTGAATCCGCTGAACTGAACCAGTGGCTGCAGAATGCTCTGGAACGCCTGGAGTTCTGGAGCACTCAGTCAGTGGCTGTGCCTGCAGATGTGGAGACAGTTAGGGACCACCTTTCATCATTCCTGGTTAGTATGATTTTTTTTTGCCAGATCTAGTTAAAGTTGAAGCAAATAGTTGAAGCAAATTTACAGTTTTTTTACCTCAAAGTTTCAAAGTTTGCTTCTTATTTTGAACTGGAGCTATGGGGCTATCATAGTTAACAAGTAATGGGATTTGGGTGTAATCATAAGTTTATGAATTGGATCAGCTGTGTTTGGGCAAGGAATAGCTAAAACTGTGCACGATTAAGAAACAGTGACATAGACGTTTTGTGGTTTATGTGATACATACAACTTTTTCTCCCCTGCAGGAGTTCAGTAAGGAAGTTGAGGGTCGCTCCTGTTTGAAGGCCTCAGTACTGAATGAAGGTAACCAGCTGCTGAAGCTGAAGAAGGCAGATACAGGCATCCTCAGATCCGAGCTGGCCCGTGTGGAGGCACAGTGGGCCGAGCTGATTACCCACATCCCAGTTGTGCAGGAGAAACTCCACCAGGTACTGGACTGCATGGCCGTATGTCACTTGCTAAACTGGCTTATCTGCCCTCCTAAGTAGGATTATTGCCATTCCTTAGGCTCATCTCAGCTGTCAGGATTCACTGAAGCCTTTCTGTGGTATTAAGTGAGAGACCTTTTCCTAATTTCTCTTTATGGTTGCTTCTTGTCTCAGTCACAAATGGACAAGCTGGCCTCCCGCCATGCCATCACTGAGCTGGTGAACTGGATCTCACTGATGGAGAAGTTGATCGAAGAGGATGAGGAAAACCTTAAAGGAGCAGTGGGGTCAAAGGTCATCCAAGAGTACCTGCATCGATACAAGGTAGGTTCAGCCCCTGGGACAATGAATAAAATTAGAATTAATAAAAAAAAACTAAAAATGTGTTTCCCTTATATTTTGTTCAGGGTTTGTCACCATTTCTCTATTATGACAGCAATGTTGTCTATCTTCCTTTCTCTTTGTAGGGATTCCGTGTGGATATGAACTGTAAGCAGCTGACTGTGGACTTTGTGAACCAGTCAGTGCTACAGATCAGTGGGCAGGATGTGGAGAGCAAGAGGAGTGATAAGACAGACTTTGCAGAGAAGCTGGGAGCCATGAACCGTCGCTGGCAAATACTCCAGGCTCACATCACAGAGAGAGTGAGACTTTTGCTGGGACTTGCATTAGGGCTGGGCTGTGTTCATAAATAATTCTAATAATATTTTCTTTAAATATTGAGATTATCCATTACATAACCATCCATATGACCACTGACTGGTGTAGTTTTTATTTTTCTCAGACAGTATGCTCCAATCTCAGTATAAATTTGCTGTACTGTAGCGTAATGGCTGATTAATTCAACAAACACAAAAAAAACACACACACACACAAAACAAAAAAGCCTTAGTTAGTAACAGTAAAATAATAACGGTAAATACATATATATAAAACATTATTTTAATATAATATATAATATTTTATTGGCATTTTTTAAAATTTATACTAATGTAGTAATATTTTAAATATATTTAGCAATTCAGTGATTCTAGTTTTCTGTCGGTTCTCTTTCCCAACTTTATTGCCTTTCAGGCTTCTGATTACATTGCTCAGCCCTAACTTTTATTTGATATTACGTATCTATTGAAGGCAGTTACATTTCAAACACAGGATATATTGTGATATAAATTTTTATTTACATAATATCTGTTGATGTAAATAAGCTCCTTGACTATTTTGCTGGATTTTTTCAGGTCCAATACCTGGAGGGCTTACTGGAGTCCTGGCTGGAATATGAGAGCAATGTGCAGAGCCTGAAGACCTGGCTTTGTGCCCAGGAGGAGCGACTGAAGAGGAAACACAGGATTGAGGATGTCTCCTCAGTGCAAAATGCACTGAAAGACTGCCAGGTAGGAGCAACCGTCGTAGATGAGTGACATTATGCAAACATATCATATTACAATTTCTACGATACGTATGCAATATTTTGACACGCAATGCACTAGTTGTGCTACATTTACATTAGCCATCAGAAACTCCGGGTACAAGGATTTTGATTTAATGTTTCACATACATATACATGTATATGATATAGTCAGAATAGCATGTAGTTAATTATGATTAAAAAATGTGTATATTGATATATTTCCCACTTCTACTACAACGTGTTAATTTGTATGTCCTCTCGCTGTCTCTCTTACGTGCACATGCACACAGGAAATGGAGGAGTTGGTTAAAGAGAAGGAGAGAGAGGTGGAAAGAGTAGAAGAGCAGGCCTGTGCTCTTGTCCAGAACAAGACAGATGAGGCCTGTGCTGTTGTGATGGAAATTCTCCAGGCACTGAATCACACCTGGGCCAACCTTGATCACTTAGTATGTTATTTTTCTGATATTTAACTTTACGGTCTTTTAAGAATGTTTATAGGTGATTGGTGTATGTGTGTGTTATAATAAAACTAGCAAGTGTGCTTCACAGATAGGACAGTTGAAGATCAACCTGAAGTCAGTACTGGATCAGTGGAGCCAGTACAAAGTGGCAGCTGAGGAGATTAACAGCTACCTGACAGAGGGGAGGTACTCTGTGTCTCGCTTCCGCTTGCTCACTGGATCTCTGGAGGCAGCACAGCTCCAGGTGGACAGTCTACAGGTATATGTCACAGAAACCTCTGTCTGGGCTCTACCCCATCCTGGATCTGCCCTATTTGATTATTCTGACTTGTGTCTTGGTTAGTCATCTGACGGTACATTCAGAAACTTTGACAATGTCTTCTTAATTCCCAAAGAGTAGTTGGAACAGTGCATGTCCGTGTTCAGCAATGTTAAATATATAAGTATGTACAATAAGCTTTGTATGTAGCATTTTGTTGCAATGTAAATGATCTGTATCTGTCACTGTATAAATCTCTCGCTTTGTAAAAGAAGTGCCATGCTGCCCCTTATTGTTTGTTGTACTGCAACAGTTTCTGAGCAAGTGTGCATGCACATTCAGAAAATTCAGATAATTCAGATAAATGATTATTAGTGATTTGTTCAATCATAGTGACAGTAAAAGGTGACTGATGTATATTTGTATTCATAGGTGTGCTCAGGGTGGTAGTTTGTGACAAACAAGATACGAATGTACAAATTTTTGTCTGATTCTGCAATTTTAACTAAAAAAAGTTTTTTTGTCTTTGTGTCATCTTATTATTTAAAGTTAAATTAACTCAAAATTTTAAAGGCAATCTGTCAACTAACTTTTTTCAGTTACATTTTTTTTTTTGTTTTTTGTGGAGTCTTCTCTTTACACATCAAATGTAATAACGGCATTGAGAAAGCTTATTAATTATATATTAGATTATCTGGCAGTTTAGCTGATTAAATGCAGAAATCCTCCTATTTTTCCTTTATTATTAAAGAGTTAACTATCGATTTGCCAGCAAAATTGGTGCTAGATTGACAAGCACCTTTGTTTCTGTTCTTGTAGGAGATTTGTAGAGACCCCATCAATACAACTGCTTCATACGTACTTCCACCTATCTCTACCTTATTGCAGCATGGCTTTAATACTGTGAAAAAATGCATTGTGGTTTCTGTTATCCATGTGTCAGAATCTGCAAGAGCAGCTGGACAAGCAGGAGAGCAGTCTGAGAAAGTTTGGAGCCATCACCCATCAACTGCTAGAGGAATGCCACCCATCTGTGTCTGACTCACTCAATAATGCTCTCAAAGACATCAATGCCAGGTAGGAAACTGCTGACCAATCAGACACTGTAACATTCTCAGAGCAGACCTGTATCTGTATATATATATGTGCTATATGTGTAAATGTGTGTGTGTTATTCAGGTGGAACAGCCTATTAGAAGAGATAACGGAGCGTCTGAAGAGCAGTAAAGCTCTACTGCAGCTGTGGCAGAGCTATAAGGATCTGTATGAACAGTGCAACAGCAATATCCAGAATCTGGAGGAGAGAGCAGAGCAGCTGCTAAAAACTGCCAGCAGGAAGGACATCTCAGAGGAGGAAGTATCCACCTGGATTCAAGACTGTAGTGTATGAGAAACATATCTCCTCTACCTTTTTTGTCTAGCTGTACTTAAATCAATATAGTTCTGATTAATGATGAACTCACTGGTGGTCGTAATTATCTTTTTCTCTATAGTACATATCATAAGTATGTTGTTGCGATTCAAAACTGTAGGTAGGTTTGTGAATATGTTAAGTAGGTAGGTAAAAATTTTCAGATATACAATCATTCTTAAAATCACTAAGTATGACGACTCTTTCCGTTTATCCTTACAACTCTAGAGATATTTATTATTTTATTATTTGCGTGATTTACATTACACTTATTTAATTGTAATTACACTTATTTAAATGCAAGTACATAGTTACTTACATAGTTATGGAATGAATTACATTTGATATTCAATTTAAATTCTACAACAATAGGCTCAAGTCTGCACTTTTGGTGTTTTTCTCTTTGTTTAATTGTCAAGGAAACAGGTAAAAATGTAAGCTTAGAGCAGGGGTCACTAATCTTTAACACAAAGGGCTAGTGTGAGTGCAGGCTTTCATTCCAATCAATAAGAATTTGTATGAGCAGGGCAGCGCCAGCATCCAGAGCCCAGAGGAGAGAGTGGTGCAACTGCTAAAATCCCCCAATATCTCAGAGGATTCCCTTGATTAGTCTGTTGGTCTGATTCTTGTAAGAGTTGAGTGGTTGTATGAGGTGTGCTTCTTCTTGGCTGGAATGAAAACCTGCAGCCATACTGGCCCTGTGTGGATAAGATGGGTGATCCTGGTTTGGATTTTAGAAAATGTGCACTTTGGACAGAGTTTCTCCACTTGCTTCACTGAGCTACCTGTGAGAAATAACTAACATCTAAATAAGGCATGCTTTTGTCATTGCTCTTGGTTATAACTTAGTTCTAAGGGTTAACTCTTTTTATGTGCTGAATATATGGTTTGCTTCCATCAGGAATTGCTGCGTTCACAAGCCCCAGTGCAGGCCTCTCTGCAGGTCCTGCTGGAGTTGGGTGAGCAGCTGAAACAGCAGGTGGACACTTCAGCTGCAGCATCCATCCAGTCAGATCACCTGTCTCTGTCCCAGCGCCTCAGCTCCATGGAGCAGGGCCTCAGCCGACAGCAGGCCGCTCTCCAGGTCAGACCTTTTAAGCTTAAGAAAGTAGTAATAAAAGGCTATGTAGGCGTTACCTGTTGTAAAAGTTCTGTGGGCGTATTTCTTTACTCACAGGCAGGAGTGCAGGACTATGAGACCTTCAATGAGCAGCTGGACACTCTGGGCCGGTGGATAGTTGAGGCTGAGGAGGCTCTGAAGGGTCAGGATCCGAATGGCTCTTCTGACCAGTCAATTATTCAAGACCGTATGGAAGAGCTAAAGGTACTCCACAACAGCCTTAGTAAAAAGAGACCATTGATTATTCACATACCAGAAATATTATTCATATGTTTCAAATTTAATTAATATTTTCCTGTCAAGATGCAAATTATTTCAGCCATAATGCAGCAGTTTAATCAGTTTGTGTCTATGTATTTGTACAGAGGCAGATGCTAAAATTCAGCAGCATGGCACCAGACCTGGAGCGCCTCAATGAACTGGGCTACAGACTGCCCCTCAATGATTCAGAGATCAAACGCATGCAGAACCTGAACAGGAGCTGGGCCACCACTTCAGCCCAAACCACTGAGAGATTCAGGTGTGACTGCTTTACCAAGCTGTAATGTAGTAGTAGTGAAACATAGTTATTATTTTCCGTAAAAAGGTAAAAATGCTATTACCTTTAACAGCAGGTGATTCGATTTCTTGTAGCATTGTTAAGTTGTAAAGTTGGATTATATCTCTTAGTTAATGCTAGTGTCTGCTCAGAACCCCTGTCTAGTCTAGCTTTATGATTTTACAAAAATTATGTTTTCATCTGTAGTAAGCTGCAGGCCACTCTGCTGCAGCAGCAGACATTCCTGGAGAAGTGTGAGACGTGGATGGAGTTTCTGGTACAGACAGAGGAGAAGCTGGCTGTGGAAATCTCTGGAAACTTCCAGAGCTTGATGGAGCAGCAAAGAGCCCATGAGGTGCATCTGCATAATGCCAGCGGCATCATATCTAATGACACAGACTGTTTACTTTGGATTGTGTCCTGAATTTTTTATGTGGTTATGTTTTGCACTGTAGTTATTCCAGGCAGAGATGTTCAGCAGACAACAGATCCTTCATTCCATCATCAGTGATGGACAGCGCATGCTCGAGCAAGGACAGGTGGATGACAGGTAAGTTCAGCCATAAGAATATCATATTCACTTTTAGTTTTATGGAATAATTTCGTCAGCACTGAAGCTCGGACGTTCAGGTTTGCAGGTAGTATTTTGTTCAGCCAGCATATGCTGTGTTCCTTTACAGAGATGAGTTCAAGCTGAAGTTGGCTCTGCTGAGTAACCAGTGGCAAGGGGTGGTGCGGCGGGCGCAACAGCGGAGGGGCATTATAGACAGCCTAATCCGCCAGTGGCAGCGCTACAGGGAGATGGTGGAGAAGTTACGGAAATGGCTGGCAGAGGTCTCACGTCAGACTGAGGCTCTACAGCCTGGAGCTCCAGTACCCCTGCAGCAGGCCCGAGCCATGCTGGATGCTGTCCAGGTAAACAGAATCACACCTCATGCCTGTTCAAAGTGCTTTCACATTATGGTTAATGTTGGGCTTTATTCCTCAATGTTTCATTTCATCATTTAAAAAGCACACACTTTCATTGATATGAAGCACCACTCTTCAGACCTCTGGTGCTTTTTTTGCCTGTTGTCATCTCCACAACCTAAAACATTGTTACTCTGATCAGAGGTTAGTAGGCACAGTGTTCATTTCTGGGTCATTAGGGAAAACAAACAAAAGCATAACAGAAAAATGGTTGCCCTCTTAACCGTCATTCATCTATTTTATCAAGAGCTCTGAAGGTCATAAAAATATTTAAAGAGAGTTATTGAAAATCTATTAGTTTTAGTTAGTAGAAGTGGCACTCAGTTATATTTTGATGCATAAAAATAAAAAAAAAATAAGGTGATAGGTACTGCTAGCTACCTAACATGAAGAATATACAGAGTTGTGGGTGGGGTTGTTTGGCACATCACAACCATTTTTTATTTACATTAAATGCTGCACATATACTAAATAGCATACTAACTTACTAACTAACTAACTGACTGACTGACGGACTGAATATTAAACTAACTAACAACTCAAACTCAGTACTGTACCATAATAATGCAGTAAAAGAAAAAAGTATTAAAGTGCCAAGTTTTGTATTTCTTATTGTCATTGTTCTTATGCACTCATTCATTCATTCATTAATTGATTGATTGATTGATTGATTGATTGATTGATTGTGCCAGCCACCACCATATTGGATCTGGTTAGCACTACATAAGTTTAGTCATGAATGCACAATTTCAGCCCCCTTGCCTGTACTTGCATACTTATGTGTGGTTTTGGGCCTTTTACTTCACATATACCCAATTTATGACTACAAAAATATATGCATTCATATGCAATATATGCATGTTTTAACCTCATGATTTGGCGCCCCCTGCTTGCTATCTCTGTCCTTTTAGTTGAAGGAGAAGGTGCTGCAGAGGCAGCAAGGCAGTTACATCCTGACGGTGGAGGCTGGCAGGCAGTTGCTTCTGTCTGCAGACAGCCGAGCTGAGGCATCACTGCAGGAGGATCTGCTCAACATCCAGGAGCGCTGGAGACATGCTAACCTCTGCCTGGAGGAGCAGAAGAGAGAGCTGGCTGTCCTGCTCAGGGTACAGTCCTATAAGTTATAATATTATTCTGCTTATTCTCATGATATTACACTGTAGAAAGGTTCCTGAAGTTCCTGAAAGTCATAAAACAGAAAGAGCATAGGCCAAACTAAGGCTGTTTGGTTGTTTATGTGCAGGACTGGGAGAGATGTGAAGAAGGCATTGGTGGGTCTCTAGAGAAACTGCGGTCTTTTAAGCGGCAGCTCTCTCAGCCTCTACCAGATCACCATGAGGAACTGCAAGCTGAACAGATGCGATGCAAGGTAGTGCACACTACCATATGAAGGATAGTTCACAGAATTCAGTCTGAACACAGCTGGTGTTAGTGTGTGACCATAGTTCCATATTTATATTATAACTACTAAATGAATTAGAGGTCTGCTTGCTTTTTTGAATGCCTTTCGTACATACAGTGCTCTGTGTTATGTCTAGGATACTAATTTGGTGTCTTTTTATGGTCTTAAGCTGAGAGGGCATGATGAAGTTAGATGGAATCTTAATCTTAAGTAAATCTAGTTACAAATTTAATACTTATTACTTATTTATTACTTTAATATCTAATCTCTAAATGGATTGAAGTTAGATGGAAATTTAGTTAAGCAGGTGTTGAAACTGTATTACAGTATTCCTGCATATCTTGACACTGACCACAGTGAGAATGGTAGAAGTGCTAGGATATTTGATGCCACCATGGAAACAGGACCCAATTATGATCTAATGAGACAAGGATGTTTTGAGTCACACCGACAGTGACAGAGGAATTACAATATCAAATGCCTAAACTCTCTTTGCAAAAACTTAATATTTTGCAAAATACATTATGCATTGCTTTGTAGTAAATATATCCATAATATTCCAGTTGTTCTCTTAAATGCAGGACCTGGAGAGCACTTTTGATGGCTGGACAGAGGACTTGGCTCATCTGACTGTGCTGAGAGAGTCTCTCTCCAGCTACATTAGCCCTGAGGACCTGTGTGTGCTGCAGGAACGCATTGAACTGTTACATCGCCAGTGGGAGGAGATTTGCCACCAGGTACAAAACTGACATGCCTCTCTTATGTAAGAAATTCAATGAGAATAATAATAAATTTGACATTCATTAAAACGCAGCTAAAAGTGCTTTACAAAGAAAGAGATGAATAAAAAACTGCATAAGAGAAGAACAAACAAATAGTAAAACAATAATAATAATAATGGAATGAGCAAAACAGGGTATTTATATAATATAAATAAATCTAAATATAATTATAAATAATAAAATGGGCAGTGATACAATTGAATCTAGAGAAAAGCTAAAATAAAAATGTTTTCTGTTTTCAGCTTTTTTTTAATGTTGCTTACTGTGGAAGCTTCACATTTGTATGCTTTTTAATGCTGTGAAAAAAGCCCTACAAACATTATGTATATATATATATATATATATATATATACAAGTATTATAAAGTTGAAATTATATGTAAACGTATAAATGATTTTAGATATCAAAAGAACGTGTTTTTTCAGTGACAGTCTGACAGTCTGAGTTGTCAGTTGGTGGTGCTGTCGCACAATAGTTGTGATCTGTTTATCGACTGTGTTGTATATTTATTATTGAAAAGTTACTGTAAGGAAATGTAGAGAAGCTTTGATTTTCCTGAAATGTGTCGTCACTGGAGACACAATGCCTCTCTCTTGTGTGAGTCGAATGCAGCCATCAAGTTTGAGTTTAAATATTGTAAAGGTTGTGTTTAGAAGAGTAATTAGTTCTGAGACTGAAACTCATATGCAAAACAGAAGGCTTTCCTGTCAGTTTGCCTGCGCCGCATCCTGTGCGTGAGTCTATAGACCACAGGATGTGTGCAAGCTTTTCATATCATGGCAAGAACAGGTAATGATTCAGTGCCGTCTTCACTTTTTCTTACACAATTACGAGTACATTTTGTCTCAAATCTTTCGGTACCTGCTTTTTCTGATTTCTTTTGCTTCTTTGCTGCCGTTGTATAAGTATGTATGTTGGACAGTAATGCAGAAATAATATGTCACTGAAGAAGCAGGCCTCACATTGGTGACTGTACAGACTGTACTGCTTATGTAGATGCCTTTATTTTTGTGTCTCTGTGTGCAGTTATCTCTGCGCAGACAGCAGGTGAGTGAGAAGCTGAATGAATGGGCCATCTTTAATGAGAAATACAAAGAGCTATGTGAGTGGCTCACTCACATGGAGAGCAAGGTCTCCCAGAATGGCGACATCAGCATTGAAGAGATGATCGAGAAACTCAGAAAGGTAAGCTAAAAGAATCTTTGGCATATTAAAAAAAAATGGCATTCATTTCCTTTGTAGCAAAAACAGCAGTGATACAGTTATAAGGCCAGAACTCACACCTAGTAAAGAAGCTGTTACTGTTGCTGTTATCGGTCACTATCTGCTTTCAGCTATCTACTTGTGATCACAGTTTATTGCCTTGGCACAGTCCCAGCTCCTAACAGTGCCAACAGTGTTGCCTTCTGTTTATCTCTATGTGTTTTTCCCCTCAGGACTATCAGGAGGAGCTAGCGGTGGCACAGGAGGATAAGCAGCAGCTGCAGCAGATGGGGGAGCGTTTGGTCAGGGCTAGCCATGAAAGCAAAGCCTCAGAGATAGAGCACAAACTCAGCAAAGTCAGTGAGCGCTGGCAACACCTCGTCGACCTCATCAGTGCAAGGTATCAACACAGGCCTCTCTTAGCCTTCAGCGTGTGGGTGTACTTGTGGTTGGCACTGATCTGTATTTCTCATGCTTGTTCAAAGTAGTCAGATGTCTACAGTAGAAGAACCATTAACCATTAGATGTCTGCAGTTATTGTTGTTTTGCTGTACATTTAATTTACATTACATTTACGTTATTAATTATATAGTAATTACTTTTATTTTCTGTATCAACAAGTTTGTGTTCACATTAGACTTTTTACCATTTGTCTTAACACCAAAAGCAATAGCATTTTTTTTCTACAAAACAATACTACGCACCAGAACTTTTCAAAGCCAAAATGCAATAAAACGCCTTCTGTGATGTTTTACTATTGACTGAAAGTTTAGAATCTGCACTTTTACCTGAAATGCACTTTTAGTGAGCTGCAAAAAACAAATGAACTATTTAAAGCTGAGTGCAGTTATTTTCCAAATTTGTTAGCTTTCATGGTCCTATGTTTACATTGCAACAAACTGAATGTGAATTGGGTACGTTTTTATCTGTTGGGCTGAGGCAAATATATGTAATAATATAACAATAATAATAATTTTTATTTATATAGCACCTTTAATGCCGGTGGCAGCTCAAAGTGCTTTACAGACAGGAGATAAAACATAGTTATACAAGAAATCATTAGTATTTATTTAGAATCAGAACAAAATGAAAAAGATCAAATTAGAAGATAAACACCACGAGACATAGAGTTTTAATTAAATGCTAAGTTAAAGAGATACGTTTTTAGATGCTTCTTAAAAGTGAGCACTGAGCTTGACTGTCTAATAAAAGGTGGAATTAAGTTCCACAGTTTAGAAGCATAATAACTGAACGAGTCTCTCCATGTTTTCTGTAATTTACAGAGGGTATCTGTAGAAGGCCACAATCTGCAGATCTTAGATTACGTGCCAGAACATAAACAGACAGACACTCTGTGATGTAAGCGGAGCGTTAAGGTCATTTTGAGCTTTAAAAACTAGTAGCGGAACTTTAAAATCTATCCTGAATGATACAGGCAGCCAGTGCAGTTCTTTTAAAACGGGAGTGATGTGATCTCTCTTTTTTGTTTTTGTTAGGATGCGCGCTGCTGCGTTTTGTACAAGTTGTAAGGGATGTGTAGTTTTCTTAGGAAGTCCAGTAAGAAGAGCATTATAGTAGTCAAGTCTGCTTGTGACAAATGCATGAACAAGTTTCTCTGCGTTGCTCTGAGAGTGAAAAGGCCGAACTTCAGCGATATTTCTCAAATGATAAAAAGTTACTTTCATGATTTAGTTGTAGAAACTTTTGCAACATCCACTGAGAAATATCTGACACACAGCTGGTTAGTCTTGATCTTCAGAAGGAATAGAAATGTATAGCTTTGTGTCATCAGCGTAACTATGAAAATTTATGCTATGCTTCCTAATGACATCACATGACATGTAAATAAAGAAAGCAGAAAACAGATAGGACACTTAAGACACTTCACAGGTTTACAAAAACAACAAAAGTTTTAACGCCTGACTGGTACTATAACACCGTTAGAGTGAAGCTGTAAGAATGTTTTTATGAGCTCGAGCTATGTCTGTCATCCATTGGGTACTACTAAAATTGACGGCTGTGAAGCAAGATACCTAATCAGCTTTATTGATGACTTAAGGCTTGTGCTTAAAAGACAATTATTTATATGACAATTAATCGCAAGCTAACTTTTCACAATTGTGACCAGCCTAATTACTGCTAATATCTCTGACCTTTGAAGGTTAAACTCTTCTAGTGGTGTTGCATGGTGCAACATGCCTGTGCTCAATGCTTCTGTGTGTTATCAGGGCGAAGAAACTGAGGGAGACTCTGGTGGCTGTGCAGCAGCTGGATAAGAACATGAGCAGTCTGCGCTCCTGGCTGGCCCACATTGAGACTGAACTGTCGCGTCCGATTGTCTATGATACCTGCGACTTTCAGGAGATCCAGAGGAAACTAGACCTGCAACAGGTGTGTGCACATGGATTCTTGCACACACACACACCTGCCATCCCCCCTTGAGGTGATACTGATAACATGCTCGCTCATATCATATTCTGCGTGTTGTCTGTTTAGGAACTGCAGAGGGACATAGAGAAGCACAGCACAGGTGTGGCTTCTGTGCTGAACCTGTGTGAGGTACTGCTGCATGACTGTGATGCCTGTGCCACAGATGCGGAGTGTGACTCCATCCAACAGGCCACACGCACCCTGGACCGCCGCTGGAGGAGCATCTGCGTCATGTCCATGGAGAGAAGGCTGAAGTATGACTGCTGAACCTGAGAGCTCTCTTCATATTAAAAACCTAGTACCTACCTGAAATATCATAACAACTGCTTAGCAGCAACCAAGCAACCATCCATAATACCATAGAAAACAACTAGCAACACGCTTTCAATCGCCTGGAATACCGTCTAGTAATTCACTGGCAACCCCATGCAACACCATAGTAATACTTGAGCTACGCAGTCACCTTGCATTTTTTTCAGGATATGCACTTTTCAAATGAATTATATTTTGACTTCTTGTTGAGTTTATCACAGGCCTATCAGGAATTAGCTGCGTTAGCAGTTACAGGGTAGCATGTATAACCATAAACTTTAATAAAAGCTCAGGCATTTTTCCTTGTTTTGCATGTAGTGCCTGAATATTAAACCTTAGAATGTGGGCAAAGAAGCTTAAGGAGTTAATGCATTTTTTTTCCTTTTTTCTTTCTTTCTCATAGGATTGAGGAAACATGGCGACTCTGGCAGAAGTTTCTTGATGACTTCTCTCGCTTTGATGAGTGGCTGACAATGTCAGAGAGGACAGCTGCCTTGCCAAACTCCTCTGGCGTGCTGTACACAGTGGCCAAGGAGGAGCTAAAGAAGTTTGAGGTGTGACTCAGACCAATATTTTGTGTTGTATCTTATTATGCCCTTGTTCCGTGGTCTTCATTAACCAAGGGCATTTAATAATAACACCATTCTCTTTAACAGGCCTTCCAGCGGCAGGTGCATGAGAGCCTTACCCAGCTGGAGCTGATAAATAAGCAGTACAGACGGCTGGCCCGCGAGAACCGCACTGATGCAGCATGTCGGCTGCGGGAGATGGCCCACGACGGAAACCAGCGCTGGGATAACCTGCAAAGACGAGTGGCCTCTATTCTTCGCCGCCTCAAGGTAAATATAACTATTATGTCTTTTTAGGTGGCAACCCATGATCTATAGGTTTTAATTTTACATAATTAATAATTCTGTTGCGTACAACTACAACACAGTAATAAATAACATTTAAATATTAATGTAAATATCACTTATGACATTTTAGGTTAAATATTAGCATAATATTGAGGAATTCAATTTTAAAGGTCAGTCTTAGAGCTGCGCCAACTTTAATTTGTTATTTACATTTTTTGGTTTCCTATTCATTCTGCAGCACTTTATTAGCCAAAGGGAGGAGTTCGAGACAGCTCGAGACAGCATACTAGTGTGGCAGACTGAGATGGACCTCCAGCTGACTAACATCGAGCATTTCTCTGAGTGTGATGTCCAGGCCAAAATTAAACAACTTAGGGTGAGCCTCTGTTCAGTCATTATCTGCATGGAATAGTTATTATGAAAATATTGATTTTACCTACACTGTCTTTGTTTTCACCTGTGCAGGCATTCCAGCAAGAGATCTCTTTGAATACAGCCAAGATTGAGCACATTTTCCACCAAGGCGAGGCCCTGATAGAGAAAAGTGAACCTCTGGATGCTGCTGTCATTGAAGAGGAGCTAGAGGAGCTCCAGCGCTACTGCCAGGAGGTGTTTGGACGAGTGGAACGCTACTATAAGAAACTCATCCGCCTACCGGTACAGCTAAAAACTTAATTCTCTTGTATGGTTGTGAAAAATAACTGTTTGATTCGGTTTTGTTTTAGTTTGTTGTGTCTTCAGCGGTTTTTACAAGGGCCCAACTAGTACATGTACATGTTTTCTTGACCAATGTACAGCATTTTCAAATGACCCTAAAGTGACAGCATTCATGAACTGTTGTCACTAGATCAACAATAGATATTCATATTTGATGAGAGCAGTTTGTATTTTCACAACCCTTCTTCTTGAGTTCATAACTTGAAAACCATATATAATATACCACCATACTTTTTTAATCATCAGCATATCTGATTCATTGTTGACCATATAAAATTCTGTAAGCTGATATTATTGGTTGTTAGAATTTTTAACTCCTTAAAATTAATATTGGTGACAAAATTTCTTTCAAGCTCTAGTTTTCACGGTATCTTGAATCATATCTTTTAGAAAGATGTATCTCATTTGTATTGCAGCTCACTGACGATGAGCAAGATGTCTCCTACTCGGATCGGGAGTTTGATTTAGACGAGCCGTGTGATGTGTCCAGCCTTCCATGGAGTGAGCGTCTGGGAGACGGTCTGCTCTCTCCGCTGCCCTCCTCCAGCCGCTCTGCCTCCCTGGCTGCCCCGCTACGGACAGAACGCTCAGGTCGAGACACCCCAGCCAGCGTGGACTCCATCCCCCTGGAGTGGGACCATGACTACGACCTGAGTCGTGGCTTGGAAAGCGCCAGCAGGGCTCTGGCTTCAGAGCATGGAGAAGAGGGCGAAGATGGAGCTTACCTTCAGGGGTCAGCTTCTGCACTCTCAGGTCAGTACTTCTCCCATAGCCTGCAGTCACAAATGCCTTTCAACAAATGTGTTAAGGTATAATACTGTTATTTTCCCTTTATTCCAGCTATAGTAGATCAGCAAAGGCATGTTTGGCGTATGATGTTTTATTTGGGCTAGCTATGAGGCAAATGTAGCTAGCAAGTAATTTAAGCTTATACAGCTAGTTGTCAAATTGTTTAGCAATATCTTTCAAAATAGATAGGCGTATGTGGTTTTCTACATTTGGGGTAAAGGCAAAATTACATTTTTATTTACATTATTATTGCTTTAAAATACAAGAACTAGTGCTAGTTGCAGAGATTCATAATTGTGGCTGCCATATAGCTGGAGATAGGAATGGTAATAAAACCAGTTCTCAGACCAAGCCTAATTAAAGAACTTGAATGTAATTGATTTAAAACTTTAGTGCTAGGTTACTTGCATGATCCAGTGTAGGTGGATTTTCAGAAATGATTTGTGTCAGATAAACAAAAAGGAGGGTACCTTAAAATGAACATTTTAAGATATGCCACCAAAACTATACTGTATGTATTGCATTGTATATGTCTCTTTCCAGATGTAGAGATTCCAGAGAGCCCTGAGGCATATGTAAAACTAACAGAGCAAACACTGAGGTCCACATCTGGTAGGCACTAGTAGCCACAGCATGCCATAATGCTGAGGCACATAACCCCCTCCAAATGAGAGATTCACTCACAGCCTGCTGCTTGGGACTATTTTCAGTTTCTACTCACCAGCTGGCACAGAATCTAGTCACTGCCGTTACCTGCAGCAGTTTCTAACCTCCTTTACTTATTTTGTTCTGGGTTGCTTTACACACTTCTGTCTAATGCATGTAGTGCTGTAGTTTGTAATTAGAATAGACTGATGCTTATATTGAGTTGACTACATTTTGCATTAGTAACTGGTAACTGAGAGCACTGAGTCTTCTGTTTTCTAAGGGTGTTTTTCTTTTATATATGTGTGTTTTTGTATTTTAATACCTGGGTATTATTCACAATGCATTACATCTAAAGTAACTTCAAATTTAAGAACAATCAGGTAGAGGTAACCAGACAACAAATCTAAATATTGAATTCTAAGAAATTTCCAAAGGAAAGATTTGCTTTGGTGGTGAACTGTTCTGAATAATGCCCATAAACATTTATGTGACTTCTGTTGGAGATTAAGTGTCTCCTCCATGTAACTCACAAAGCATGACTTGCAGCAGTGAAAGTAATGCACAATTCTTTTGAAAGGATCAATAGAGGCTTCAGTGGGCTGTTACTGTCCCAGTGCCAGATCCGATACCTTTTAGACTCAGATGGTAACTGTTTTTGCAGGGGAAGCAGCGTCTCTGGAGACTCACTTTAGACAACTGGCCAAAGCCCTGGATACCAGCCGCTTCCACCTGCAGCAGACCGAGAACATCATCCGCAGCCGCACGCCCACTGGCCCTGAGCTGGATGCCTCCTACATGGGTTATGTGAGTCCTTCAGGGTCTCTAGCAAAGAGTGCAGAGTCTAAGAAATGTAGCTACTGGTTCTTGAAAGTGGTAATAAACCACAGTAAGATTATCTAGATAGCTGACTGGGTCTGTCACTGTCTGCTGCACCTTATCTAAACTTTGTCTTGAATTCTCTTAGCGAAGTGGATGAGTTATTTGTCTGGCTTGTGCAGATGCGGTTGCTTGGGGAGTGCCGTGGCAGTATTGACACAGTGAAGAAGGTCGGTTATGAGCTGAAGGACGCGGAAGACAAGCTGGCAGGCTTTGCGAACCCCAACAACTCAGAATCGCAGACTTCAGGTACTCATAAAATGCTATAACATACCATAGTCTCTGAAGTAATGCTTCTATTTTATTTATCAGTTATTTGCTTAAGATTTAAGGGTTTAAGATGATTTAGCATTATGCCTAATCAGTAATATTCAGCTGCTTTCTAAGTCATATTGTATAGTGTTGTACAGTCTGCTGTGCACCTGTTCATCTACTTTCATTTCTGGTTTGTGGCCTGTGCTGTAAGCTGTTCCTCTCTGTCTGTGCCCTGCAGGTGTGATTGAGCGCTGGGAGCTACTGCAGGCTCAGGCTCTCAGTAAAGAGTTGCGCATGAAGCAGAACCTGCAGCAGTGGCAGCAGTTCAACTCAGACTTGAACAGCATATGGAGCTGGCTCAGTCAGGCTGAAGAGGAGCTGCAGCAACAGCGGACGCTGGACGTCAGCACAGACATACAGACCATCGAGCTGCGCATCAAGAAGCTCAAGGTGAGCCATGCTAGACTGTTCTGCTGGAAACAACCATTTATTTCACACAGTAACACAGCTACATTACGTTAGACCTTTTCCTCATTTTTAGTAATATTAGACATGATTAACAAAAGAGACTTCAAGCATCTAGTTGATCTTCCAGTATGCTGTCTGTAACCGAGTTTTACCTTCCTGTCCAGGAGCTGCAGAAGGCTGTGGATAAGCGGAAGGCCATAGTGCTGTCCATAAACTTGTGCAGTTCTGAGTTTGTACAGTCGGACACTGATGAGTCACGGGAGCTGCAGGGCCGACTGAAAGAGATGAATAACCGCTGGGAGCGGCTGACCAGCTCTCTGGATGAATGGAGGAGCTCTCTGCAATATGCATTAATGCAGTGCCAGGCAAGTTTGTTAGCTGTTGTTGCAGACTTACGGGATATTTCAACAAGCTTTTTCACAACATATATAAAAACGTGATTTTAATAGGTACAAAGGAGGTTTTTCTTACTGGAGGTATCTCAAATGATACAACTATTATTGTTATTTTATTACTTATAATTCATGATTACACAGTTAAGTGCATAGTTAGGTACATGATCAATTGCATCGGTTTTAATGTCGGACACTAATAGTGGCATGACAAAAACAAAGAACTTTTGATCCAATTCAAATAATAAAAATTTCTGGTTTTGTTTACAAACACAAATGGGGTGCCAAATTTTCAGTAGAATTTGTCTGCTTACTTTAATAAGCTATAAGTGAGAAATTATTAATATACCTATTAGTTGGAATTAGAAATAATTAGAATGTTATATATAACGTTGTTGTTGTTGTTCCCAATGATAACTCTTTTTTAAGGACATTATCAAGTTAACTGTGTTCAAAACTGACAGTGGATTCTATACCCACTTATTCTGCAGGACTTCCATGAAATGAGTCATGGTCTACTGCTGTGGCTAGAGAATATTGACCGCAGGAGGAATGAAATTGTACCTATCGATTACAGTCAGGATGCTGACACCCTGCAGGAGCATCACAAAACCCTCACAGTACGTGTCCTTCATTTTTCAATTTTGATGTGCCCTTTATGTGTTCTTGTAAATCTAATTCAGGACAAACTGAAGCACTGGCTATGGGTTGTTGCTGATTTGTCTTTCCAGCAAATTCGTCGGGAGCTGCTTGACTCCCAGCTGAAGGTGGCCTCCTTGCAGGACATGTCCCTGCAGCTGCTGGTCCACTCAGAAGGCAGTGACTGCCTAGAGGCCAAGGAGAAGGTGCATGTCATAGGGAACCGACTTAAGCTGCTGCTGAAAGAGGTGACACGAGACATCCGAGAGCTGGAGAAGACCCTGGATATCACCAGCAGTCAGCAGGTTGGTGCATGAACTAGGCTGGTGAAATATTAGACAATGGAATTAATAATGGGGAGCCAGAACCATGATGTCATAAAGTTCTAAATACATGTATTACCTGTTTTCTGATAAGCAAAACTGTAATCATAATAATATCTCAGAATTTTGACATACTTAAATCTAAATGTAATTCTGTATGATTCCTTCATATATTACTTGTTCTGTGAGGAATAAACTTATATTAGAATCTAGTAAAATCTGTATAATCTAAAGATAATTTACTTACTTACATCTGTCCACTAAAGGCTACTTTTTATTGATTTGAGAGAGGCATTGGAAGCAGGATGTAAGGGTGAGTTTTTAAAGTTTATTAAAAGGTACAAACACTACACAGATCAAAACACAGCAAGGACCACAAGAATATAAACCAGAAACTTTAACAAGACTGTGAAAGGGAAAATTGAGGCAAAGTAAATAACCGGCATGCAAAAACACTAAGAAAGACATAAGACTAGACAAAGGAGCGCTGGAACAAAACTAGACTAAATGCAGCTGGGAAAGGAGGGGTAACAACAGGTGGGCACACTAACGATAAGGCGGAACTAGGGCGGAAACAAGAGGAGACGCAGAAGGACTAACATAAAAACATGACCAAATGGATAGGAGATGGGCGTGGCAGCGGCAAGTCAGGGAGACCTTGCAGCTTGTTCCGGTAATCAGGGTTTAGGTTAAGGTTGTGTAATATAAAAGTCATTCTTACCTTCTTTCTTATTTATCTTTTTTCAGGATCTGTCATCTTGGTCATCTGCTGATGAACTGGACACGTCTGGTTCTCTGAGTCCTGTGTCTGGACGGAGCACTCCAAGTCGCCAGCGATCGGTAACAAATCAACCTAATGTTCTGTGGGGCTCTGCAAGGATGGAAGTATTTTGTCACGTTAAGGCGATAGTTTTTCACTTTTGCCCCAGTGTCCCTGGAACCTGGCCTACAGGCACGCTTGACACCTCAGTATATTTGCTCAGTGCCCCTCCAGATTCAGACAAGTCTATATGCCCATCCCGCATGCCCTCCTCCTTCAGAGATAAGAGCAGTTTAGCACTTGAGATTTGATTCCTCTTTTTGTGTTCACCTACCTTGATTGATTCAATCCCATTTTACACCTCTGTTCAAGTGATTTTCTCATCTGATGTGAACCACACCCCATGTTCCACTTTGTTTAGTTTTTCAACACATTTTCCTTCTGTTCATAGTCCCTCTAGATTCCTACACCTGTAATATCCAAAGAATACTGGTTCGTTCTGATGTTTTTATACTCAAAGCTGGTCAAATCTGAGCTCAATGTGATGAGCATGTGATGAGATCTAAAATGTATGGAATATGAAAGCTTGAAAATATTTGAGCTCATAATGAATTTATTTTATACATTCCTCTTAGAAATTTAGGTGGATTTTCTGCCATAATATGCTTTGAAGAACCAGTTTCTTTTTCTCCACAGAATTCTGCCCCATCCCCCCCCCACCCCATTTGATTTTGTTGCTGTCTTCTTTTTGGGTTTCTTTCATCGGTAGCTTTGTCTTTATTTGCCTGGACTGAAACATTCTTTCTTTCTTTTACCCCCCTGTTCATTGCAAACAGCCACGGGGCAAAAGTAGTCTGTCACAGCCTGGACCCTCTGTGAGCAGTCCACACCGCAGGTACCTGTCTACTGGTTTCTAGAACACTTGGAAGATAATGGAACTCAACCCATGACCTAACTGTAGACGCTGGCATCACTGGTTCTGGGTTGATCCCAAGTTTTACAAAGCTCCATGCCATTGACTAAAGGCCCGCTGCCCAGCCAGATCTCCAGTATCAACTTGAAGGCCAGTGACAGAACAAAGCTTTAGGCTCATGTCAATGGATTCCATCATCTTCTGTGATTCTAGACACTTAGGCTAGGGGTTTTAGACAGCTAACATGAGTGGGAGACCATGCACCAGAGAAAGACTTTATACTGCTCTAGGAGCTTATTCCAGTTAATTTCCAGAGTTTTCTGCTTATCCTTTGTGGCTGAAAAAAAACAATTAATATTGGCTATTTGCTGCTGAGCAACTCCTTCATCGTGCGCATAGCCAGCAAGCGTCTGCAATGAACAAAGCCTTGGCAGCTCTATCCAGCTCTCTTCCTCTCTTTCTTGTGTGTCACATCTCAATAACTAATCCACCATCTTCTTCCCCCTCCAATCTGCCATCTGTGGTTTGCTCCTCTCAAGTCTCCATTTGTGGAGTGTAGGAGGGCACATTTTATTCAGTCTAAGCTTACCTGAGTGGTGAACAGTCATCACAATTCAGAAAAAAAGGCTCAGTGACTGGGGCATGTGAAAAGGGAGGTCCTCAAATGCAGAGTTTGCAAAAAGCCGCATTCAGTCGAGTCCCAAAATGCAGGTTTAAGCTGCACAGAATGAAAAGTAAAGCCTCCTTTTGAACTTATTGTTCAGCATCTCAGTCTTGCTATGTAGAGATTTACTAGCTAGACTGAGATTTTGAACAACAATCCACTTCAGATTTCTGCAAGATGCTAGAACATGGCTGTAATGTTGCTACTTACTATATAATGTAAATAATGCACATGAATTATCCCTTAATTCAGTGATTAGATCAAATTCTTGCAGTCAAACAACATATGGCACTTCAGCTGCTTCCCCAGTAGAGCAGCTTCTGGGCAGCGCTCTCTTCTGTTGGCATGCATTGTAATAGCTCTGTAACAGTATGGCAAGAGGAACACTTTTTTGAGGTGGTCCTCTCTGCTCTTAATACCAGCAAGGCTTGCCTTTCTCTCAAGCTAACTGTCTATGTTAGCTAAAGTGTCCTCTGATGAAAAGTAGCACTGATGTATTCGGTAAGACAAAAAGGCAGTAATGAATTCTACATGAAGGTGCATGGACTTTATATTTAATCAGGCAAGTATGAATACTAAGTACAAAAAATAGTAAATACAAAAAATAGTTATAATATAAAGCATATTAAATATTCTCTGAAATCCAAAAGATGTTTAAATTGGACACAATTTTGTACACTTTTAAGTGGTGCCAAGGGATAAGGCTCTGTGCACTGTTAATGTTAATGCATTTACTTGATTCAAATGTTTGTCATTTCCGCTTGAATAAAATGTAATACATCAGCACAATTAAGACACATTTGGGTTAAAGTAATACATTTTATTGACATCAGCATATATATTTGAATCATGTAAGTTCAGTGCATTACCGTTTTCAGTGCAGGTAGCCCAGCTTACATAATAAATGTTGTATTTGAAAGTGCTGTCTGATCTGTTCTGTCCCTTGTGTGAGCAGGTCTCCCAGCGTCGCTGGATCCGTTTCCTCCCATTCTGAGGAGAGAGAGCCACGCTCCTGGTGCAGAACCTTCCTCCGACGAGTCCTTTGGGCCTCACTGCCTGTGCAGCTCCTGCTGCTGCTGCTGGTGGCCTTGGCCTGCCTGGTGCCTATGTCTGCAGAGGATTACAAATGTGCCCAGTCTAACAACTTTGCCCGCTCATTCCACCCTATGCTCAGCTACACCAATGGGCCTCCACCTATATGAGCTTGGGTTTGTATTAAAGAGTCCTCACAGATGCATTCTGGACAACTAACTTGTACCACTACATTAGCAGCCAAAGCCAATCATTAATGTGTCCTTGTATAGCTAGCTGCTGAGTCTGCTTGTGTCTCTGTAGATGTTCTAAAGAAGCTTATTGCACTGAAACCTAATACACTGTAAGACAGGTGGTTCTTAGTTATACACTATAAGACAGGTGGGCTGCTAGTGGTACTAATGAAGTTCTTCCAGTATCAAAAAAAGGACAAAAAGATATTTAACTGTATTTTTTACTGGATGGCACTGGATGTTAACTGGTACTGAGCAGTTGTCGTTCATGTCACCAGGCCTGAAGTTTCTTTTTTGTTTTTTTATATCATGAAAAGTATTGACATTTGATTTAATGCAAAGAATATAAGGTGAAATTGCTTATAACAAATGAAAACTTGTAAAATAACATTTAAAACTATATATTGCAACTATTTTTTATATGTATTTTTGGCATGTGGTAATCTTTTGCTTTTAAAGTTGTTTATCATTTATGGGATTTGTCATTGTTGAAGACTGATCTTAATTTTAACTAACTTACTGTAATCAACTTACATGTAATGAAAAATACAGTATTGTCTGGAAAAGCACTATCATGATATTTATCCATGTACAGTTTGCTAAGGCCTAAGAAACCTTTGCACTGAAAACAAAGACAGTATACACATAATGTGCTTAGTGGTATTTTTTGTAATAATGCGAAAGTATACAAACAAAAATTAAATTCAATGGCATTGATATTTGAGGATTCTTCATTTGGTGTGAACAGAGTTAAACAACAGTCGGTTCATTTTTAACCATCAAAACTTTACTTTAGTAACTTATTTCCAGTCATGTAATTCCACTCCCACCTTACTACTTAAACATAATATCAGGATGATTAAAGACATTTTCTTGGTGCATAATACATAACAATAACAGACAAGTGCCACATTTAAAACATACGATCAAGAACTATGAGTAAAATTAGATTTTATGAAACGTTTCACAGATTAATTATGCCCTTTATAATGAAACATGCAGTTTGTTGGTGCTTTTTACTGACGATATCCATGATATGCTCGGAAAACCATATTGTGACATAAATTGATGCAATTTATCATGATAACAGTGAATATTGTCACACTGCCCATCTCTACTTTAAACCCAGTAACCTTTTATTAAAATGTATCTCTGTCAGTAGAAACATTTTAATTCAAACAGACAAAGATGACCTTGACTCACAGTGCACATGCCTCACAATGTAAACCACAACAGACCTGATTTAGCATGACTGGATAATGAGCGGTCTCAATCATCACATATACATAATTGCTGCTGGTTATCTATTGACCACTTGTTGGCACTAAAGGTCATCCCCCTCAGGGCGTATCTGTAATGGGAGGTGCGGGCAGGGCCTGTACTTCAGGCCCTAGAGAGCCTGCTGTGAGGCTGGAGCAGGCAGAGGCCATGAGGTGCGGATGATGTGGTGTTGCACAATGGCAGGCCAGAGGGAAATGATGATGGCAGGAGTGAATCAGAACCTCCAGCCTTTTAATAACCTCATTACTGGGGAGAGATGCTGGCATGTCCACTCCCAACATTTGAGACACCACAGTACAGAAGTCCAGCAGCTGTAATGTAGAACAAGGTGAGTGGTTAATTTTCAGAATCTATTTTGAAATAACGTCAGAAAGAGAGACACCTATGCGGTGCTGAAATCCAATGGAATGCTGTAATACAAAGCCATCTGTTACGGTACCTTTTTCTCCCTGTGGGCGAGCTCTGCCATGGCACTGGCCTGGCTATGGAGCAGCATCTGTGCCTGCAGGAGTTCATCTCTGGCTCTGTACTCCTGATTCTGTAACTCTGTCTTCACTGTGGTGAGTCTTTTCTCCACTTTGGCCTTATTCTTCTCAAGTTTGCCCAGACTCTTAATCTGCTCTTGAATGGCCTGCTTCTGTTCCATCACTCTGATCTTATAGCACCAAACACAGCAGAACCTGAGCTACTTTGAACTTTACATGTTTAAAAAAATATATTTTCTTAAATGTGGCACAGTATAGTTTGAGTCCCGTACAATTTCATGTGGCACAAGCATATTTCACATAATATTAGGCACAATACCATTCAAAGGTTTGGATTTGTTCAAAAGTTTGGATTCACAGTTTTCAATATAAAACCAATTTCATTACAAACACGATAAAATCATTGTAATATGTTAGTCCTGTGCAACTTCATTGGTCTTTAATGACAAGTAGATGTTTCCAGAATGATGAACAGAGCTGTACAATATTATACAGTAGTCTAGTTTCTGTGTTTTAGGTTGTGCCTTAATGTTATTGGTGTTTTTCCTCTTACATGATTTAATATTTTATTAATACTTTGTAGCCTGTAGTATTAAAGTCATATATAAATAAAGGTTACTCACTTACTAAAATGACTAAAAAAGCTGAACAGAATCAAAAAAGGATGTTAAAATCCAGAAATTATTATATTTCAAAAGTGCCATCAATGCAGATAATGTCTTGTTCACAGAATTCTTGAAATATTCTTAGAAACATCTAAAAATACTTTTAGTAAATAGTTTGCAGTTTTAAAATCCACCCTGTATAAGTGAACACTGTATATAAAATAAGTTAATATGGCAAGCCAAACATTTGACCGCTTGTTTATAGTATAGTAGTATGTGCATTAACATAAGTGTTGTAACTAAATTTTCACACATCGAAAAAAGTAATGCATTGACATAAAGATCTACAGTCAACACAACTACTGCCAAAAGTAAAGACAAAACTATGCTGATATGTCATATATTACATTTGTGAGAAAATACTGCACACATCTGAATTGAGTAAATAAAGTGCATCCCTTTTTTCAGTGTAGATTGTAAATAATTTTTCGTATTCATTGATCTCCATTTAAATATAGTTAAATCACTCTGCCTCTGCTTGGCCTGTGAGCCAGCGCTCTCCTTCCCTCTACCTTGAGCTCATTGGTGTCAGCGAGCTGGGCCTTTAGCTCAGTGTTGGAGAAACGCACGACACTAAGCTCAGCCTGAAGCCGCTCAACCTTCTTTTGCAGCTTCTTGTTGGCCAGTGTAGCATCGTCCCGCTCCACAGATAGAGCCGAGCGGCTCCTCTTCTCCTCATCCAGCTGGGCCACCTTCCTCCTCAGCAGCTCCATGTGCAGTTCCTTACTCTCCAACCTCTCCTTCTGCTCCTTCACCTGCACCCATAACAACAGATATTACCTCAGTCAGAACTCAGGACCTACATCTCAGCCCATTCATGTATAAGCCCACTCTTATCCTCTTAGGCATAACCAACAAACCTTTTTCTGAAGGCTGTAGGTCAAAGTTTTAGTCTCCACTAACGCAGTTCCCTCTTGTCTGGTCAGTTGTTCTGCACGTGTCAGTATGGCCTCAAGTCTCATGTCAAAGCCCAGATCAGTGGCAATGTGTTCAATCTTCATTTTTTCAGAGAGCTTCTCCAGAAACTGCAAGTACTGCATGAGAAATAACAAAACGGACAACGGAAGGCTATGGGAGACTACTCCACTTCAGTATTAACCACCTACACTTACCAGTGGGAAGAGTAGCCTAAAAGTTTTGCTACTTCAGTGAAATAAACTAAAAAGTACATTTTCAAAAATAACTTGAGTAGAAGTACAAAAGTAACTTATAAAAAAGCAAATAATCTGCATAGGAACTGAAATTTGTTAAGAGCTAGTTTTCTGTTTTGATGCACTCATTGTCCAAAATGAAGTGATAAACAACCAGAGGTGTAATCACAAAGCACAAGTACAAAAAAAAAACTAATAATTAAAGTGTGAATGACTTTAATGTAACTGAATAAAAAGGTAGATTCCGTTCCTCATTTCAGAAGAATTAAAAGTATCATTACCTGAAAATGCTCAGGCAAGTATAAATCCATCAAAACTGCACTGAAGTGCATCAACAGAGGAAATGTAACTAGTTACTACCCACATCAGCTTATAATGCAGGCTTATTGTTCAGGCATTACTACAAGGTATGCAACTAATATGTGATGTATGTAGTTATGTGCTCTTCCAGTTTGAGGAGGGCCTTAAAATGTAAAAATGAACTGTTTCAAGTTAGTGAGAAAACAAGCACTTTCGATGTATCAAAAAGAAGAGCGACATATTCCATGTTAGCTCACCTGTTGTTTTTCATGACTCAGTCCATCCTTGCTGACTCCTGCAGTGAGGAGTTCAGACTCCAGTTTGTAAGCCCTGCACTGGATCTGCTGTTCTCTTTGCTCTGCTGCTCTCAGCAGCTCTGTCTGCCTGGCAAGTTCCTGCGACACCTCCGCCAGCCTGACCTCCAGCTCTCTCACAGACTTCAGAATATATTACAACAGTATACACAGGAAAATTTAGATTTCGTTTGGCCTCCACACTTTGATCCTTCTGCTTTCACCCTCCCTACAGTGTCTGATCATGCTACTGATGAGAGCTGTCTGGTGTAACTGTTTTATGCAGATTCAGTGCAGCTATTGGTGTGACAAAGATGTAATGAGACTTTTGATATTTGTACATTGTGGAGTTTTGAACGTCTAGTACATGTCTAGTGTAAAGACAGCCTTCAGATTGTTGCAAAAAGGCAGATGGTTACACCTAGCATGATGTGGTGTGTTCTGTTGTGCCTTTGCTAGGAAACATAATTTTAATCTATCTAATATAATGTCATTTGATAATATAACACTATCAGCAAAAATTCACAGAGCTGACTCAACTCAGGTGATAAGTTGGTAGAGGAATCTGGAATGAACGTATTAGATATTGTTCACCAAATTTGATCTTTAGATAAGTTCTAAATACTTTTCATCATTCCTCTGAATTTTTAAAGGCTTTCTGCTCAATCAACTTGATAAAAAGTCATTGAAAGTTTGAAGTTGAATTTTTTAGTGTATTGTTATTGCACAACGTAAGACGTGATGATTTACCAATGGCAGGCAGTTTTTTTTCTAAACCATACATTCTTACATAAGAGTCTTCAATGGTTCTTTAGTAAAAGGAATTGTTCTATTTAGAACCTTGAGTTCTTCAAGCTTGACATTGGAACAACAGAAGGACCATGCTATATAGAACCATTTTCAAAAAAGTTCTATTTAGAACCATTTACAACACATTCTCCATCAATCTAAAGAACCATTTCACCATGCAAAGAACCATTTAAATGGTTCTATATAGAATAGAACCATTCCCTTTATTAAAGAACCCTTGAAGAACCACCTTTTTAAGAGCGTAGGAAATCTTAAAACTTCTTGTTGAGGTGTTAACAGTACCACATTGCTGCTCTTCTCTCTTCTGCAGACTTCTCTGAGCTTATCCAGAACACGCTCCTCTTTAGGCAGAGCACTTTCAGGCAGATCCCCAAGCAGAACCTCCACTCCCTTCAGAAAGGCCTCCATGCGGCTGTGTGATGCCTGAGCTTCATTTTGGCTCCTGTGCAGCCTGCATTCCAGATCCTCCGAGCGCTTCTCAGAGCTGTCAGAATCTTCTTTAGCAGCAGTAAGGGCAAGCTCTCTCTCCCGCAGCTTGCTCTTCAGGCTCTGATTCTCTCTTTCCAAATTCTGCTTCTTCAACAGCACACAATCAAGCTCCTGAAAGTCACAACACGCAACAGGAAAAAGGATCTAAACGACCGAAAGTGTCAAAATCGTTCTCATCTGCATGAATTAGGCACCGAAAACAGGCCCTCGTTTTTGTCGGGATATAAAAATGAACTAATGTATCGATCTGAAGGTCGGAATTCAACTCGACTTTGCAATGTTAGAACTGATTGTAACTGGTAATAATGATATTCAGTACTGGGTGTTGTTTTCATTTTCAACACATTTCCACTACTGTGTGAGGACTTCCTCCAGTCACATTTGTGTATATTTTAATCTATGTATATTTAAATAAGTCTATTTTAATCGGATTGAAATGATCAAATTGAATTAAGAAGAAATATGAGATTTCATGATGCACTTAATCATTTCTTAAAGAATTGAAATGAGCAAAAAAGAATTGCTGGCTAACAAAATAAGTAATCTCCAGTGTGTCAACTTCATTTAATGTTGCAAGAATTGAATAAAGAGAAATGACCTGATTTGTGAGCTTGCCAGTACTTCTTTTTTGCTAAATATGAGAAACAAATCCTTGCAGACTGTGATCTGTAAGTGCAGATTTCTCGTTATTTGACTCTTTAAAAATTGTAATTGTTGTGAGCTCAGGTAAGGACAAGAAGTTACCCCCCTGTTTGCTTGTATCTTAACTGTAACATTCCTGTTTGCTGTATTTTACATGTTAAAGGCTTTTGTGTCAGATAAAATAAAGAGAGCATACCTGTCTGACTGAGTTCAGGTCACTAGCACGGCCAGCTGAGAGTTTCTGTTCATGGTCCAAATCAGCCACTAGTCTCCTCACAGTCTCCCTGCTGGCCTTACACTCCACTTCGTGAGACTTTACATTCTCCTCTAATGCACTTATTTGAGTCCTCTGTCTGTCTCTCTCTTTGCAGCATTGGCCAACCTAAGATGCAGATTATTTAGTAACAGGGAAAATATTAAATGTTTGTGTTGAAAGTATATCTCTCACTCACCAAAGAGATGATCATCTCCATGGGTTCATCACTCTCAGCCAAATCAGTGGAGAGTTTGCTGGATAGTCTAGATATAAACTCCTCATGCCTCCTCTGTAAATCACCTGCCTCTTGCTTTGTCTTGTTCCAATTACTAAGACAGTTTCTAGAAAAAATACAGTCAATATTTTTCTTATTTAGAGTTTAATCAAGAATGTAGTTATGTAAGACTTATCAAAGCAGGTAAATAACCAATGCTCACTTAGACTTGATCTCCATTTGTTGTGCTCTCTCTCTCATTTCTTCATTCTCCTTGTTAAGTGCCTGTAATTTCATATCCATAATGCTTTTGGAGGAGGAGATGGAGCCCATTTCTTGTTCTGTGTTGTGAATGCGTTCTCTGAGGGAACTGATGAGAGATGCCTGACGGGCCTCTGTCTCCTTGTGTTTGTCGATCACCTCTCTCAGGTCCTGCACCAAAGCCTCCTGAGAGGAAATCTTTGACCGAGCATCCAGCAGCTGTTAAAGTGAAACATATACATTGTCTGTAAAGCTGGTTCAGAGAGGATCCGCTCTTTAGTAGAAAAGTCCAAATAAAAAATGATGACCTGTGAATGGAGGCTTTGATGTTTGGTCTGGAGAGCTGCTAGCTCTTCTCGTGCAGACTCTGTGGCCTGTTTGTAGTGAACCAGGTGCTGCTGCATCACAGAATCATCCATTGCAATGGCCTTTCTGTTTAAATGGGTGCAGATTAACTACATATGTACTATTATCACAGCTCTTCACATTTCAAAGTTGTGGATACATTCTCCTAAAATTGCTAACAATCAGATCAGGGCACAATACCAGTATATCAGTACCTTATAAACTCCCTGCTGAAAAAATTTATCTTAGAAACCATCAAAGGTTTCTGTGAGTTTCTGGGGTCCAATAAGTCACTAATGGTATTCAGTGTTTTCCTGGTGGGTTTATATAACATTTTAAAGGATTTTAATAGTTCAACAGGTGTTCTGGGACTGATTCCAGACACATCTGATGGCTTCCTGATGGGATCTGACTGTGTCCTACAGAAAACTAGTGGTTTCTAATAGTAACCATTAAGCCAATCCCCATTAGACAGCAAAAACATCAGTTTTTAATCCTGATCATTCTAATGGTCTTCTTTCAATAGGTCTATTAGTTATATGTAAATATACATGTATAAGATGCAAACTTATGTTGTCAACAAATTATATAGGGTCACTGTGCACATCTGGGCTATGAAGTTATCAGATCTGGTCCAAGAATTAAACTATAAGCAGACTGAAGCAGCATTAGCTTCCTTAAAGTTAACAGCTGAATTTCTATTAGTAGGCATGATCGTTCGGAAATGAAGTGTCTGCGATGTTTATTTCTATGAAATGGGTTGTAATTTCTTACCTCACGCAGTTATCTCTTCGAGCCTTTTATCTGTAAAGTTTGCTTTCTCTGATACTGAATGTCCTGAGCACAGGAGTGTCAGTGTTTCCAGCGTTTCTAAGCAACAAGCCTGCTGTTGACTCCGCCGATAGGGGGCATTAGTGAGCGGACCAGACCAGAGATTTCCCAACATGTCTGCAAAGATCAGATTCAATCTCTTTTTTGCGTTACTGGTGGGACACACTGCACAGGATCATTGAATAAAATAAAACTACACTTTCAGCGCAGAATCACATCACGTGTGTATGAATAGAAAGAGAAAATGCGTTAGCTACGTTAGATGAATGCTAAAATAACGTTAGCAGCTCTTTGTGAGGAACTGAGGCTGCCAAGCAGAATTTTATCAGGAATGTCAGTTTTCCACTTCCAGTGCTGGGTTTCACAGGTCTGAAACACTGACGTAGGCTTTAGGGCGAGTTAAGTGTAGTGTTCAGGGTTTGTTCTGTAGAGTTTAGGGTCTATGGTGTAGTGTTTAGGGATTTGTGCTTTAGGGCGAATTTAATGTAATAATTGCTGTAGAGTTTATAGTGTAGTGTTTAGGGTTTGTTCTGTAGGGTTTATGGTGTAGTGTTTAGGGTTTGTTCTGTAGGGTTTATGGTGTAGTGTTTAGGGTTTGTGCTTTATAGTTTATAATGTTATCTTTAGGGTTTGTACTTTAGGGTTTGTGTTGTAGGGTTTAGGGTTTATTTTTTGTGCTGTAGCCTTTAAGGTTACCCTAGCCTTGGACTGCACAGCATTCTGAATGGAGATTCTCCACTGAAGGGTAGATGTATTCCAATATTAGGCTTAGTCTGGGGTATGCTGTGGGGTTTAGGGTTAATGGTGATGTGTTATTTGAGTTCATGTTTAAAAACCAAAAAACAAGCAAAAAAACAAACAAAAACAAAAAAGGTTTACATGAAGAACAACACATTGGGTAGGAAGGTCAAACTTCATTTTGTTTCTCAAACACATGACGAAATAAGATATTGAGTATTGGACATTACATAGACATAGCTCTATTTCGTTTTGTTTAATATTAAATGCTATATTAAATATCCATCGCCTGCCGATTGATAGCCTCATGCTCTCAGCCTATCGTTGTGCTAACATGCATGCTGTAAGGTTTAGGGTTTACGGTGTAGGGTTTAGGGGGCATGCTGTAAGGTTTAGGGTTTACGGTGTAGGGTTTAGGGGGCATGCTGTAAGGTTTAGGGTTCATGGTGTAGGGTTTAGGGGGCATGCTGTAAGGTTTAGGGTTTACGGTGTAGGGTTTAGGGGGCATGCTGTAAGGTTTAGGGTTTAGGGTGTAGGGTTTAGGGAACAGTGCGAGTGGTTATGAAAGCAAAGCGCTCTCTTTCTATCACGTGACATGAAACGCAATGCGTGATGTCACTGATACACGAAGCACGCACGCCCACGCTGCTCAGTTTATTGAAGATAAACTTTATCCCAATTGATCCCAATCCTAAATAATGTGTCTACAGAAAGTAACGCGCTGTTAAATTCAGCGATGACTGCCAGCTGTTGTGTCTTCTGTAAGAGAACACGCGGTATGTACTGAATTAAACTGTATGTGAGCTGTTGCTGTCTGTTTTTTTTTGGAGTAGCTACAGTTTAGCCTTGTCGGCTAACTTAGTTAGCTTACAGTGCCTAGAGCATGGTGCACTGGACAGACTTCTGCTTGAGGTTTCATGAGGCGATATGAAAAGAGTCGCTGACGAGCTTTTGAGATCATCAGTTACCCAATTAACAAATGCTGAAAATTCAAAACGATACAAGTTAGCTAACTAGCTTTCTAGCTAACTATGAAGGACTGAAGTTTGACAGCTAGCCAGCTGACGTAACTAACTTACTGCTGTTGGCTCAGTCAAGGTCAGTGAGCAGAAATAGCGGGCTGGAAAGTCTAGCATAGCAGAGAAAACTGCCTGACTCCTGACGAACTAACGAAGGGTTCATAATGTTGATCATCTACACAGGTGGCTAGGTATGCTAGCTAGATCTATCTCAGCGCTGGCACTGTGGAGACTGCAGCAGCCTTTGGAGAGGAGACATTTTTGGAGATTACGTCCAGGAATTGCAGAGTGGGTGGAAAATGGCTCTTGCTCCGGGGTCAGGTGTTTTCCACCAAATCTGCTGGCTCGCAGCGCCTCATCACACAGCCTTTACCCAGACCACAAGAACAGTCCCTCCATCACACTCTATCCTTCGCGGTCTTCTGGACTGCAGAGAGGAGCACTTCAAGGACCTCTTATTCTTAACAATCAAACACCACCTGTCTTAATTATGAGATCCAAAGCATGGAATATACACACGAGATTGCAATCAACCACAACAGCTACCATGTCTGTGCTGAAACAAGGAGGCTTGCCTGGCAAAAGAACATTAAAGGGACCAAGGACAAAACAGCCTTCCAGAGCCAATCTTCCTGCTCCAGAAGAGGCAAGTCTTCTATTTAATCAGATCTCAGGTGGAAAAACTCGTATAAAATCAGAGTTACCGTCTGTCTGTCTATGTAGCTCCCATAAAACATGCAGTCGGTTGAAATGAGTAAACTCATTGTGCATGCATTGATCTGTTATTTTACAGGATATGATGCAGTGTATTGCCTATGCAACTGCGGACCAGTACCATCTACCTACCCTCTGCCATGATCTAATGGCCAATGGCTTTTTTGAAATAAGAGACCTGCCCAGAGGTTAGTTGAACTGTAGAATTATCTTCTTTGTCTAACTATTTAATGTTTATATTAAGATTTGTAACTGAATTAATGTAAATAATGTAAAATTTGTCAGTATCATAAACTGCATTGAATGTAAATGTGAATAAGTGTAATTATATACTTTATTTAGTTTCACTCAGTGAACGCACTGTTAGAAGATGCGTCTTGTAACAATCTCTTGCCCACATGATCTTCGTTCAAGTGTGATGTTGTGGCAATAAACCTTGTTATTTCTTTACCTAGTCATTATTTCATTCAAGTATCAGAATTTACTGTGGAACCACTTATTTCCAGCCTACAGTTATAAAATGCCATTATGATTGAAGATTATAAACTATTTGTGTTTTAGATGCCTCTAATGTCTTGGTGATTGGAACAGAGATGGCAGCAAAACCCACTGATGGCGCTTTGATGTTTTTTTTCAGGTAAGCCAAAAAGCTCACTTTCTCATGCCACCTGGCTTCTTTTTGCCACAGACTGTGCATGTTTATTTAATAAACATACTTAAAAGAGTTTGTCCTCATAGGGAAGGCTCAGTGGTTTTCTGGAATGTTGCAGAGACAGCTGTGGGTAAAAGTGCTCTGTTGTGTGTTTCTTCTTTTTTTATTTATTGATTTTTTTTTTGTCTAATTTGAGTCAATTTTCTAAATTTTCCAAATGCAAAAATCTCAAATCTCAGTGTAAAAAATGTGTTTCATATATTTGCTTAATAAAAAACAAACATTTTTAAATGTTCAACAGATGTGTCTGTGTATCTATGCAATATTGAATTACAGGTAAAGAAAGCAATGAGAATATTGGAGCAGCATGAGATTCAGCCGTATGAGGTGGCCTTGGTTCACTGGGAAAATGAAGAGATCAATTACGCAGTAGGAGAGTACGTCAGAACGTGACAGTACATAATTGTAATGTATATACAATGCAAATGCAAATCTGTTTTATTGTATATGATAGCTCATATTGCTTCCATGGTCTAATAGGATAAACATTTTACTGTTTATGCACTTAGGGGGAATTCAAAGCTACATCGAGGAAATTTCATATTTAATAGTGAGATGGACTACGACCAAGTACTTCTAGAGAAATTTGCATTTTCCAATGCTCTGTCTCTATCAGGTGGGCTCGATATTTATTCCCGTTGTTGCATAAGTCTTCAAGTCATTCTTTAACATTAGTCTGTTTTTTATTTCTACTAACAAAAAACTGTTTTTGTTCCAGTTAAGTTGGCTATTTGGGAGGTCTCTCTGGATAACTTTGTTGAATCTATTCAGTCAATTCCTGAGGTAATCCTCATTTATACACTACATATATATACCTTAGATATAAATATACACACTATACTATATGTAAGTATAGATAAGTATTGAATGTAGCTACTTTATGGTGCACACACTGCTGAGAAATTTAATTGGTCAAACCGTTGCTTGCGTAATCCATAGAAAAGCATGATCAGTACCTCCATATTAATACTCCTAATTTCAGAGACATACATTAACTTAACTTGTATATTAAGTATACTACAAATTCATTTTGAGATGAGCACTACTATGCAGTTAATTTGACATTTAGAATTTTTTCCTGAAACACAAGAGGTCTTTAATTCTTAAGAAATCGTTCTAAATATCTAAAGAAAATTATCTGAGTTGTGTGGTCACACTTCCAATACAGTCATATACTCTCCTAACAGACACTGAAATCCGGAAAAACAGTTAAACTGTCCAGGGCAGAGGTCTTGCAAAAAATAGGAGAGCTGTTTGCTCTAAGGTAAGAAGCCACCTACAGAATAGCAAATAAACTATAAGATAAACATTTTCATGTAGAGGTTTGTTCAATGTTTTTTAACTTTACATTTGTCAACTTTGCAGGTACTGCATAAACCTCAGTTCTGATCTGCTTATCACACCTGATTTCTACTGGGACAGAGAAGACCTGGAGCAGCTGTATGACAAAACCTGTCAGTTTCTCAATATCAACCGTAGGGTCAAGGTAACAATATTTTGTCTGTGTTTTCCATCTTTTGTTTGCATTCAGTCAGAAAGGAGAAGCACAAGATTATAATAAACATTCCTATTTTTAGCTTTATACATCCTGTACCTGTGCAAACAAATGAACAGTAAAAAAAGAAAGTTAACACTGATATGATGTGTATAAGCGTTGATGGCCTTGTGTCACATGTGGTATTGTGTAGGTTGTGAACGAGAAGCTGCAGCACTGCACTGAACTAACAGACCTTATGAGGAATCATCTGGGTGAAAAGCACAGTCTGCGGCTGGAGTGGATGATTGTAATTCTCATCACTATAGAGGTTAGATTATGTGTGTGCTGCTTTCAGATCTCACTGATAATATTAACTTGTTTCTTGGTTGAATAGCATTGTACTGAACCTGCCTTGCCATTTGTACTAAATTATTATTCATAAGTTCAACCTGAGCATAAATTGCTGCCCACAGTAGAAGGAAGAGTAAACAAAATTACTAATGAAAATTGAGCTGTTTAACTCTCAGTTAAAAGAAAATATATATCATCTGAGTTAATATATGCTTTATAACCAGTGTATCTGTGCATAATAGTAATACAGTAATTACGTAATCCAGGTCAAATTTTTAATGTTGACATTAGTAAGTAATCGAGTGAGTACATAACTGGTGCCTGAACTTTGCCAACCACAGAAACCACAAATAGCAAAAAGAACAAAAAAAGGTTGTAATTTAATGTAACAGCAATTTTGTCTATCTCGCTGTCTTCTGTCTGAAGGTGATGTTTGAACTAGCCCGGGTGATTTTCTGAGGAGGTGGGAGAAGATGCACGAGTTATGAAGAATGATGACTACCTGTGAAACCAGCAAGGCAACAAAAAAATTCCAAATGGAAAAAGTCTGAGTAGAGTTGATATATTGTGACTCAATCTTTCAAATCTCAGTATTGTCAGATGTTTAAAACGTTCCTGAAAGTGTAATTTAAATGATGTTATTTGTTTAATATAGTTGTATAATGTTATGAGTCCTAATTAGATAAATAAAGTGCACAGATCTCAAAAAAGGTCCATCATCTGCAACTAATGGGAAAAAACATTATTGCCACGTTGCTGTACAGCCTTCTATAAACAACTGCACTTTCATGGGAACGCATTTTCATATTCTGTTTGAAAGTAGCATATATAAAAATCGATAGTCATATTACTGATTACATGTTATATGTTATAAGACAAAAAGTGGAAGTGAAACAAAGGCTTATCATCATATCACATGTTTATTCAGGCTCCTGGGGGAAGTCCCGCGCTAGGTCCCGCGCTGTATGCCTGATAGTAGTATTGTCCGATTCAGTTGATCAAACCGATTCTTTAGAACATTCCATTTGAATGAACCAATCATCAGATTGCGTGATTCATTTACACGATCATTAGTCCAATCAACTTTATTCTCATTTCAGTACACAGCGACGTTCAGCGAATGAGTTTTTACGCGTTAATGGAATCAGACTTTAATGACCATAGCACAGGGGAATGAAGTTAGCTACAGTCTACAGGGAGAAAAGAAACTGAAATAGATGGATAGATACTTTATTAATCCCGAAGGAAATTTAGCAAATACTTTGTTCTGAATATGTCACAGTGTAGCATTTTACATTGTGAATGTATGAGATGTGAAGAATAATTATTCGATTTTGTTATTAGTCTTGAGCCTATAACATGGAATTAAACATTGCGTAGCTGCTACAAGAAAAAAGTTTGATTCAGTTTGCACTTGTGAATCGATTCGACCGATGTATTGAAAAGAACGTGTTCCAAAGAACCGATTAGCTCATGCTAGCTGAAAGCTGCAGCCTCGCGTTTGTATCATGTGATTCAAAGTAAGACTCCGGAAACACCGACTACATCCGCGGGAGAATTTCTGCCGTTCTCCGCTAACCTAGCTAGCTGTCGTAGTATGAAGACGGCCACGGCTTATCTTTTAAGGGACACAGAAAGAATACGGTAAGTAAAATCTAAAATCGCCATTTAATTAGCTACAGAGAAAGTGAATTCATGAACGAATCCCGGTAACTGTCTGGCTAACGCTAGCTAACCTAGCTCGGTTAGTGTTGCCGAGTTCAGTCAAACTCCGAGTGAACTGTTCGCGACTTGCATTTGGCATTTTGTCTGTTTTTCCACACCAGCTCACTTATTATCATAACTAATTTACTCATTTAAACTTCGAAGGAAGTAAATTTATCTTCCTGAACTCTAGAAAAAGTGCGTTAACTTAAAGTTATTAGTTGCACGTCTGAAGCAGATCCTGTTTGGCGCCGCTAGGATGAGGCTGAAAGTCTGCTGCTTATTCGAACTTGCCGTTCCACCTTAAACGGTGTAGCAGTTACACTCCGGCGTTCCACCATTTAAGGTGGAACGGGAAAATTCGAACAAGCAGCTGGTGAGTAAGTAGCAGACTTGAGATTCGTGCCGCTAGGGCAGCCGCTAACTACTATTCTACAAATTTTAAATAACTTTAGTATCGTTACAGCTTTTAAAAGTTACTGGCACTGCATTTTTACAACAGAACATTATAATTGACTCTCTGGTGTATCATGCGTACATTTTAATTAGGTTTTCGTCCTGCATGTTTACGAGAATGTAGGGTTAGTTGAGATAATACGTAAAGCGGCACCGTAAACTAAGTGTTTGTCTGCTACACCCAGTCGAGACGAATGATAAACATCTCGGTACTACAAACAACCAGTTGGGATTTTCTTAGAGTAGACTGTTTAATTTGCATGTTGTCTCCTTTGTAGTTGCATAGGTTGAAGAATGGAGTTGGCCCACCACGGTCTCGTTCTTCTGCAGCGCCTCAGTGCTCAGAGGGAGTATGGTTTCCTGTGTGACTGCACGGTGGCTATTGGGGATGTTTATTTTAAAGCTCACAAGGCGGTCCTTGCTGCATTTTCAGACTATTTTCGTATGCTGTTCATTCACCAAGACAGGTACCTAAACCCAAATATCTAAATATGTATGTGTGTGGTTTGCATTCTTATGCTTTATAATAACTAAATGTGTTATGCAGTTGAAGGGGAATTCTACCAGTTTTTCAGAATTTCTGCATAATTCAGTCTTTGAGATGTAGAAGTCAAAGTGGTTTGATGTGACATGGTTAATTGTAAAGAAGCTTACAGACTCAGATTTATTCACAGTTGACATGGTAGGAACTTCAATGTATACAACACAAATATAGCCGTTTTATTTACTACCCAAAACAATCAGTGAACCTACAGGTGTCCTCTGAGTTTGTATATGTAATGTTTTAATATGTATGTAATGAACTTGGAGAAATGGTGCTGAAACTGAACAATAAGTTTTCTTTGGAGACTGTTTTCCCTGCAACACTGCACCCTGCATGTATCCCTCTGCCATGAACAGCTTTTAGAAAATGCCTGATAGGCTGAAATCATACCTCAAAACTTTTGTAAGGCAGTGTCGCGGGCATCAGGCAGCCTATTCACAACTATTTCATGTAGTAACTTTCTGTGAGAAAGATTTTAGAGGCATGGAACACCTCAGACGTTTCATGTCACCACAGTTAATGTTTCTGACTCTTTAAGTAAATTTCACCTCAAACCACTTTAAATGGCTTTGCTTACATATTGACCTTTGAGTTATGCAGAAGTTATGAAAAATCTGTGGAATTCCCCTTTAACTGTGTTGTTGTTGTCTGCTGTTGTCTTGTTTACAGTACAAGTGAGTGAAAGCAAAAGCAAGCGGTCCTTAATTTTACCTCAAGGTTACTTCCCAACTTCTGTTTTTCAGTGAATGTGTTCGCCTGAAGCCCTCAGACATACAGCCAGAAATCTTCAGCTATCTGCTTAACCTAATGTACACGGGAAAACTGACCACACAGATGATTGATCCTCATCACCTGGAGCAGGGAGTGAAATTCCTGCATGCATATCCTCTTTTACAAGAGGCAAGCCTCCTGATTCACCCAGAGGCACAATGTGTTCCTTTGACAAACTCTTTGTATGGGATTCAGATCTCTGATCAGCCATGTGGTTTGCCTGGTAGGAATACAACATGCAAGCGCCACATCTGTCCTGAAAACAGTGGTGAGGCTTTGACTCAAAACTTTTCTGAAGCTGTTGAAACAAAATCAACCAATTCTGTAGATGTTCACAACCAGGAGTCCCCCAGTGAGATTCCTGCAACCACCTCCATCCAACATATCACATCTGGTATTATGAGGAGAAATTCTTCCTTTAGAAAACATTACACATGCAATCACTGTGGGAGTCGCTTTAGCCAGAGATGTCAATTAAAGGAGCATCTTCTTTTCCATGCTAACCAGTCCTTTGAACATCATGTGTCACCTATGGTAGATAGCTATGCTATGGAACTGGAAGGTCAGGATGGGGAAGATGAGGTTCTCCGTGTTGACAGTGATGATGTGAGTGATACGGAGCTACAGATGAGGAGGGATAATACCCCGCCTCCTTCAGATATTGCTGATATAGATAACCTGGAAGCCCTGGAACGTGAGGTAAAACGGCGCAAGTTTGAGTGTCCAACTTGTGGCCGCAAGTTCATCCAGAAAAGCCACTGGCGGGAGCACATGTACATCCACACAGGCAAGCCGTACAAATGTAGTGCTTGTGGGAAGAGCTTTTGCAGAGCAAGCCAGGCTTCTAGACATGTGTGCCTGATTCAGGGTGCAGAGTCATACACAATGGTGAATAAACAGAGCATGGTGCTGTGTGGTGGGGAAGACAACAGCCAGGTAGAAGCGCTTTTCTTGTCATCAAGCAGACGTTACAAATGCAGTGTGTGCGCATTGCCATTTTGTAGCCCCTCTGAGGTCCTCAAACACCAGTGTCCGACTCAGGGTACAGCAATACCTATGCAAGATGACCCGTCAGGTGAACATGCAAATGGCACTTCAATAGCTGAAGAATCTGTCCCAAATACTGGTTCAGTGACAATTTCCACTGAGGAAGTTTAGCAGAACTGGAGCCTTATTGATCAGAAACTGCATAGTCTAACATTAAAGTATTAATTTTTCTTGATGGAACATTTTTACTTAAGGTATTTTCACATTTTCCTGAGAAAAATGCAATTAACAGCACAGCCTTCTCTCTTTCTTTAAAAACATCTATGTGTACAAGGTACTGTTTTCTGTCTGCAGTGGAATACCACAAATACCAGATTTTATATGTATACCAGGAGAATATTACCAAGTATACCAGGAGAATATTACCAAGTATACCAGAAATGTTATGATTTCTGTACTGACTGGATAAGAGAATCTGTTTTTCCTGTTTAATTATAAGGAAACTGTCTTGTACCCACTTAATTTATTTATTTAAGTGCTGTGTGGAAGATGCTGTTTTTTCACTATTTTAATAGACTGTATCTGCACTGTCCATTAATAAAATCAGTCCACAGACCCTTTAAGATTATTTTATTTAAATAAATTGAAAATAATCATTTGTAATAATTCATAAAAAGTTTTGAACTCCATTGCAGTCACATAACATATTTAGTTAAATGTTAATACAGTTTCTTATAAATGCACAGACTGTACCCTCTGTACAAGGCTTAGCTGAATGAAAAGGCTAAATTAAAATGGATGCTACCTCCTGCACCTAAAATGTTCATAAAGTTCTGTCCAAACAGCCACGTTCAAACTCCTATGAAAGACAGAATATGTGTTACACAAATACACTGTATGTCCAAAAGTTTTCAGACACTTGCTCATCTATTGTTCCTTATGAAATCAGAGTTATTTGGTTGAATGTCCTCTCTTTGCTGTACTAACAGTCTCTACTCTTCTGAGAAGGCTTTGTACTAGATGTTGGAACATTGCTGTGAGGATTTAATTACATTTAGCTGCAAGAGCATTAGTGAGGTCAAGTACTGATGTTGGATGATCAGTTCTACATCACAAATGTGACTCCAGCTCATCTAAAAGCTATTGGATGAAGTCTTATCACTCCAGAGAACACAGTTCCACTGCTCCACAGCCCAATACTGGAGTGCTTTTTGCAATTGGTGCGTGTGCAGTTGGAACGCCTGTGTCATCACTGGGTGCACCTCAAAGTAGCTGAATTCACTAATTACAAAGAGTGTCTATACTTTTGAACATATAGTGTAGCAATAATGGTAAAAGCATTTGATAACTATGTTCTTTATTACTTTTCAGTGTTCTGTATCTGTTCCATCATCGTAAATTACATATTTACTTACATGTTAAGCTTTAATGCACTCAGTCTTAAATCATGTCTAATAATGATTATGGTGATTTAAAGTGAGGCACAAGCAGTCTTTGAAACTTTGAAAGCATTTGAGATGTGTAAGCTGCAAGGTAGATTGAATGTACATTCAGAGTATTAATATTAAATGCATTTACAATGTAGCAAAGAAGGTATTACAATTCCCAATATCTAAATTCCCATAGACTTAGAAAATCCAAACAGCAGAGAAATAACTAAAATGCATTTGAGTTTGATTCAGTATGATGGGTACTTAGTTGTAAAGCGAGGTATGCCTATTCTGTGCATTGGGTTTGCAGAGAAACTGTTTCCCCAGAGGTATATCATAGTTCTAGATACATGTTCCTTTAAATGGTTAAACTTAATTCATAAATAAATAGTAATACTGAACATATATGAATAATGGTGCTAGAAGTTGTGGTTTTCAGGAAAGATGGAAGTGTCTGTGAGGCTTGTAATTCTTGATATGAGAGGGTGAGGTGAAAAAAGACATTAGATTGTATGTAGTTAAATATATATATTCAAACATATTGTTATGCAATATGATAGTTCCCCTTACATTCATGGGTGGTGATCAGGAAAATGAAGACGCAAAATCAGATTACAATATTAAATGACAAAATGTTGTACTGGATTGCTCTATTTCAAGGGTTTGGTATTAGTACCCTGTTTTCATACAGGTTTGTAAAATAAAATACTTCCAGACTGGACGGAAAATGTATTATCTTTTGGGCCAGTCAAGCATTGCGTTTTTTCTTGTAGACATGCTTTGCGATACTTCACAGAATTTGACCTTGCATTGTTCCTCTAGGGCTTGGTGAGCTGTTCATGTGGGGTACCATGTGCCCGCAACCTTTAGAAGTAATACTAATACTTATGCTTCCATATAGAGTAATTGAAGACTAGCCTCTAGAGACCTTCATTTGAAAGGTTTGCCTGTCCAACCTGTAAAAGAAACAGTAAAATGAAAAAGATGTCACTGTAATATCAATTTTCTTACTATTAAAAAGTAAATGTAACTACTAATGGTTTGTTAAAGCATCTAACGTAATGTTATGTTTATGTTTGTCTCATTGTGCTCAACAGTTCTGAAGTATGTAGTTTGACCACTTACAAGCTCTTGCTTTATGCGTTGCCATCTTGCAATCAGACACCTGCTTTGGCGGTGGAACAATCATCAACTCTGATATCATCTACAGCATCCTCCCACACATCATCATCCGCATCTGGTAGTGGTTCGGCTGTCTTCGCCATGAAGACAACAACCTCTTTTGGTACTCTGCTAACTGTTTCAAGACTCTCTGCGTCCTCTTTTGACTCTGCAGTACTTTGTATGGTCTGAGTGACCTTGTTAGTTGCCCCTGTTACTTTCACTTCTGCCTCAGTCAGAGCTGGTGGTTCAGCCTCAGTTGTAACTAATGCCTCCTTACATCTTTCCTTTACTTCTGATGTTTCTGCATCTGCTACTGTTTTGTCAGCTGTCAGTGTTTGTACCATGGGGACAACGGTTGGTGTTTGGACCACGGTTGGCTTTTCAACTGCTGGAACAATTGTTGGTGTTTCAACCATTGTTAGAGTTTGGACTTCTGGTGCTAGTGTTGGTGGGATTATAACAGGAGCTGCTGCTGGTTCTGCCTTCTCTTCTTCCTTTACAGGTGCCATTTCAAGCTCTGTTACCACTGATGATGCAGCTGGTGTCTTTACTTCCACTTCAGTTAGTACTGCTGTTTCTACTCCTGTTACTTCAGGTGCTACTGTTGGTGGGATTATAACAGGAGCTGTAGCTGGTTCTGCCTTCTCTTCTTCCTTTATAGGTGCCACTTTAAGCTTGGTTACCACTGATGATGCAGCTGGTGTCTTTACTTCCACTTCAGTTAGTACTGCTGTTTCTACTCCTGTTACCTTTGGTGCTACTGTTGGTGGGATTATAACAGGAGCTGTTGCTGGTTCTGCCTTCTCTTCTTCTTTTACAGGTGCCACTTTAAGCTCTGTTACCACTGATGATGCAGCTGGCGTCTTTACTTCCACTTCAGTTACTACTGCTGTTTCTACTCCTGTTACCTTTGGTGTTGCTGTTGATGAGTCTATAACAGGAGCTGCTGCTGGTTCTACCCTCTCTTCTTCCTTTATAGGTGCCACTTTAAGCTCTGTTATCACTGATGATGCAGCTGGTGTTTTTACTTCCACTTCAGTTACTACTACTGTTTCTACTCCTGTTACTTCAGGTGCTACTGTTGGTGGGATTATAACAGGAGCTGCTGCTGGTTCTGCCTTCTTTTCTTCTTTTACAGGTGCCACTTTAAGCTCGGTTACCACTGATGATGCAGCTGGTGTCTTTACTTCCACTTCAGTTACTACTGCTGTTTCTACTCCTGTTATCTTTGGGGTTGCTGTTGATGAGTCTATAACAGGAGCTGCTGCTGGTTCTGCCTTCTCTTCTTCCTTTACAGGTGCCACTTTAAGATCGGTTACCACTGATGATGCAGCTGGTGTCTTTACTTCCATTTCAGTTACTACTACTGTTTCTACTCCTGTTACTTCAGGTGCTACTGTTGGTGGGATTATAACAGGAGCTGTAGCTGGTTCTGCCTTCTCTTCTTCCTTTACAGGTGCCACTTTAAGATCCGTTACCACTGATGATGCAGCTGGTGTCTTTACTTCCATTTCAGTTACTACTACTGTTTCTACTCCTGTTACTTCAGGTGCTACTGTTGGTGGGATTATAACAGGAGCTGTAGCTGGTTCTGCCTTCTCTTCTTCCTTTACAGGTGCCACTTTAAGATCGGTTACCACTGATGATGCAGCTGGTGTCTTTACTTCCACTTCAGTTACTACTGCTGTTTCTACTCCTGTTACCTCAGGTGCTGCTGTTAGTGGGATTATAATAGGAGCTGTAGCTGGTTCTGCCTTCTCTTCTTCTTTTACAGGTGCCACTTTAAGCTCTGTTACCATTGATGATGCAGCTGGCGTCTTTACTTCCACTTCAGGTACTACTGCTGTTTCCACTTTTATTTCTGTTGCCTCAGGTGCTGCAGTTTTTGGGGCAGTAACATAAAATGCAGATGTCTCAGCTTTTGTTTCGATGTCTAGTGTCACTGTTGGCACTTCTGGCATTTGTATTGTTGGGACCACTACTGGTGTTCGTACCACTGGAATCACAGTTGTTTTTAATTGGGGTTCATTGACTACTGATGTCAAAAATGTGGTCCCCACTTCTAGGACTTCTTTTATTGATGTCACAACAAGACTCTGTGCATCAAGGTTCTTTTCCTCGCATGTCCCCACCAGAGTTTCTGTTTCAAGTGCTGATGTCACAGCTGGTATTTGTGCTTCCAGTTCTGGCACTGCTGCTTGTATGATTGTCTCTTCTGCTTTAGGCGTTTCTAGCTTTGGTTGTGTTACGTCAACTGCAACTGGTGCCATGACCTTTACATCCTTTTCTTTGGAAATCTCAACTTGCGTTTCTTCCTCTTTTGACACTGTTGTTTGTAGCTGAGGCACCAGTATTTCTGCCACTGTTGGTGTTTCTTCTTGTGTTGGCATTTCCCCCACAGTGGTCCCTTGAGCTACCGCAGGCAGACTGACAGTCAACACTGGCTGCACTTCTGTATCTTTTATCACTGATGGCAGATCAGTGGTTTTTGCATCAGTATTCTTTGCTACAGATGATACCACTGGTGTTTCTACTTCAAGTTCTTTTACCACTGATGTCACTACTGGTGTCTGTACTTCAAGCTCTGTTACTACTGCTGTTTCTAGTTTAACCTCTGTTACTACATGTGTTTCTACCTTTGGTACTGTCACCTCCAGTGCCTCTGCTTTGAGTTCGTTCATTACTTGTGTTTGCACTTCAGGTTGTGTGACTGCTGGTGTCTCAGTTTGATTTTCAGTGACCACTGGTGGTTCTGTTACCAGCTCAACTGATACTGCTGTCTCTGCTTCAGAAAAGGTTGTGGGTGGTTCCTCTTTCTGTTCCATAACAGACGGAGTTTCTGTGTCCATTTCAGAGGCCGCTGCTTTTTCGACCTCCAGTGCACTTACCAGTTCCTGGATGCTTACACACGGAGTGTCTGCCTTCTGGTCCCTTACATCTTCACTGGATTCTTGCATATCTTTTGTTACCATAACGGCAGGCTCACTCACTTCCATTGCTGGTGTGACCAAAGCCTCTGGTTCCTGTTTAACTATCAGTGGAGCTTCAACTTTCACAGCCTCTATTGTAGTCACTGCTACTTTGTCTTCGCCTGATGTTGCTTCTTCATGCTGCTCCGTTGCCACTGGTTCCTCAGATATTTCAGTCCCCTGTCCTTCAGGTTTAGCTATAGTACCTTTCTCTACTTCACATATTTGTTCAATTTCATTAGACCCCTCATGAGTAGATGAAATTATCTGTTGTTTTGTTTCCTCAACATACACGATAGCTACCTCTGATATTGTTTTAGTCACTTCCACAATATCCTGAGCTACTTGTTTGTCTTCTGTGCAAATCTGGACACTTGATTCAGTTTCTTGACTCGCTTCTTGTTTTGATGTATTTATTTCCGTTTGTTGTTGGTCTGTGTTAATTTCAGGCTGTGTTAATTTTAGAGATGGTGCAGCTGCCTCTATAATTTCTTGAGATTCTTTAGCAATTTCAGAAGTAATTTCAGACATTGCTTCTCTTTGTGTGTGTCCATCCTCTGAAGGTGTGCCAGAAGTAACAGCTTCATCAACCATATGTGTTCTTTTAGTCTCTGTCATTGTTGCTTCTTCTACAGACTCTGGAGCTGCTTCTTTAGATGCTGCATCTAAATTCAGTTCAGTTTTTTGATTATCTGGTTGTGTTCCTTCGGTACTGTCCATTATTAATGGTTGGCATCCCTCCTTTGCAGATTCCTCTTGGAGACCTGTTTGCTCAAAGATGACAGGTGCTTGTATATTTTCTACCTGCTTTTCAGCTTCATTAGGAGTTACTGTGTATACTTCATCCTCTGTGCTTTGCTTTGTTTTGTGATCTTCTACAGAAGTTACGTCTGATTCTGGATGTTCTTTTTCGAGGTCCACTTTAACTTCTGGTACATCTTGTGGCTCTTCCACTGCACTAGTTTCATCATTAGTAACTGATGAAAGAGAATCTTGTTCGACTGCTAGGTTCAGCTCATTTTCCTTCCATGGTGGTTCAATTTCCACTTTAATGTCATGAACAGTCTCATCTGCAAAAATTTCACCATTCCCTTCTGCAGTTATAGGTTCAATCTGTTGTGCTGTTACTCCTTCTCTGATTTCCTCTACTTTATCATAGATATCTGCCACATTTACTGCAGTGGCAACATCAAGTACCGTCTCAACAGCTGTCTTTGCCGTTCCTAACTCAGTGTCTTTCACTTCCACTTGTATTTCATGATTATCCACAAAACATAGTGAAGGAACATTTTTCATTTGAACCTCATCTTCCAATTCCACGTCCACAACTTTGATAGAACTGGAGACTGGGCTTACTATACTAATTGCCTCTGTGGTCTCCAGAGATTCTACAGTTGATGCAAAAACCTCAACCGTTCCTTCTGTAATTTCTGAGGCTTCATCCAGAGTTGTCACTGGCTCTGAGACTACAACATTTTGTGTTAGAGTCTCAGCTACTTCAACTACAGTGACTTGAACAACATCCTCTGTGATTTCTGAGGCTTTGTTTATAGAACTGTCTGGTACTGCGACTATGACATTTTGTGCTACTGACTCAACTACTTCAGCTAGAGTGACCTGTTCAATATCAGTAGTTGATAATTCAACATGTGGAACACTTTGTTCTTTTTCAACTTCAGCAGTTTCTTTGGCGTAGACTGCTGGCTCTTCATGCACTGGTTCCATTTCCTTTAATGCCATATCCAGGGGACCCTCTGTCTCAGGAACCTCACTTGTATTCTTTGCAGTAACCTGCTCCTCAAGAAGCAGAGTTTCACCTTGTACTGCACTGATAATTGCCATCTGAACTGATGCAAGTTCTTGATTTCCATTTATTGCTTCTGTTGTATCATGTTTCACTTCTTCTTCCTGTTCCACTGTAGAAACTTCACCCTTTCTGCTTTCCTCCATCAAATCTGCATGTAATTGAAATATGTCTTCCATCTCTTTTTCAGTTTCAACAAGAGGTGGGTAATGCTTGTCTGGTAAAAATGCTTCAAGCAACTCAGTTTTTATTTCTTTGACCTCAGCTGCACAGACATCATCTGTTGCAGGTCCTGCTAACTCGTGTCCTTCTGTTAAGTCCTCAGAGACGAGTTCTGTTGATACAGCTTCCATGGACTCAGATATTCCCTCAACTAAGGCTAAAGGAGAAACCTCTTCAACATCTCCAATTTCCTGAGAAACAAGGCCTGTACAGATGGATGTAGCTTCTGCTTTCTCATGGGCGACTAAAATTTTAGTTTCAGCTGTTACAGTTGACTCTACAATATGTGGAGAAACAGACACAGCTAGAGTCTCTGGGTCTTTGTCTTTTGAAGTGATTGACATAACACTTGGAGTCATGCAAATGGTTTCGACAACTTCCTGAATGATCACGTCTGCTTCTCTCATATCATACTCAAGTGGTACTGGTGTCACATTTCCAGATGTTTTAGGAGATTCTGTTAGCTGGGAGACCGCTGATACCATCTCAGTAGTTTCATCCCCATTAAATTGCTCAGTTCCAGGCTCAGGGGCAGTGACTGCATCAGCTGTCAGCTCTACAAAGTCTTCAGCTAATGTGTCATCTTGAGTTGTCCACTCTGCAGAGGATACTGGTGTTGCAACACTTTCCTCAATAATTCCTTCCTCTGGAATGTCACTGAGTTGCTGATGTTTGCTTATGAACTCTGTCAAATCCTCAATATAATCAGAGGAAATGGGCACAACTGATGGCTTCACGTCATATGAAGATTTCACTGAAGGACTTGTTTCTTTAGGTTTGTCCTCTTCAATCGTGGGTTGCACCCTCTTCTCTAGTTCTGTTTCTTCTCTTGTTTCTTTCAAACTCTCAGGTTCAATTATTTCATATTCAGATAGTGGAACAACCGCTGGTGTTTCATCATCTTCATTGTCTGTCCCAGCATCCTTGCCTGCCTCATCAGATGTTTGTTCTTGCCGATCATCAAACTTCCTCTTTTTACGCCCTGGAATAAGTTTCGTTATAGAACATGAAGATTCATCTTTGGTAATCTCAGTGTCTGAAGGTATCTGCTCAGATGAACCACTTTCTTCCATTCTGCCCTTCCTTTTCGGGGTAACTAGTTTTTTAAGAGATTTCCATGTAGATCCACCTTCTTCCTCTGCAGGGCTCCCTGTTTGTTCGTTGGAGGATGTAAGATGTTCATAATCACCTTCAGTTGAGCTTCCAAGTGGTGATTCAGTTGTTTTTTTGGGCTCTTCACCTCTATCTTGCGTTGCATCTTCAGAGTCAGATGTTTTTCTGGCCCTTCTCTTGTTAGACCCAATACATATCAGAGATTCCCAGGAAACAGTGGAATCTGACTTCTTTTTTGACTCTTCAGGGCTAATATCTGTGATCTGATCCTCCCCTGCAGACTTTGGTTCTTCCATCTTTGCTTCTTCTTCCTCTTTCGTAACCTTGATTAATTCTGTGGAGGAATGAAGCTTTTCATTTAGATTTTCCCCAGGCTCAATTACGTTTGTTTCAGTAGGCTTTGTTTCAGTAGGTTTTGTTTCTCTCTGTCTTCTTGTGGAAAGTTTCCTAAAAAGCCTTATGAGTGGACTTGCTGGTACTTTTTCTTGTTCTTGAGAATTCATTAGTTCTCTCTCAGGTGAAGGCTTGCTCAAATCTCTACCTTCTTCAGGTGTAATGTTAGAGATGTCAAGGCATACGCATGTACTGTCTTCTGGTGCAGCTTCACCCAATTTTTCACCCTCCTCTTTGTCAGTTCTCTTGAGTTCCTCCTCTTTATTCTCTTTTGGTGCTTCATCCCTTCTCTTCTTCCTTAAGCTAGCAAAAATTCCCTGTGTGAAGAATCGCTTAATTGGTGACATGGGTTCCTCAGGCTCAGGGCTTTCTGTAACTTCCTCAGTCTTTTCTTCATCAGGAGTGATTTTCTCATTGTTTTCTGTAATCTCTGAGATTTGACTCACTGCTGTTTCATTGTCTGTCTCAGGAGTTGTGTTACTTTCCTTGGACTCATTTTGTCCATCATCCCCTGTTATGTCCTTTTGCATCTCTTCCTGCTCATTTGTGCTGACAGGACTGTCTTCTGTGGTGTCCCTAGAATCCTCTGAGCAGGTTGCAGCTTTTTTCTCCTGCTCATTTGTGAGTGGTTCCTCTGTATCACTTTTGTCACACTTATCTTTTTTCAGAGTGAACTTAAATCCAACAAATCTAAAGATTTTTTTGAAGCCAACTTCAATGTCATTTTGTTTGTCATCAATTTCGTCCTCTTTTACTGCCACACCATCTGCATTAACCATCTCTTTGGCCAACTCCTCAGTGTTTTCTTGAGAGGTATCTCCCTCTTGAAGATCTTCAGTGGTCTCAGTGTCATCTTCTTTCAGTGTTACATATCCAGAACCAACTGAAATTATGGTAAACATCAGTTTGAAACATTGTAAACACACTTTTATATAATCAAAAATGTAACAGCAAAGGAAGTAATTTTCAAATAAAACAATGGGTATGAACATACCTTCTGCAAGGACCCTCTCCTCGTGGGGGCCTTTTGACTCATCAGCCTCGCTCTCTGTCTTCTCATTCAGGCTTGAGATCTGTCCATTCTTCTGTAGCAGCTAGATAAAAGGTGAAAAAACAACAAAGATACTGCTAGATAAAGCCACTTTATTTGTTCAAATAAAAACATTGTGTTCAAATACAAGTGAGAATCAAGGATTTTTCGGTGTGATTTCAATGTCCAATGTTCATAATATCAAATATTATAAGAGAGACAGTTGCACTCAAAATTATTTAACCCCTACTGAGACTGTAAGATTTTACAAATTCAAGTTTTGATGAAGACCAGAAAGTTTTTTTAAATTATCCATGTATCAGTTGAGTGGCATTTAAATTTATAGTGAAAATGTATGATGATATTTTCTTAAAACAGTCATGTCATAATTATTCAACCCCTTATTTAATATTGTTGGTTTTTAAATCATTGCTTGTCTATAAAGCAGCAAAATTGTTCTACAACACAAAAAAGTCTTTGTGAATATAATGGCAAATGATTTGCTTAAGCTTTGATACATATATAAATCCCACCCATGCTTGTGTTCAAACCCAGCAGCAAATGTGGCAAAGGAAAAAAAAACTCTTACAAAAGAGAAGAAATTTTTTCATTGCACCAAAATTGCAATGGATACAGGAAGATATCCCAGACACAAAGTTTTAAGAGGCAGTTGGAAATATCATATTTAAGTTTAAAACTCATGGTACAGCAGCACACCCACCTACATGTGGAAGAAAAAGCTAAATTTCAGCAAGAGGTGACAGACATTTGAACAGAATAGCTGAGAAAAACCATCACATTACTGCCAAAGACTTGCAGTATGACATGATGAAGACAGGGACAAAACTATCGGTGAACACAATAAGAAGAACACGGCACAAGCAAAGCTTTCATGTCTGGACACCTTGCTGTACTCCACTCTCGACCAAAAAGCACATATATCTTAACTGGGTGACTGGCATCGTAGATTTTTTGAAATACCAGGCCATTTTGTAGAAGAATGTGATGCCTTCAGTGTGAAAATTGAATCTTGGTGATTACTGAATTTCCAAGTCCAAGTCGACCAAAGCTTGATCCAGGGATCAGTCCTGCAATGTCCTTGAGTAGCCATGTCAATCCCTGGATTTAAATCCCATTGCAAATCTCTGGCATGGAAACCACAGAACATTAATGAGCTGCAGTGTGCAAAGATTCCAATAGAGAGATGTCGGAAGCTTGTGAGCACCTACTGGAACCATTTATTGGAGATTATAAAGTGTAAAGGATGTGCCACAAAATACTGAATTTGGGGGTTGAATAATTTTGCACATGGGCATTTGTGGAGAGAATGATTCAACTATTAGCAGAAAACTCAACTTTATGTTCTCAAAATCACATGAACATGTAATGAACCTACTTTGTTTATTGAAGCATTGGTTGGTATATTTTCATAAATTTTATTTATATTACAAACTGCCTTGCACTTTGAGGGGGTTCAATAATTTGAGTGCAACTGTATAAATGCTTATATGAGAATTTTTCATTGGATGAGCTTGACGCTGGCTGTTTCAACCACAGTTAGTTAGCTAAAACACTCAAAACTAGATAAGTAAGTATCCAGACATCCTTTTCATTTACACACAAACACAGCTTGTATAATGTCCATAGCAAAGCATTGCCAATAGAAAGAGACACTCTGGAGCTGCTGTACATGAGCTCAAGTTCAGCATGCCCAACACCAAGTGACAACTAGATGGGTATAAAATTCTCTAGCGCTGGGTTGTGGAGTGATCCAATCTGACCACATCAAATGGTCATCCAAGATCTCAGAGTGAAAAGCCTAAATAGATAATGTAGCAGATTGTAGAAATGTAGCATAAACAACGGCAGACTAAAGAAAAAAATCACTGCAAGAATTATTAAATTTTTTTAACTTGCTGAATTATTTCGAGCTGTTACCCCCTTTGTGGTTACTAGCCTATTGACTATTGAAGCTGAACTGCAAGTAGTCAATTTTTATGTTTAGATCACAAATCTCACTACAGTGCACACAGCTTTTCTTGGGGCTGATAAAGTGAGGCCATGTAGAGTCATAGTACAGAGTCAGAAGTACAATAAAAGTGTGTTGTTTTTCCTACAACTAAGAAAGAAAAGTGCCATTTGCTCAACTTGACTGACAGCATTCAATCAGTTCTCTGAAATTTATGTTGGAAAAACGTGTCAACAATTGCTTCAGTGTTCAGTTTTGTTGGTGATATAAAAGTTCTCATCTGTATTGAGAAAAAAACATCCTTCAAACCCATTTACAGCTCTACTCTTGTAGACTCTATGGACAGTGGAGGCGTTGTGGTGGAATGAACTCAGGTCAATCAATAGAGCTCATCTTTGCACTTCAAAGGATGGAAACAAGGTGGTATTTAAAATGGGTGGAGTCAGCCTGTTCTAGTGTGATGGTGAATATGTGAAGTAATGAGTAACAGCACTGTAACCTAAAACACTGACTATGAAACGCTGTGGAAGGAAGTGTTTGAAATAAATGGCACATGTGGCTCACATATCTTCACTGATGATGTAGCTGCTCATGACGGGCAGAGATGAATCCAGAAGCGTACAGAAACATTTTTGATACCAACCCAGTGTGCCAAAACTCTCTAGATAGATGTTGATCATGTGCTGTCCTGGCAATCAAAATGTTTTTTGTGACGAAAATGAAACTTAAAAGGCCTACAAACCAGCAAGAGGTGACTATAAATGCTCTCTGCTTAGATTCCCAGCATTTGTTTATAAATATGTACCACAACTTTGTAGATGTTATTACATGCAAAAAATACACACTTAAGCACCAGACACGAACATAGTTACTGAACAAAACTGTTTTGGTGCTTCCAAATTTGGGCGGTGTAATAAAATGTACTACACTTTCTGTTTGGTTATCTAGATATGGTTGAAAATAAATTTATACTGTAGCTGGAAACCTGCTATTTAAGTCCAAAAGCAAGATTTCCATTTCAAGTGTGCTTTAGTGCAGATAATGCAATGTGTGTTCACTTCACAGTGGCAGGTGGTGATTCACCTTTTCTAATCCTGTTTAAAACTTTTTCAAGGTGATTTTTTTTAAATTGTTTGCATATGAGTAATAAATTGGAACCTCACTGAATAATATGAAAACAAAATATAATGTATAGTATTATCATTAGGTTCTGCAATAATTCAAATGACTTGATGAATTAATCAATCAGAAATAGAAATAGCTGTCATCTCTGAAGACATGGAGAGCCATCAGACTTCCTGTTTGTGGCTGACTTCATCAAGTTTAACACAGAAAAAATCAATGAAACTGCTATTTGGGGTTGCAGCTGGAGGAAATTCTATATTTCCTTTGGGAGAAGACTGCCAGAAATACAGCACTGCATTAATGAGGTACATTAAGAGTGCATATGGGTTTTGTCAAACATGCCTATGTAGAGATGGAGTTACACTGAAGTAAAAGGAAAATTTAGAAATAATTAAATAATATATTTAAGATAGCACTTAATAAATCCCCAAAGGGAAATTAGTGTTCCAGTAACATACATACACTATATATGTATGTATGAATATATATATATATATATATATATATATATATATATTATATATATGAAGTGTTTTGATGACTATCCACAGATGAGTTAGTATTTATAGTTACTTATAGTAGTTCATTTAAATGTTTAAATAAATAATTTGACAGTTATCTAGAACTACATTCTAATTAAGCCGGTCTTATAGGGTTGAACACGTGCCAAAACTGAAGAGAGATTCTGCTTTAGTGGGTAACCGCTCAGTTTAAAGCTTACATCTGAGTAGGATATCAAAAATAGAGCACTGTGTTCATTCATATTGTAAGTAAACGTTCATATATTTACTGTTTCTGAACTGAAAGTATTCGTGAAGACTGTATGTAGTCTAGGCTACGTTTTCATGCAGGCTAACTGGCACCATCACAGCACCATCCACTGCAGTGGCTGCAGCAGCAGAAAAAAAGCCCAGTAAGTTTTTTTTCCCTCGCAGTTTTAACCGCAGTTTTAACAGCAGATCCACAGGAACGTTTCCCTGCCTGTACCTCCGTTTGAAACGAGCGCAGAGTCCAAACCATCAGGCTCTGATACTGACTCGTGCTTTACCTTATCCTCCGCTCCGCTTTCCTGAGCTTCGTCCTGTCCCGCGCTGGGTTCGGTGACCGTGTCTCCGTCCTGTTTGCTGTCCCGCTGCGCTGAGCTTATTGCCCCCATCTTCAACCCCCTGTCCCGAGACGAGATCCACGCGTTAGCCGCTGGAAGGAAGGAATATCCAGGGATGAGTCGTGGTTATTAGCCTCGTCCAGCGCGGTCGGACTCCCAACTGGTGCCGCTGACTCGGTGCACGCGCTTTTTTAGAAACCATCCTCCCCTCGCTATCACATGCACAGGGCAGTGTCCCGCCTCAGCAGCAACATCGGCAGGGGGGAGATGGTGACCCGAGATGACTGCAGAGAAAAGCTGCTGGCTGTGAGGGCCTGGACTGCACGACTGCAGGAAACTTCTCCTCTGTCTCCCCAAAAAGTGTAAATAAAAAACCAGACACCCCTTCTGACCAGTGATTCAGCTGCACAGAGAGCTCGCAGAATCTCCACAGAAAAGCACTGTCAGTGGAGCAGCTGCTCATGAGACTAAGGCCACTATGCCCAATGCCAAGTGTCGGCCAGAGAGGTATAAAGCCTCCAGCATTGGGCTGTGGATAGGAGCCGATTTAGTGAATCTGGGGCTTGAAGCAAAAGACAGGATTGTGTCCCCCTATTACTTAAAATAGTCAAGGCTCTGGGCTTCTGTGTGGCACAACCATCATTTACACTGCGAAATAAATATATCTTGGCAGGTAAAATCAACACAAAACTAGTCGATATATATTTTCTATTTTTAATTTTGAGATTGTTGTAAAAATAATAAGCCATTATTTAACTTATTTCTATATATTTTATTGGTAATTTTATTTAATGAAAGCATCTGCCATTTTAGTGAGATAATCCGGTACAGAGTAATGCTGAAGTAATGAAATTACTTTTCCCAGAACAGAACATAATCCCATTATGGTTTGAGAGAAGAATTAGGAACGTTTGATGGATGTCTTTTTTTGAGTTAGTACTACAACACATACTAACAGTAAGGCTAGAATTATGTAGGTCTGCTGAGCCTGTGCAGCACTACGTTCTGACTGAAAAAAAAAACAGTTAACTTTGGTAGTGAAGCAACAAACTTTTTGCTTTTCTCCTTCTTTTTGTGTTTCTTGAGGATATCTTTATTTGATTTTCTCTCTCAACAGCCAAAAAAATCACACCGAAGAACCTCCTCTTCATAATGCAGATGATTTCTTAGTTGCCTTGTTCATAACAGTGTGTGATTATGTACTTGTGTCATCATAGCAAAGTCCATTATAACCACGATCGAAGGTAGAAAATAATGCTATGATGTATGTCAGCACTTTTCTTATTGGACAGACTTGATTTTGGGCTTAAGTTATCACTACTTTGTGAAATACCCCTTACAAATCAATAATAGAACATGTAGGAAGAGAAAAAAATTTCTTTAGAACAGAGCTATTAGGATAAAACAACAAAAATAGTGCCATTCAGTCAGAAAAGGGAATAAGAACACACCCATGGGGAAAACAGGAAAACGTAACGCATAATACAGGGAAAGGGCACAATAATATAACATAACAGAATGAGAGAGAAAAGATAAAAATATATAACTGGGACTTCAAGACTGGGCGGCACGGTGGCGCAGTGGGTAGCGCTGTCGCCTCACAGCAAGAATGGCCTGGGTTCGATTCCTGGCCGGGCGACCAGGGTCATTTCTGTGTGGAGTTTGTATGTTCTCCCTGTGTCTGCGTGGGTTTCCTCCGGGTACTCCGGTTTCCTCCCACAGTCCAAAGACATGCAGTCAGGCCAATTGGACGTGCTAAAATTGCCCCTAGGTGTGAATGTGTATGTCTGTCTGTCTGCCCTGCGATGGACTGGTGACCTGTCCGGGGTGTGTCCTGCCTTCCGCCCGGTGGCAGCTGGGATGGGCTCCGGCGCCCCGCCGCGACCCAGAAGGATAAGCGGTTTAGATGATGTATGTATGTATGTATGACTTCAAGACTGAAAGGGAAGAGATGCTATGAGTTCTAGAGTTGAGCAACCGCTGCAATGACTTCCCACCCATGGAAGAGTCTTGAAACTTGGACCATGACCACATGATCTGAGAGTACAAGCAAGGGTGTAAGGATGGAGTAGCTGGGATAAATAATGAGGGGTAAAATCATGAAGGGCTTTAATGGTAAAAAGAAGTATTTTGTACTGTACATGTAGCCAGTGTAAGATATAGAGGATGGAGGTGATATGGATGCTTTGTTTGGTGTATGTGAGAATTGTAGCTGCAGGATTTTCAACATACTGTAATCTAGAATCATAAATATTCTACTGCGTTACTAGGGGTGTCCCACAGGTGTCAGTTTTAGGTCCACTACTCTTTACTACATACATGCTGCCACTTGGCCATCTAACACAGCATCATGGTTTAAATTTCCATTGTTACGCAGATGGCACTCAGATCTATGTCAGCATCAGCCCTGCTCAGACTACACCACCACCTGCTTTATCTGACTGTTTTGATGACATACAGTCATGGATTAGTATGAACTTTTTAAACCTAAATGCTAGCAAAACTTGCTTGCTTTTAATCAACTCCAAAGCACTGATATCTAGTTTATCTGTACTTGGCTTCAATAGTGATGGGATTCTGGTAATGCCTTCCTTCTACATCCGCAATCTCTCGAGTTGTTTTGTCCCCTCCTTGGTCATTCATATCAATTCTTTGGTTAAGACAGCATTTTTCCATCATCATTATATTGCTAGTCTCCAGCCATGCCACAGTCTAGCAGATTTAGAAATGCTTGTGCAAGAATTAGTGACATCACAGTTAGAATACCGTAATGTTCTTCTATCTGGCCTCCCTGTCAAAGACTGCTAGGATCTTCACCTACTCTAAGAAATCTGACCATATTACCCCTATCCTTCTTCACTGGTTACCTATTACATTGCAGTACAAGCTTCTTCTTATTAAAGGTAAAGCTCTGCACAGCCTGGCTTCTCAATACTTTGTTGAGTTTCTTCATCTATATGTCACAGCCTGTACCTTAAGATCACGTAATATAGGCCTTCTTCATGTTCCAAGGTTTAAATAGATCTTTATGGATGGTCGATCATTTGGTGTAGTAGCTCCCAAATAATGGAAAGCTCTCCCCAAGTGTAGTTGGGATGCCTCCTATCTTTCCTCATTTAACCCTTGTGAGGTGTTCATGTTTTTGTTACTCAGTGGGTCTGGTAGACTCACCGTATTATTGTTTTTTTATTATCAATACAGCCATAACAATTTATGTAAAACATTTGTGATTAGTTTGAGTGCTGTTTGTGATCCACAACTAATCATTCAACATAAGTACCTGATCTCACTAATTTTCTTGTGGCAGAATGCAATCAAATCCTCACAGTTATGTTCCATCATCTAATGTAAAGCCTTCCTATAAGAGTAGAATCAGTTACTGCTGCAAAGAGGAGGGAAGATTAACTGTATCAGCTGGTTAACTGAAGAAAACCAGCCCTTTCACTGTCATGCAGCAAAATTAACACCTACTGGATTTATAAGTCCAGCTAGACACAAATGACCACGAAGAGTTCATTTAACAGTAGGTGTTCATTCAAAATTAGAGATTTCTCTCTGCAGCTGAAGACTAAATGCTTTACATTCTGAAGCTTGGCATCCAGTCCTACTTGCTTGGTTTCCTGTGATTATTTCTAGGCTACTGTCTTGAATATTGTTGTTTATTTCTATTTTCTAGCCACAGTAGATCAACTAGAACAAATCAACATTTTTTCGGGATTTATCGGTGTCTAAAGAAGTTTGAATGTGCATTTTCCTGCTAGGAATGAAGGCTGATCAGTAGGCTTTACGTTTTTAGCTGGACTTAGCTTTTTAACAGTGTTTTTCTTTTATTGTTTTCGTCATTAGGACTTGCATTTATGTTGCAGTAGAACAGAACTAGCAAAGCACGTTCTCTGAGCTGTGTATGTGCTCCTGTTACTGCCTGGTCCAGTGCAGCCACTACAGTACAGCAGTGCTGAATATCAGTGTGGTGCTCCTGCTGTAGTTCGCATGCTTTCCTGGACCTGCCTTTCTTTATCTGTGTAAATCACTGTAGCCCATTTGCATTTGCTGTTCACCCTCCTGTTGACTAGCAGCATCCAACAGCTTTACCTGGTCCTCAGCTTCTTCATTTAGGGTTTGGGCCCAGATCACTGTAAAGCTGTTTAAGTATATTGTGAAAAACAATTCTGAATAGTTTTTGTGTTATGTTAAAGAACATCAGAAGTATTGTAACTTCAATCGATCTACTAGAGCAGGGTGTTCAATCTTGTCCGCAACTGGCTGGCGTGGCTGCAGGTTTTCATTCCAACAAAGTAGGATCACACAAGATTGATAATTGATTAAAGAAGTGTGCGCTCCTGCTTGTTTGGAATGAAAACCTGCAGCCCTACTGGCCACAAGATTGGACGCCACTGTACTATGGTCAAGAAAGTACTTCAGAAAACTAATGTTACATTACTTTTCTTGCTGGTCACTGGTTGTACCCATATGGAAATCTGATGTTTGGCCCTATATGCACATATGTCATAAAGGAATAGGCATATATTGTAAAATATATGTATATTTATGTTGCGTACATATAAGTAAGTATCAAATATTGGATATCAATATCAAATATTGCATAATATATTAACTATACATACATGAATTAAAAACACCCCAATACTGTTATAATTGTTGATATTTTATCTGTTTTCTTTAAAATATTCAATTATTTAAATGAGTCAGGAAAAAATGTTTTCAATTATTTCATGTTTTTATAGCTTACAATGTGTGTTTTTAGAATTTAGTTACAACTAATTTTTACTTCATTAGGAAATATGTGGAAGAATCAAAGAAGATGCATAAAAACCTTATACAACATGAAGCTATGATATATGGGTAATATAGGCCATCCATATATGAATAATGTTTTCTGTCATTTCATTTTAAATATATGTATTGTACATTTATGTTTGTATTTGTTGGAATATGACTAACATCTATGCCCCATATTCGAAAATGGCCAATTTCAAATGTTAGTTTATACGCTATATTGCCAAAAGTATTCACTCACCCATCCAAATCATTGAATTCAAGTGTTCCAATTACTCCCATGGCCACAGGTGTATAAAACCAAGCACCTAGGCATGCAGACAGCTTCTACAAACATTTGTGAAAGAATGGGTCGCTCTCAGGAGCTGAGTGAATTCCAAC